CCGCCAGATGGCCACCTGCTCGTGCCCGAACTCCTTCGCTGCTGCCTCCTTGTTCAACCCCTGAGCAGTGGAGCAACGGAACAAGGGCGGGAGGGAACAGGGGTCAGATGGAACAAACGGGGAGCGAGTGAGGAAAATGGGAATCAGCTCGAGGATGGAAATCCACTCAACTGCCCCAACAGCGAGGCGCGCAGCTCACCTGCAAGTCGCCGTAGCAGCGCTCGTTGAGGCGCGGGTCGGCGTACACGGGGATCATGCGGCACGCCGCCTGCTTCAGCGCCTGCGCCGCCGCCTCCCGCAGTCGCAGTCGGTTCTCGTCGCCCGTCTTGCCCCGCCCGTAGTAGCCGCCGCGCACGATCACCGGCACCGCCTTGTGCACGCTCTGGTGGAGGAGGTCGCGAGGTAGAGAGCGTCGCGAGAGGGGTAAGGAAGGAAGGAAGGAGCGAACGCGTTTTAGGACGGGGGCAAAGCGAACACACTTTGAACGGGGACAAAGCGAACACGTCGTTGCTAGCGAAATGTCTCACGGTAAGCGTTGTACGAATTCACTTCTCTCACCCGCGACATGCGACGCTCACTTGCGACATGCGACATACGACGTTCACCTGCGCCATACGACGCATGTGCGACGTGCGACGCTCACCTGCGTCATGGCGAGCAGCGCCGTCTGCTTGGAGCGCACGAGGCGGCTCGTGAAGATCATGTCGAAGTCGATCTCCGCCACGGACCGCCCGCCCGCCATGGCCTCCATCACGCCGCGCTCCGTCAACGGAATGTCCACGTCACTGTGACGTGGCACAAGCGGGATTCGGGGAAGCAACATAAATGATGAGGCGGACCAAGCAACCAGCACTCAACCTAGAACAAGTCTGACAGTCAGCACACACAGACACAGTCGAGCGCTCAGAAATATAGAAGCAGACTCGGCTATCAGTCAGCGCAAACGACGCAGACATACATCAGAGCGCCACTCACCCCGTAAACAGCTTCAGGTCGTTCCACATGCTCTCGCCGTGTCGCATGAGCACGAGCGTCGGATGGTCGTGCACTTTCGCGCACGTAATCGACGGCTCCGTGTCTTCGCCACAGACCTTCACCACCATGCTGACGTGGTGTTCCTGCCCCTGCCTCCCCCGCTTCTCGCGCGCCTGCTCCTCCTCCTCGCGTCGCGCCGCCGCGCCGTTCGCCCTCTCGAACCGTTCCCACGCGTCGACGTCATTCGGCGGCCGCGCGCCCCGCTCCTCGCTCGGCGGCGTTGCGGCGGGGCGCTCCGGCGGGGCGATTCGAGCCGCCACCTTGACGCAGCGGCGGCAGGCGGAAGACCAGGTTGGCGCGGCGTCAAACGCGGACCCGGAACCCGGCGATGGAAAGCTTCGCTTGGCGAGGAACTGCGACTCGAGGCGACAGACAGAGTGGCATGACGGCGACACGGCGCAAGGTAGGCGAGCGTGAGAGCTAGAGGTGCTAGATCTGGTGGTCGACAGGCTCGCGTTCGCCGTCGTGTTCGCGCAACCGACGGCTGCGGTTCTGGTGACTGCGTCTCGAGGAGTAAAACGAAATACAGCGACTCTCGCCATCGTGTTCGCGACAGGGAGCGGGAGAGAACAGTCAACGAGCGAAAGGCAGGAGTGTAGACGGGAGGACAGACTGCGAGAAGATGGTCAACTTCTTGTCTGTCAATAACAACGTTTAGATGACAAAAAGTGTCCCCGGTCGGATAGCCTGAACGGTGAAGTGAGCAACGAAATGTGAATGCAGCTGGATTTTTGGTTTATATCAGCCCAGCAGAGGACGAGAACTAGTGGAATGCAGGTCTGACGACTTGCGTCGCCTTTTGGAAGGAGGAAAGGGTGGTTTCGAGAAGATGAGGAGGGTTGTTGAGAAGTCGAAAGAGCGGACCAGCAGTGCAGAGAGAACAGAGCAGAGGAAGCAATGCAGAGCAGATCGGAAACTGAAGGTGAGCGTGTGCGGGGGAGTTTGGGGAAGGAATAGGGGGGAGAATGCAATGTACTGTACTGTACGCGGGAGGGACTGGCGTGGAGAAGCAAAATGGGAGGGAGGGAGACGCGGGCGGAATGCGGGGAATGGGCGGCAGAAGCGCCATTTCGTAGGCAACAAGGGAAGCAGCAGGTGTTGCGATGCGAACGACCACTTGGGTGGGGCGAAAGAGCATACGACCAGACGTGAAGTCGCAGGCGGTCTACGACACGCAAACCGGCATCTGCAATCTGCGGCCGCGAGAAGAAAGCCTTATCCGCCGATGGATTTGACAGTTCCCAGTTCAAGATAACCGCTGCCAGTTCCAAATAACGGTTGCTCTTGTGAAATGACCGACTCAATATGGTCGGTGGTGTGACGAGAGCCCAAGCAAGCGGGAAGATGTTTTCAGTGTGGTGGAGGCAATGATGGCAGGCGTAGATCTTGCCCAATTATCTTCTGGCCGCTCCTGTCACAATGGCAGGCGTTGACGTGGCAAAGCTCCGTTCATGCGACACTCTGCAGATATCGCGGAATTGTTTTCCCCATTTCTATTCGTCGCATGGGGCAAACGGTTGGGGTCAGTCGTCGTGACGTCGTCACAGTCGCCAAGGGAACTTCTTGACGTCCGAGTTCGCGCTTCGGTTGGCTATCGATCTCCAGCGACGAAGGAGGCCACACATCGGAAATCGCATCTGACGATGGCGAGAGTTGCCACGTTAACGCGCAAAGACCACGTGTGGTACCATCTGAGCATCGTCCTACCTCTCAGCCGCAGGAGTAGCCCACGGGATAGGGTGCAGCACCAATCATGTTCCTTATTGACGACCCTAGCACCTGCGAAGGGGCTCGATGAGTGGAAAATTTTCATTACCACTTTTTCGGGCCAACATCATCAGCAATCATATTATGCCCCTGCAGGTTCACATATTCATTCTTTTTTGTCGGTAGCCTCAAACAGCTATTGACCCGACTCTCAACGTCTACACACGATGCTCGTTTGACTTGTTGACGGGAAATAGCCTCGCCCTCGCTTGGACATAGCAGATTTCGTAGACGGGGGCGCGCAGAAGTCAATGTAGACTGCGCGCAGAAAGCGACCTCAATGTGCCCGCAGAGTTCGACCTCGACCTGTCCGTATAGTTCGACCTCGTCATGTCCGTATAGTTCGACCTTGACGCGTCTGCAGAGGACGCTGGTCGACGAGTTCGCAGAGGACGCTGGCCGACGAGTCCGTAGAGGAGTTCGGTTTTACGAGACCTTCTCAGTATAGGGGCTCCTCGACGAGGTCGGTATAGGAGCTCCTCTACAAGGCTGGTATAGGAGCTCCTCGACGAGGCTGGTAAAGGGGCTCGTCTAGGCGAAAGCTGCTCGACAGAGCATTCGTCGAGCTACTCTACGAAAGTCGCGAGACAGCGAAATTCGTCATATGGGCGAATGTCGCCCATGAGGTTTTCGCGAAGTCAACCTGCGGAACTGCATCACGTGCTCGACGATGCACCGCTGGCGAAACCGTCGGCACGTGTTCTACCTGGCACCTGCGCAATGTGCTTAGCGGCACGTCCGTCTACCTGCACCTACTTGGTAGGTGCACACATGCGTAGAAGTTTACCTGCCTCTGCAGCGCTGGAAGACCGCCGGTATACCACGCTATCAGACTACTCTACTGCAGCGTTGGCAAGCCGCTCTTCTGCTGCGCTGGCATAGTTCGCCCTGTAGAGGGCTTGCTAGGTGTTGTAATGCCATTCTAGCTATATCGACTTGCATGCCTCATTGTAATCTAATGTTCTCTCAATTCCTTAGTGAAACTCTTGCCATATTCTTTGTGAACATGGCAAGTAGTGAGAACTCCTAGTGCAACGCTACAATCAACCGCACAACCCCGTGCCTTCCTCCGTAGTCTACTCCCGTTGCGTAGTGACTCTCCGCATGACTAACCCAAGGTTGATTAGTGAAGGGGGCTTTTAAGTGATTCTCGGCATTTGGCGAATTTCGTCAACGTCGCACCTAGCAAAAAAGGGCTTATAAAAACATTGTAACTCCCCGTTGGCAGTTTGACGTCGGTCTTTTCTGCTTGACTTCAGTTTTTGTGGTTCATATTGGTTGATAACCACTGCAACTTGTTAGAACTATGCTCTAGGTTGTAGTGGGGCACTCCTTAAGGAGTACAGCCCAATTAGGTTTTGCCTATACAAACCTTGTACTGTCCTGTTTCTAGTTATTCTTCTTTGCTGATTCTGACATGGTTTCAGAGCAGGTTCCCTAGTGGGAACATTTTTTTTTGGGCCCACCACGAACTTTTTTTCCTACCCTGCTCGAAGTGCGCTGCCGTGCCTGCCTGCCCCGTCGCGCGCCTCACGCCTGCCTCGCCTGCGCTCTTGCGCCTACCCTACTGTGCGCCGTTGAGGACCTACTCTACCCGCGCAATCGCGCGTCTGCCCTACCTGCTGTCATGCGCCTGCCCTACCTGCCGCACGTCGAGTGCCTGCCCTGCCGTCGCGGCCCTGTAGTCGAGCGCCAGCAGCCGCCGTCGCGGCCCTGCCCTGCAGCCGCCGTCGCGGCCCTGCCCTGCCGCCGTAGCGCCTGCAGCCGCTGTCACGGACCTGCCCTGCAGCCACCGTCGCGGCCCTGCCGTGCCGCCGTCGCGCCTGCAGCTGCGGTCGGGGCCCTGCCCTGCAGGCGTCGTCGTGCCTGCAGCCGATTGCGGCCCTGCCCTGCCGCCGCCGCGCCTGCAGCTGCCGTCGCGGCCTAACCTGACGCCGCCCGTCGAGCGCCGGCCCTACCCATCCGTCGAGTGCCTGCAGCCGCCCGTCGCGCGGCAGGGATGGAGTCTCACTGTTGGACCACACGTCCGGCGTCTCTGTTGCACATGTTGCGGACGCTGACAGTACAGTTCGTTCGCAGTAGACTACCCGTGACGTTGTTGCTCGCCTTGCTATTCGTAGTCACCTGCCGTCTGCTGAGCGCGCACACTTTGGCCAGTACAAGACTGCTAAGTCTCTGTATGATGCTGTTGTCGCACGCTACTCCTCCCCTGCCTCTGCTGCCCTCAGCCGCCTCATGCTGCCGTGCTTGTTCCCTGACCTAGCCGCGTTTGCCAAAGTCGCTGACCTCATCACTCACCTCCGCACTAGTCACACCCGCTACACCGCTGCACTTCCCTCCGAGTTTCGCACCAAGAACCCCCCCCCGATGTACATCACCCTCTTCTACCTAGTCACCCGTCTCCCAGACTCTCTGCGCTTAGTCAGGGACCACTTTCTCTCCCTTTGACCCACTGAGCTCAACGTCGACCTGCTCGAGGAGCGCCTCCTTGCTGCTGAGACTAGCATAGTCGCTGTAGGAGCGTCTCGCGGCAACCCTCGCGCCCCTTTCTTTGAGGGGTGCTCTCTCGTTCCCCTTTTGCCCTCTGTTGCTTCTGCTGCTGCCGTCGACCTCGTTGGCACCGAGGCGGTCGGGGCTGCGTCTGCTCCTAGTGGGAGACGGCGCCGCAACGGCAAGGGCAGGGGGGGCAAGGGTGGTAGAGGGGACGGCGGGGGAGGAGGTGGAGGGGGTGGGGGTGGAGGTGGGGGTGGAGGCGGGAGTGGGGGCGAAGGTGGCAGCGGTGGAGGTGGAGGCGGCGATGGCAGCGGCAGTGGGGGTGGCGGCGGTGGTGGTGCTAGTCGGAGTGGAGCCATGCAGCGTGGAGGCTTTGGCGGTGGCCAGCGCCACCAGCACGTGCGTTCCCATGAGGCCCCGTCACCCCAGCAGCTTCGTGAGTGGTACGCTGGGCATGGGAGGTCTGGGGGTGCTGGTCTCCGCGCTTACGTTCTTCGCACAGGCGACCGCCGTGGGGAGACGTGCGGGCTGCCGCACGCTACACAGCGCTGTTTCAGTCGACTGACTGACGCCTGGCGCGCACAGTTTCCTGACGCTACCGAGCTCCCTCGCTAGGCTGATCTGCTTAAGTCTAGTGTTGCTATCTTTGATCTTGATTATGATGCTATCCTTGCTGCCATGAATACTGTGACTATTAGTGCTAAGGGTGACCGTTACATGTGTGTGCCGCCTGACCTAGGCATAGAGGCTACTGCTCTAGGTGCTAGTGAGTCTACTGCTCTAGGTGCTAGTGAGCCTGCTGCTCCAGGTACTGGTGAGTTTGCTCTCTCAGGTACTGCGCCTGCTGAGGCCTTGCACACTTTCACTCTTGACTCCGGTGCTTCCCGCTCTGTCTTTCGCGACTGCACCACACCCACGCCGCTGAGTCGGCCGGTTGTTGTCTCCCTGGCGGACCCCTCTAAGGGCCCAGTCCTTGGACACTCATCCACGGTTCTGCCGTGTCCGGCGGTCCCGTCTGGCTCACTGTCGGGTCTCCACCTCCCCTCGTTCTCTGCGAACTTGGTGAGTGGAGCTGACCTCCAGGACGTGTGGGTTGACCAGTTCACTCCTGGTGGTCAGCGGGTGACCCACTGTACGTATATTCGGACAGGCCGCCACCTCGCCACGTTTACCCGTCAGCCTGCATCGAGCCCGTACACCTTGAATACTGTGTCCCCTCCAGGTCCTGTAACTAGTCAGGTAGTCGCGTCTGGTCAGGTGTTTGCTGCCGCGTCCCGGTCTGGTCCAGAGTCTGCCCCCTGCTCGTGTCCTCTCCTGTTACACCAGACTCTCCTCTGGCACCACCGTCTTGGTCACCCCTCCCTGCCTCGCCTTTGAGGTATGGCCTCCCGTCTCCTTGTCACTGGTCTCCCCCGGTCCCTCCCTCCCCTTCCTCCGGGGTCTGCCCCTACCTGCGTTCCTTGCGTCGAGGGACTGCAGCGCGCCGCTCCTCACTCCTCCGAGTTCCCTCCTCTGCAGACTCTCCACATGGACGTGTGGGGCCCAGCCCGCGTCCGTGGACAAGGTCACGAGCGCTACTTCCTGCTGGTCGTTGACGACTACTCGCGTTACACCACAGTCTTCCCCTTGTGTCGCAAGGGTGAGGTCACTGAGGTGCTGATCGACTGGATCCGCGCTACTCGTCGCCATCTCAGCGAGAGTTGCGGCTCGGACCTTCCTGATCTACGTCTGCACTCTGACAGAGGTGGAGAGTTTTCCTCTGACCTTCTGCAGGCCTTCTGACGTGTGGAGGGCATCCGCTAGACGTTCACGCTTCCGGCCTCTCCACATGAAAATAGGATTGCTGAGCGTCCCATTGGCATGGTCATGGACGTCGCTCGCACGCCCATGATCCATGCGGCTGCTCCCCATTTTCTGTCGCCGTTCGCGGTTCAGAACGCTGCGCATCAGCTCAACCTCCAGCCCCGTGTCTCCGTTCCAGAGACCACACCTGCTCTGCAGTGGACGGGGAAGGTTGGCGATGCCTCTGTGTTCCGTGTCCGGGGATCTCGAGCTTTTGTCCGCGACTCTTCCGCGGACAAGCTGTCCTCCCGTGCTGTTCCCTGCGTCTTCCTTGGCTTCCCCCCTGACGCACCTGGCTGGCAGTTTTACCACCCCACCTTGCGCCGTGTTTTGTCCTCTCAGGATGTCACGTTTGACGAGTCGGTTCCCTTTTACCGTCTCTTCCCCTACCGCACTGCCCCCCTCCCCCCCCCGTCGCTCTTCCTAGCATCAGGTCCTCCTCCGGTAGACCCCCTCCTCCCTTAGGGTCCTGCCCCCTCAGGTGTGTCCCGGGTAGACCATGTCGAGCTTGTCGAGATAGTTGTCGACTCTGGTACTGCTAGGGGTGCTGAGCCTGTAGGTGCGGGGCCTAGGGGTGCTGAGCCTGAGCGTGCGGAGCCTGGGGTTGTTGAGACCGAGTGAGCGGAGCCTGGGGTTGCTGAGTCTGAGAGTGAGAAGCCTGGGGGTGCTGAGCCTGAGAGTGTGGAGCCCTGGGGGGCTGAGACTGAGCGTGCTGAGCCTGGAGGTACTTTGTCCTCTGAAGTTCCTACGGGTGTCTTGTCCCGGCGTGAGCCACTCTCTCCACCGTAGCTGCGCGAGTGGTTTGCTCGGCGCTAGAGCCGTGCTGCTGGAGCTGGAAGTCCTGCTGTTGCTGGAGCTGCTGGAGGTGCTGGAGCCGCTGGTCCTGGGGGTGCTCGTACAGGAGGTATTGGAGCTGCTGGGGCTGGTGGTACTGCAGGACTTGGAGCTGGAGGCGCTGGAGCTGGTCCTGCTGGTGGTGCTGCAGGAGCTGGAGCTGTTCCTGGTGGTGGTACTGCTGGTGCTGGAGCTAGTGGTGCTGCAGAAGTTGGAGCTGGAGGCGCTAGAGCTGGTCCTGCTGGTGACGCTGCAAGAGTTGGAGCTGGAGGCACTGGAGCTGTTCCTGCTGGTGGTGCTGCTGGTGCAGGAGCTAGTGGTGCTGCAGGAGTTGGAGCTAGAGACCCTGGAGCTGGGGGTGCTGGAGCTGTCTCTGCTGGTTTTGGTGGTGCTACACGGCTGCGGCCATACTTCGTTCCACTCCTTCTGCACGTTCTTGGTCTCCCGCCTTCTACTGGTCCTACTCCTCCCTTAGCGTGTCCACCGCCTGTCCAATCACAGTCGCAGTTACAGCCAGCCTCCCTATGCCTGGTCCTTCTCCTTACATTGAGCCAATCAGCGGTCTTGCGGAGCGACGTGAGCCTACGTCTCGCCTTGCGTCGCCTGTTCGCGCGTCTCGCACTGGTAGTCGTGTTCCGCGTCCGCGTCCTCCTCCTGTCCCCGGCACGCACCAGATGGCACTTCGTCCTTCCTCTGTTCCACTATGTTTCCCTCTGCCGTCTCCTCCTACGTCCTCCCTTGCTGACGGTTCGGACCCCGAGTCTGACTCCCTTCGTGCTGCCAGCCCTACCGTCACGCGTCTGCAAGCTACTGCTGTCACTGACCCTTCCTTTGAGTCCACTGCTGTGTCTGCCTTAGTTGCTGAGCTTGTCGACTTTGCTGCTCGCTGTTGTCTAGACTACGCTGCTAGTCTGGTTGCTGAGTCTGAGTTTGAGTCTGAGTCTGTCTATCCTCCTTCCGTCGGGGGTGAGTGTGCTCTTGGCACGGACGTCTTTGAGGACAGGCAGGAGGAGTTTGAGTGCTTTGCCGCTGCTTTACCTCATCTCGTGTCCATGCTGAATACCCCTGAGGGAGACCCGGATGCACCAGACATCCCGACCCCGCGCTCTTACGCAGAGGCGATAGAGGGTCCCTACTCCTCTCAGTGGTAGACATCCATGGATGCAGAGATGGCTTCCTGGAAGTCCACAGGCACCTATGTCGACGAGGTTCCCCCACCTGGGTCGAACATCGTCAGTGGCATGTGGATTTTCAGGGTGAAGCGGCCGCCGGGTTCTCCGCCTGTCTTCAAGGCGCGTTACTTTGCACGAGGCTTCAGTCAACGACAGGGAGTTGACTTCTTCAAGACCTTCTCCCCCACCCCGAAGATGACCACTCTTTGGGTTCTGCTGCATGTAGCTACTCAGCGTGACTACGAGCTGCACTCTCTTGAATTCAACACTGCTTTCCTTCAGGGCAGCCTGCACGAGGAGATCTGGCTGCGCCGCCCACGTGAATTCACTGGGTCGTTTCCTGCTGGTACCCAGTGGAGCCTTAGGCGGCCAGTCTACGGTCTCCGTCAGGCGCCCCGTGAGTGGCACGAGACACTGAGGACGACCCTTGCAGCTCTTGGCCTTGCTCCTTCCACTGCTGTCCCGTTGTTGTTTCTTCGGACCGACACCTCTCTGTCATCGTTCTACGTCCTCGTGTACGTCGACGACTTGGTCTTTGCTACTTCTGACACCGAGGGACTCACCCACGTGAAGTCGGAGCTGTAAAAGAGACACACGTGTACAGAGCTGGTTGAGCTGCGCAGCTATCTTGGCTTGCGGATCACCCGGGACAGAGCACAGCGCACCATAACTTTGACTCAGTCACACATGGTGCAGCAGGTCCTTCAGCACTTCGGCTTCACGTACTCCTCTCTGCAGCCCACTCCTCTGCCTACTCGCCACTCGCTCTCAGCTCTGCCTTCGGATGAGTCCGTAGAGCCGAGTGGCCCGTATCCAGAGCTTGTGGGCTGCCTCATGTACCTGATGACCTGCATTCGACCTGACCTTGCTTACCCTTTTAGCATCTTGGCACATTACGTTGCCCCCGGGAGACACCGACCATAGCACTGGAAGGCCGCTAAGAGGGTCATGTGCTACTTGTGCAGTACGTCAGGCATGGGGCTCCTGCTTGGAGGACGGAGTCGGGTTGTCCTCATTGGTCACGCAGACGCTTCTTGGGTTGACGACTTGGCTATGCAGCGGTCGTCACAGGGTTACACCTTCAGCCTTGGCTCCGGCTCTGTTTTGTGTCGGTCTACCCGCTCATCTTATGTTCTCAGCTCCAGCTGTGAGGCTGAGATCTACGCAGGGGCCATGGCTGCATAGGAGTTACGCTGGCTCACCTACCTGATGACCGACCTTGGAGAGGCGCCTCGTTCTTCTCTAGTTCTGTGCGTCGACAACAAGGCCATGATTGCCTTGTGTCAGGAGCACACACTAGAGCACAGGACGAAACATATCGCTGTGCGTTACTTCCTTGCTCGAGAGTTGCAACAGTGTGGTCAGCTTCGTCTTGCTTACGTGGCCTCTCGGGCCAACACTGCTGATATCTTCACCAAGGCACTTCAGCCTTGTGATCATCAACGGTTCTGTACTGTTCTAAGTCTTGTGCCTACTTGGCTTCACTTGCTCACTTCTTGACTTTGCTTGTATTGTGATCTATATACTTACACCTGCATGCTTACACTTGCTAGGTTGTGATCACGGTCCTGCTTGTTCTCCTTTTTATATATATGTCTTTGCATGTGAACTGGCCTTGTGGCCTTTTTGATTGCGCTCAGAATGTGTGGTGACGTTGTGATCCACCCTGGGCTTGACCTTGTTTCGTTCTCTTGCTTGTCCCCCACTTTGCCTATGGGGGTGTGTCAGAACTATGCTCTAGGCTATAGTGGGGCACTCCTTATGGGGTACAGCCCAATTAGGTTTTGCCAATACAAACCTTGTACTGCTGTGTTTCTAGTCATCCTCGTTTCCTAACTCAGACACCTATATAGGAGGGCAAAGTGAAGCGCATCCAACTGATGTGCTTCCTGCTGCGTGATCTGTAGCTGTGCGGCCATGCATGCGTAGTACACTTGGCCTCATGGGCCAACACCGCTGGTGTCTTCACCAAGATGCCCTGCCTCATGATAATCAACTACTATGCATACCGCTTGACGTTGTCCCTGCAACACTTTACTTGCCATAATTTCAATCTCTTTACATAGTATTGTGCTTGGTTTTGTTTGGTTATACTCACTGATTGGCGTTCTGACCATCTGTCTCATAGGCTGGGCTGGTTGTACGACCATGAGTTGTCTCTCATACACTTTGTTGTTCTTGCCGACTGTCCTTTTGGCCCCTTGTCTTAGAAGTTGGATTTGTAGTGCCACCATGCGTTGTTTCTCGCTTTCTATATAGTGACATCCATTTCTTAACATAAGGGGTGTCTCAACCTATACATTTATGTTCGTATATGTATTTTGTAGGCTAGGTTGGGTTGCACAACAGAGAGTATGGGTTGTTATTTATACCCCCCTCATGAGTAAATTCATCATGTTTTTAACAACGACCGTCAACTCAAAAAGTAAGGAGGATGCAGAAGGAACAGAATCGCAAGATGCACGAAGCTGTCAAATGTTGTAGCACGTAGTGAGGCATGTCATATGTGTCAGAGGTCCACTGGTGATCTCCTATTGATCCTGTCGAAGGGTTACATGTCAGACATATATGACATAGCTACTGTAGGCTATAATGGGGTAGCACATATGGGGTACAACTTTCTAGGGTTTGTACTTGTACCCAACTTTCCCTTAGTCATTTTCATTCCTCGTTTCTTCTCATGGTATCGAGCAGGTTCCTTAGTGGGAACGATTCCTAGGGCCCACCACCACGATTTTTTTTATTTTCTGCCCGGAGCGCGCTTCGCTCCGGCCCGAGTCGCGCCCCGTGTGCTCTCCCTACCGTCGCGCCCTTGCTAGGCCCCTCACGGCCCCGTCGCGTCGCCCTTAGCGGCCCTCTCACGTCTCCCTAGCGCCGCTCTTACGGCCCGTCGCGCCGCCCTTACGGCCCGTCGCGCCGCCCTTACGGCCCGTCGCGCCGCCCTTACGGTCCCTCGTGCCGCCCTTACGGCTCCTAACGCCGCCCTTACGGCCCAGCGAGCCGCCCCTTATGGCCCCTTACGGCCCCTCACGCTACCCTTACGGGCCCTCCCGCGGCCCCTTCGGCCCCTCCCGCCGCCCGTAGGCCTCTTACGGCCCCCTCGCGGCCCCTCGAGCCGCCTTCCGCGGCCTCCTCACGGCCCCTCGCCGCCCTCGGCGGCCCCTCGTGGCGCCCTTCACGGCCTCTCCGCCGCCCTTTGCGGCCCCTAGCGGCCGGCCGCTGTCGTCCCTGAGGCAGCAGCCGCCGCCGTCGCTGCAGCAGCAATCGCCACAGCTCCTGCGACTACTGCCGCGGTCGTCACCAGCCACACCAGCCGCCGAGCCGCCCAGCAGCCGAGCAACCGGGCCGCCGAGCCGCCCAGCAGTCGAGCCGCCCAGCAGCCGAGCCACCGAGCCGCCGAGCCGCCCAGCAGCCGACCGCCGAGCCGCCCGAGCCGCCGAGTCGCCCGAGCCGCCCGAGCCGCCGAGCCGCCCCAGCCGCCAAGTCGCCGAGCCGAAATTGCTGCCGAGCCGCCGTACTGCCGAGCCGCCGAGCCGCCCGAGCCGCCCTGTCTGGTAAGAGCATCGCCTCTATCACTTCACTGCCCTTACCCTACTGTTCGCGCTGCTAGTCTACTGCTGTCATGGCTACCCCTAGTGTCCTTGCCTTTGACGCTGAGGGTCGGGCCATTGACTTTGACGTCTGGGTAGATGACCTTCAACCTATCTTACAGTGCGATAGGGCAGACGGTCTCTCCCTCTTTGACCTCACCTCTGGTGCCTCTCCTGCCCCTGCTGCTGATGCTGACGCCACTGTTCACTCACAGTGGGCCACACGGGATGCTGCTGCCAGCTTGCTGTGCGTCGCCACCTGCCTATCTCTGAGCGTGCGCACTTTAGCCAGTACAAGAGTGCTCAGACCTTGTACGACGCTGTAGTTGCACGCTACTCCTCCCCTGCCACTGCTGCACTGAGCCGCCTCATGCTACCGTACCTCTTCCCTGACCTTGCTGCCTTTCCCACAATCGCTGACCTCATTACGCACCTCCGCACTAGTGACACTCACTATCGCGCTGCGCTTCCTGCTGAGTTCTGCGCCACGAACCCTCCCCCCCCCCCATGTACATCACCCTCTACTACATAGTCACCCGGCTCCCTGACTCCCTTCGCGTAGTCAGGGACCACTTCCTCTCAGTTTGCCCCACCACTCTCACCATTGACCTCCTCGAGAAGGCCCTCCTAGCAGCAGAGAAGAGCATAGTCACTGTAGGAGCCTCTCGTGGTGACCCTCGCACCCCCGTCTTTGAGGGGTGTTCCCCCTCACCCCTTTTGCCCTCTGTTGCCTCTGCTGCTGCGGCCGACCTCGTTGGTTTCGAGTCGGTCGGCGCTGCGTCTGCCCCAAGCGGGAGACGCCGCACCGGCAAGGGCAAGGGGGGCAAGGGCGCTAGAGGGGCTGGCGGGGGTGGCGGAGGTGGCGGTGGAGGCACTGGAGGGGGTGAGGGTGGTGGTGGGAGTGTTGGCGGGGGTGGAGGTGTCGGTGGCGGCAGTGGAGGCGGAGGCGGCGGCGGCGGTGGCGGTGGGAGCGGAGGTGGCGGAGGTGGCGGCGGTGGAGGAGGCGGCGGCGGAGGCGGTGGAGCTGGTCGGGGTGGCGCTGCGCAGAGGGTCGGCTCCGGTGGTGGTCAGCGCCAGCAGCAGCGCAGTCGTGACATCCCCTCCCCTCAGCAGCTCCGTGAGTGGTACGCTGCACGCCAGCGGGGTTGGGGTACTGGTCCGTGCACCTACGTCCTACGCACCAGCGACCGCGCGGGTGAGCAGTGCGGGGGTGCGCACTCCACCCAGCGCTGCTTTGGCCGCCTGACGGACGCTTGGCGTCACCAGTTCCCTGAGGCCACTGAGATTCCTCGCTGGGGCGAGCTGTCTAGGGCGGGAGTAGCTATCTTTGACCTTGACTTTGATGCTATTCTTGCTGCCATGTATGCTGTGACTATTAGTGATGAGGGTAACTGTTACCGGTGTTTTCCGCCCGACCCGGGCATTGAGACTGCTGCTCTAGGTACTGGTGAGGCTGCTGCTCTAGGTGCTAGCGAGGCTGCTGCTCTAGGTGCTGGTGCGTCTGCTTCCTCAGGTGCTGGTGAGTCTGCTCTCTCAGGTACTGCGTCGGCTTCGGCCTCCCACACCTTCACACTTGACTCGGGGGCTTCTCGCTCCTTCTTTCGAGACCGCACCACACTCACGCCGCTTGGTCGGCCAGATGCTGTCTCCCTGGCAGACCCCTCTGGGGGTCCTGTCCTTGCTCACTTCTCCATTGTCCTCCCGTGTCCGACGGCCCCCTCTGGCACCCTGTCTGGTCTTTACCTCCCCTCATTCTCTACAAACTTGGTGAGTGGTGCTGACCTACAGGATGCGGGGGTTCACCAGTTCAGTCCTGCGAGTCAGCGGGTGACCCACTGCACGGATGCTCGGACAGGCCGACACCTGGCCACGTTTACACGTCGGCCGGGGTCAAGCCTGTACACACTGACCACTGAGTCTCCTCCAGTCACTGCGTCTGGTCAGGTAGCTACGTCGGGTCAGGTGTTTGCTGCAGCATCCAGGTCTGGTCCTGAGTCTACCCCCTGCTCGTGTCGCCTCCTGTCTCACGAGACTCTCCTCTGGCACCACCGCCTTGGTCACCCCTCCCTGCTTCGTCTCCGAGGCATGGCCTCCCGTGTCCTTGTCTCTAGTCTTCCCCGGTCCCTCCCTCCCCTTCCTCCGGGGCCTGCCCCTGCCTGCGTCCCCTGTGTAGAGGGGCGGCAGCGGGCTGCCCCTCACTCCTCCCAGTTTCCTCCGACAGTGGCCCCGCTGCAGACGCTTCACATGGACGTGTGGGGCCCGGCCTGCTGGTGGTTGACGACTACTCGCGTTACACCACAGTCTTCCCCTTGCGCAGCAAGGGTGATGTCAGTGAGGTGTTGATCGACTGGATCCGCGCAGCTCGTCTCCAGCTGAGGCACAGCTTCAGCTCGGACTTTCCTGTTCTGCGTCTGCACTCTGATAGAGGCGGAGAGTTCTCCCTTGGCCTTCTGCGAGCCTACTGTCGTTCACGAGGCATCCGCCACACCTTCACGCTTCCGGACTCTCCACAGCAAAATGGGATTGCTAAGCGCCGCATTGGCATAGTCATAGACGTCGTCCGTACGTCCATGATGCATGCGGCTGCCCCCCATTTTCTGTGGCCGTTTGCGGTTCGGTACGCGGCGCATCAGATCAACCTTCACCCCAGGGTCTCCATGCCGGAGACCTCCCCAGCTTTGCTGTGGACGCGGAAGGTTGGAGATGCGTCTGCGTTCCGTGCCTGGGGATCTCGGGCGTTTGTCCGCGACTTGTCTGCGGACAAGTTGTCCCTTCGTGCTGCTCCTTGCGTCTTCCTTGGCTTCCCCCGTGACGCGCCAGGGTGGCAGTTCTACCACCCCACCTCTCGCCGTGTTCTGTCCTCCCAGGACGTCATGTTTGACGAGTCAGTCCCCTACTACCACCTCTTCCCCTACCGCACTCCTTCCCTCCCCCCGCCACCGTTCTTCCTTGTGCCAGGTCCCCCCCTGGTAGACCCCCTCCCCCCTCAGGGTTTTGCCCCTTCAGGTGTGTCCCAGGTAGACGCAGTCGAGCCTGTTGAGGTTGCTGGTGACTATGGTGCTGCTCAGGGTGCTGAGCCTGGGGGTGCTGAGCGTTTGGGTGCTACGCCTGGGGGTGCTGAGTCTGAGGGTGCCACTACTTGGGGTGCTGAGTCTGGGGGTGTTGAGCCTGGGGGTGCTACTACTGAGGGTGTTGAGCCTGGGGGTGCTGAGCCTGGGGGTGCTACGCCTAGGGGTGCTGAGCCTGGGGGTGCGGAGCCTGGAGGTGCTGAGCCTGGGGATGCTACGCGTGGAGGTGCTGAGCCTGGGGTGCGGAGCCTGAGGGAGCTGGGCCTGCTCGTGTCGCGTCTGGCGGTAGTGAGCCTGCAGGTTCTCCGCGTGCTTCGTCTCGGCGGGAGCCCCTCTCTCCACAGGAACTGCGTGAGTGGTTTGCCTGGCGCTAGAGGCGTGCTGCTGGAGCTGGAGGTTCTTCGGCTGCTGAGGGTGCTGGTGCCGCGGGTCCCGGAGGTGCTCGTACTGGGGGTACTGGAGCTGCTGGGCCTGCGGGTGCGACTGGAGCTGGAGCTGCTGAGGGTGTTGGTGCTGAGGCTACTGCTGTTGGTCCTGGAGGCGGTCCCGCTAGGGGTGCTACTGGTGGTGCTGGAGGTACTGGAGCTGGAGGTGCTGCTGGCGCTGGTGCTGCCGCTAGGGGTCCTGGTGCTGTCCCTGCTGTGTCTGAAGTCGCCGCGCGGCCTCGGCCGTACTTCGTTCCGCTCCTTGAGCAGGTTCTTGGTCTCCCGCCTTCTACTGGTCCTCCTCCTCCCTTAGAGTGTCCACAGCCTGTCCCGTCACAGTTATAGTTCTAGCCGGCCTCCTCACTGCCTGCTCCTTCTCCCTACACTGGTCCTACTGGAGGTCTTGCTGAGCGTCGTGAGCCTGCGTCTCGCCCTGCGTCGCCTGTCCGTGCTGCTCGCTCTAGTGGTCGTGGTTCGCGTCAGCGTCCTCCTCCTTTCCCTGACACGCACAGGATGTCTTTGCGTCCGTCCATCGCTCCTCTGCGTGCCCCTTTGCCTTCTCCTCCTGAGTCCTCTCTTCCTGCTCTTCCCGACCCGGAGTCGGACACTCTTCGTGCTGCCAATCCTTCTGTCACGCGTCTCCTTGCTACTATCGTCACTGACCCTTCCTTTGAGTCCACTGCTGCGTCTGCCCTAGTTGCTGAGCTCCTCGATTTTGCTGCTCGTTGTCGTCTAGACTACGCTGCTAGTCTTGTCGCTGAGTCTGAGTCTGTCTGTCCTCCGTCCGTCGGGGGTGAGTGTGCCCTTGGCACGGACGTCCTTGAGGACAGGCAGGAGGAGTTCCAGTGTTTGGCTGCTGCTTCACCTCATCTCGTGTCCGTACTGCTTACCCCTGAGGGAGACCCGGATGCACTTGACATCCCGACTCCGCGCTCTTACGCGGAGGCGATAGAGGGTCCCTACTCCTCTCAGTGGCAGGCAGCTATGGACACAGAGATGGCTTCTTGGAAGTCCACAGGCACCTACGTTGACGAGGTTCCCCCGCCTAGGGCGAACATCGTCAGTGGCATGTGGATTTTCAGGGTGAAGCGGCCGCCGGGTTCTCCGCCTGTCTTCAAGGCGCGTTACGTGGCTCGTGGCTTCAGTCAGCGGCAGGGAGTTGACTACTTTCAGACCTTCTCTCCCACCCTGAAGATGACCACTCTTCGGGTACAGCTGCACATAGCTGCTCACCGCGACTACGAGCTGCACTCTCTTCACTTCAGCACTGCTTTCTTACAGGTCAGCCTGCACGAGGAGATCTGGCTGCACCGCCCACCTGGCTTCACTGGATCTTTTCCCCCTGGCACCCAGTGGAGCATCCGGCGGCCAGTCTACGATCTCCGCCAGGCACCGCGTGAGTGGCACGACACACTGAGGACTACACTTGCGGCTCTTGGGTTTGCTTCCTCTACTGCTGACCCGTCGCTGTTTCTGCGCACCGACACTTCTTTGCCGCCGTTCCATATCCTCGTGTACGTCGACGACTTGGTCTTTGCCACAGCTGACACTGCTGGACTCGCCCACGTGAAGTCCGAGCTGCAGAAGAGACACACGTGCACAGACCTGGGTGAACTGCGTAGCTACCTTGGCTTGCAGATCACCCGGGACAGAGCACGCCGCACCATTACCCTGACTCAGTCACACATGGTGCAGCAGGTCCTTCACCGCTTCGGCTTCACGTACTCCTCGCCTCAGGCCACTCCTCTGCCTACTCGCCACTCGCTCTCAGCTCTGCCTTCGGATGAGTCCGTAGAGTCGAGTGGCCCGTACCCAGAGCTTGTTGGCTGCCTCATGTACCTGATGACCTGCACACGACCTGAGCTTGCATACCCTCTTAGCATTCTAGCATGCTATGTTGCTCCTGGGAGACAGAGACCGAAGCACATGGCTGCAGCGAAGAGGGTGTTGCGCTACTTGTGCAGTACGTCGAGCATGGGGCTTGTGCTTGGAGGGCAGAGTGCTGTGGTCCTCACTGGGCACGCAGACGCTTCTTGGGCTGACGACCAGGCTACGCAGCGGTCGTCACAGGGTTACACCTTCAGCCTTGGTTCCGGCTCTGTCTCGTGGCGGGCTACCCGCTCGTCTTCTGTTCTCGGCTCCAGTTGTTAGGCTGAGATCTACGCCGGGGCCATGGCTGCACAGGAGCTTTGTGGCTCACCTACCTGCTGACTGACCTCGGAGAGCCGCCTCGTTCTCCTCCAGTGCTGTACGTAGACAACAAGGCCATGCTGGCCTTGTGTCGAGAGCAGAGACTGGAGCACCGAACGAAGCACATTGCTCTCCGCTACTTCCTTGCTTGTGAGCTACAGCAGCGTGGTCAGCTGCGCCTTGCGTACGTGGCCTCTGAGGCCAACAATGCTGATATCTTCACCAAGGCACTTGCGCCTTGTGATCATCAGCGCTTCTGTACTCAGCTGGGTCTTGTGCCTACCTTGCCTCACTTGCTCACCCCTTGACCTTGTTTGTACTGTTACGTATATGTATACAGACCTACTCTTGCTTGTCTAGCCTTATATATATATGTAATCCTGCATGTGAACTGGCCTTGTGGCCTTGAACTTGTGCTCGGAATGTGTGCTGACTTTGTGATCCACCCTGAGCTTGCTTTGCTTTGCTTGACTGGTCTTGTGACCCCTTGTTCTCCCCCACTTTGTCTATGGGGGTGTGTCAGACATATATGACATAGCTACTGTAGGCTATAGTGAGGTAGCACATATGGGGTACTGCTTTCTAGGGTTTGTACTTCTACCCAACTTTGCCTTAGACATTTTCATTCATCGTTTCTTCTCATTACAGGCACGTTGGCCTGGGGGATTATGGGCGCACTTACCCGCTACACAAATAAGCCCTTTTATCCTAGTGATTAGTGGCTGGGATTCTGACATGGTATCAGAGTGAAGTTCTCGGGTTCGAATCCCGGTGTGTGCACTTCGGGCATCCCAGTGCGGGGGGGTGTCAGAGGACCAATAGTGATCCTTGATTGATCATAGGGAAGGGTTACAGGCACGTTGGCCCGTGGGGTTATGGGCGCACTTACCCGCTACAAAAATAAGCCATTTTATCCCAGTGGTTAGTGGCTGGGATTCTGACAATGTGGGGTACAGTTTTTGGGGTTAGTTATATGTACCCCAACTCACAGTAATACAGGCATCATTCCGTTTCTGAGATAAGCGGCTATTGAGAAGGACGCTGTGCAGATGTTGCTGCCAGATCTGCGGAGACTAATTAATTTCGTAGAGATTTTTTTGCAGCTGGCACACCTGGAAGCCTCACACTTAACCGTACTAATTTATCATGACAACTTTTGGACTAAATGATGTGGTATACAAAATTATGGCTCGAATGCTATGTTTGTGTATGAAATATGTTTAGTGTCCAAACGAGTCCTAGATTCTGGCTGACGCTGAACAGTTTCTCGATTCAGTGCTGGTCTTCCGCCCATCTCCCAGTCCCAGACTCGTTTTCAGGGAATAAAAGTTGAACTAGCTGTTGAGGCGGCGGTGGCTGTACTGGTATAGGAGCGTTACTCGCATGATGTTTCCGATAAAGGTTTGCTCAGCTTTCAGGCAATGATATTGGTATATTTGAGGTGTCATTCCTCTTACACTGCCGATCCTACCGAACGGCTAACATAGAATCCATATAATCGGTTCTCTGGATTCTCTGCGTGTAAAACCGTCCATAGGCAGCTCACTGGCGTTTTCGCAGAATCCGCCGCCCACTTCGAGGCGCTGGCTCCGACCAGGTATTGGTTTCCGAGTTATTTATGCAAGGCGTTTTTGAAAAAAAACAAAAAACAAAAACGAAAAACAATCGGTAGTTATCTGTTCACACACGTATTGCTTCCTGACCATGTAGAGTTACTTCTGGTGGTTCCGCGGTTACGGAGCGGGTTTGGCGCGCGCACGTTTTCTTGTTAACGTGGAGATCTGGGTGCTGGGACGCGCGATGCGATGTTGGTAGTGCCACTGGGTGCGGAACACTCGGATAGCAGGAGGGTTGGGGGGGAGAAAGCGCAGGGTAGCGGGGAGGCATGGGAAAAAATGCAGAGGTTTTTTGTGAGCCCCCTCGGAAGTTCTGGGTGGGACGCGCAATGCGGCGATGATGGTGCTGCTGGGTCGGGGAAGCGGAGGGAAGCGGGGAGCGCACGTCCGGTTCCAAAAGCGTCGCACATCTTTTGTAAACAAAACTCGGATATTTTGGCTTTCCCTTTAACAATTTCCCCCTTTCCTTTCCTCACCCTTTGCCCCACTCTCCCACCACGACCTCCCCCCCCCCCCCCCCGCTTCCGCTCCCTCTCCTCCCAGCATGTCCGCCCTTTCCCTGAAGCGGTGGCGCGTGGGGGAGAGGGTGGAGGTTTCCCGCCCGGGGGAAGGCCTTCAGGGGGGATGGTTCACCGCCGTGCTGATGGCGGTAGATAGAGGCGCGCAGAGGGGTTCAGTGCGGTACGAGGAGATGATGGAGGCCGACGGGGTGACCAGGCTGAGTGAAGACGTCAGCTTGGATCAAATCCGCCCCGTGCCACCTGGCATAGAGGGAGACTACCCTGCCACGTGGACTGAGGTAAGTGGAGGAGGAGATTTGTGGAGGCGTGGGGTGGGACATAGATGTCAACTACTTGCCATGCTTGTTATATGGGGAAATCGTAAGCTAAAAAAGCACTCATACCTGTTCTCCCTGCTATCTCGACTCTTCCGTCCCACCTTCCCTACTCTTCCTGCAGCCCCCCTCCCCAACCTTCATTTCTACTTAGTGCTGCTTTTCTGATTCCTCTTCAAACACCCCTCGCCTCCCTACAGGGCCATGCGGTGGAGGCTTGGCACAACAAAGCGTGGTGGATCGGCACCATCCTTGGCCGAACCTCGCCCGAACCTGATTTTCCCGGTTCCGCGTCTGGCACTAGGCTCGGCACCGAGGCTGAGATGCTGGCGTTCCGAGTGTGTTTGCAGGGATCAGAGGAGCACAAGGTGTTTCCGGCCCGTGACTTGCGCACAAGAATGGAATGGCTTCAGGGTATGTGGATACCTCTCAAGCCTACACCTGCTGCTACAGCTGACACCGACTCTGTTGCTGCAGCTGCCACAGCAGCTACTGCTTCTATGGGAGCTCCTGCTGCTGCTTCTAGTGCACCTGGCGCCACTGCAACTGCTGCTGCTGTTACAGATGCAATTATTGGTGGTGCCATTGAATCAGCGTGTGCTCATGCTGAACTTGATGCTGCAACCGATGCTGCAACCGATGCTGCAACCGATGCTGCAACCGATGCTGCAACCGATGCTGCAACCGATGCTGCAACCGATTCTGCAACCGATGCTGCAACCGATGGTGCAATCGATGTTGCGACCGATGCAGCAACCAATGCTGCATACCATATCACAACTGATGCTGTAACTGCACCTATTTGTGATGTCGCTAGCGACGCCATAACTGATTCGGTAAATGAAGCTGCAACTGAAGCTGCAACTGAAGCCATAACCGAAGCTGTAACCGAAGCTGTAACCGAAGCTGTAGCTGATGCAACTATGGCAGCCGCTGCAGCAGCAGCCGGTGATTCATGTGCATTCGAAGTTGATGGAAAAAGAGGAGCAAGGGCCGAGGTCCTAGAGGGGGTTCCAGCGGCTACAGGGGGCGAGACCCTGGCAGCAGCTGCTGATGTGGCAGCTGGTGATGCATGTGTACTCGGGGGTGACAGAAAAAGGGCTTCAGGGTCCGAGGCTCAGGAGGGGGGTGAGGTTCTAATCGGGGATAAAGCGACTACTTCTGAGGCGTCTCACTCTCACAAGGCATCAGCGGCCAATTCTCAGGCAGGGGACGAGGCCGTAATGGGGAAACGCGCGGGAGCGGGCAGGGAAGCAGCGGAAGGAGACGGCATGGCAGCAGCAGCTTCAGGAGGAGCAGCAACAGCAGTAGCAGTAACATTAGAGGACAGAGAAAGAGGTGAAATACCAGCAGCGGCAGAACGAATGGCTGTAGCAGCAGAGGGAACAGCAGGGGACGGAGAACGAGGTGGAATGCCAACAGGACCAGCAGCAGCAGCTGAACAAGTAGCAGCAGCGCCAGGTGTTGGGGGGTGTGGAGGAGAGTGCAGGGAGGGGCAGGGTGGCGTGAAGACGCAGTCTGCTACCCATGAGGAGAAAGATCAAAGGGAGCAGCTGACTATATCGCATGGGCAGGTGATAGTAGGACAGGGTGCCAATAGTGAAGGTCGGACAGGCCCTGTGAGTGTGGTTGATGCTGGTGATCGTGAGGGGTGTGAGGGAGGAATTGACAGTAAGGCAGGTGTTCCAATATTGAAAGGCGCAGTGGGCTCTGTGAGTGTGGGTGAAGCTGATGATCGTGAGGGCTGTGGAAAAGGAGGAGTTTTCCGAGGGGAAGGTGGAGAGAGGGAGGGTGGAGAGAGGGAGGGTGGAGCGAGGGAGGGTGAGGCACAGACTAGAATGAACGGGAAGGGTGGGGAGGAGGGTGGAGAGAAGAATAGAGAGGAGGGTGGTAGGAAGGGTAGAGAGGAGGGTGGAGATCATAAAGGAGAGGAGAAGTGTAGGGGGAGCGAGAAGAGGGGAGAAGAGAAGACCACTGGTTTGGCCACGATACTTGGCAGGACACCAGGCATGGAGTCACATCAGTGTGTGCGGCTGCATGGTGCAGTGGGAGGGGATGGGGTGGGGCAAGGAATGGAAGAGAAGAAGCAAGGTGGGGCCTCACAAACAGACGAGGCGTGTGCGCGTGAGTGCTCAGCAGCAGACGTCACCTGTCCGGATGACGCCTGTCAGGATTTTGCTGCTTTTCAGAACGACCCCTGTGAGAACAAACCCTGTGAGGATGCTGGCAGCTGTGAGGACGACCCGTGGGACCTGGGGGCCGCTGCTGCTGATGCTGCTGTTGGGAGGCATGGGGCTGCTGCCGTTGCAGTGGTGGTGTACAAGCGGAGAAAGACGGCTCAGGGATGGGTGGGATCAAACCCGGCTGGCCACAAGGGAGGGCTGTGTACCCACAAGGGGACGCTTGAGTGGCGCTCCCAAAGCAGAGAAAGCTTGAGTGGTAGTCTTAGGCTTAGCCCGGCTCGTGTAGTGACGCAAGGAGGAGGGCCGTTGGGAGGTCCGTGGGGCTCAGTGGGAGTGCAGCTGGGGAGAGGAGAGGTGGAGGAGGAAACGGAGGTTGGCAGGTTTGGTGGTAAGGGATCAGGGAGTACGGGTGATAAGAGTGCGGTTGGTGGGAAGGTGAGGAAGAGGGAGGGGCTTGCGAGGCAGTGCAAGCGCACGAGAGGAGGAGCCGAAAGAGGAGAGGAAGAGGATAGGGGGGCAGAAGGAAGGAGAGGAGGAAGCCTCAGGGCCTCGATGCATGCAGCCAGCACCAATCCGCCTTCCACCCGCGATGTGGCATTGAAATCACCTACTCTGGTAAAAACACCCCTTCTGTTGAAAGCACCTGCAGTACCACCTGCCACACCTGTGGCTGCACGTGTGACTGGCGCTTCAGCCATTGGAGCAGCTGGTCTTGGCACACCTATCGGCACACATGCCATTGGTGGTGCCCCTGCTGTTGGTGCTCCTGCGACTCCTGCAGCCATGCCTGCGACTCCCATGGTGGCAGGGGAGAAGCTGCGGGGCCAGCGGTGCCAACTGCCAAACCAACTGGCAAAGGCGGCTTCTGAAGACAGGCGAGGAGCAGGAGGGACGGTAGATGGTGGGAGTAGCAGTGAGGAGGTGGAGGAGGTGGGAGAGGGGTTTGGAGAGGGGGTGGGAGAGGAGGTGGGAGAGGAGGTGGAGGAGGTGGGAGAGGAGGGGGTGGGGGAGGAGATGGCAGGTGACGGAGTGGTGGTGGTGGTGGGGAGTGAGGATGAGGGAGAGGAGGGGGGAAGGGAGCAGGAGATGGGAAGTGGTGGAGTTGCAGGGAAAAGGGCAAGGAAAGCAGGGAGTGAGGAAAAGGGAGAAGATTGGGATCTGGAGGAGGTGGAAGAGACGAAGATTATCAGGGGAAGGGATGAGACGTATGCTGAGGAAGACAATGGTGGTGGTGGTGGTGGTGATGGGGATGGTGATGAGGACGCAGATGATGGTGATGGCGATGATGATGTGGTGGAGGTGGTGGGAGAGGAGGCTTGCGTGAGCATAGTGCGGCACGGGCAAGCAGCACCAGGGGTGGGGCATCATGTGACGGTCACATCCCCATCTGCACTCACCACCGCAGCAGGCCGAGCCAGTACTATCGGACACGGACACAGCCACGGACACGGACACGGCTCAGCAGGGCTTATAGACAAGGCACATCCAAGAGCACATGTGGGCTCACATACAGGACTCACAGAGGCGTATACTGCAGCGCATGCACGAGCACAGGCAACGGCGCATGCACCCCATGCCCCAGTAACTCCTGCTAATGCTGGTAACCGTGTTACCTCGTCAGGCTGGGTAACCAGCACTCCTCCAGGCCAGCTGTTGTGCTCCGAGCAGCACATAGGTGGAGTGAAGCGGCAGCGCTTCTTCAGCTCCTGGCACCGCCAGTGCCCTCTCTTTCAAGACGCTCACACTCACACAGGGACAGAGGACCTTGCCGTGCACCGGCAGAGTGCTCTCTTTCAAGACACTCACACTCACACAGAAACAGAGGGCCTTGCCGTGCCAAGGATACCGGTAGTCCACCATGCCAGCTCTGGTGCGGCCGAGGTGAATGAGCAGGATAGGCCGTCCACTGGATCGCTCTATAGAGAGGATAAAGGGGGTTTGGCGGATGGGGAGGGGAGAGGGGGCAGGGGAGTGGAGGCTGTGGCAGAGGCGGCATATGGGGGGGTGTTGGATGCGCTGTGGGTGCAGGGAGGCGGAGAAGGGATCACGTGGGATAAGGAGGTTCTGCTTACAGACCTGCGCAGGGCTTTAAGTATTTCGAATGACCAGCACTCCTGGCTGCTTGCTGCTCTGCTGTCGCGGAGTGAGGTGCGAGACGCTTGCTGGTGACGTGTTTGAGGCATCTCTGATGAAATATTTGCTTTCCCATAATGGTACTTGTGTGTGCATGTGCTGCTCTGCTATCAGAAGTGGGGCTGTGTGTGTGTGAAGTAGCAGCTGATGATCCAGGCACCGAGTTCAGGCTCAGGAAGCAGCCAACTTTTGTAATCAGGGGCTCGTACATATATTGTCATAAAGAAAAGAAACTAAAAGCACAACACCATGATAATTGTAGGTTATATATCTTATTTTAGTCAAGCTGTTGTTGAGGTCGGTGTGGGAGGTTTATGGAAAACAATGTTTTGAGCCTTTTTCTTTCCACGTGTCTAGATTGGATTGTCGCTCCATCCTTGGCCCTCGAGTACTTTTCTTCGCCCACGAACCGTTGGGCCTTTCGCAAGCCGCCACGTGGGGCCGCCTCCCTGTCAATTGGTCAAATTCCACTACTGCCACCGCGCTGACGCGTCACTAAAAAACTCTATCTTTGCGATCCACCAAGAAATCTTTACGGGCGAGTGTGTCAGAACAAAAAAGACCCGCGAAACGAGCCTCGGAAACTCCGCACAGTGCACCCCTCCGCCTGCAAGATCCTCCTCTATTTCTTCCCCCAGGCTGCCCTCCGCAACCCCTCCGCCCCCACCGCAGGGCTCTCTAGGGAACCACGTTTGTTGAGGCCTGCTTCGAAGTTCTCGAGAGAAGTCCCTTGTCGCGGAAGTCGTGTTTCCACCACCCCTGTTTAGGAGGATACAGCGAACGAAGTCATGCGAGACTGTCGACCCACAATTGTTTCGCGCATGCTAAATCATAGCCCGAGAAGTTTCGCGAAATCAAGTCACACAACCTCGAAAGGAATCGCGAAGCCATCGTGAACGACACAGACTGATTCGAGTGAATCTCGAGGACCTAACCTGCTCGAACAAAGGTGACGCGTCCTAACCTGCTCGACTCACTCCCCCAGACAGACACGCCTTGTCCTAGATATCACCCACTTCCGTCCCATAACTTTTCTTTTTCCCAGATTCTCTTTTTCCCAGATTCACACGTCATTTATTGCTGATCTGCCTGATAGTCTCGTTTGGTATTGTCCAGGGTGTGGAGGCCACTCATCCCTTGGTGCGTAGCAAATTCGTCTTGATCCGACGGATTTAGTATGTAATTGTATAGCGATCGTCTGACACAACCGATCCTATATTCCTCGTCCTGCTCCTTTTACTAGCGTTACTTCATCCGATCTTACTCCGTTGATTCGGCGTTTTCACGTACAATACTTATTCTAGCTAATGCACCTTTTTTCCTTCAGGAAGGGTCCTCGTCCGCATTCTCTTATTGCCGTGGAGCCTTCACGCACATGACGATAGGATGAGCATCTGATGCAGCTGCTTCATTCCTTTCCTCGGGCCCTCTCTGCGGGCGATCAGTCATGGTCCGTTTCTTTCTTCATTCGTCGTCTGTGTCTTCACTACGAGCTTTCTCCTTCATGTTTGTCAATATCTTTCGGGTCAGGGTTCACTAGTATTTTACAGAGAAGCTGCTGCGATGAATAAACTTGCAGAGAGGGTCTGCTCGATGCGTCAGTCGCTTAAGTTGTTGTGTTCCTTCGTGTGTTCATAAGAGTTATTTTCATCGATCAGACTTATTCCTGTCCGTTTAGATCTATGCATTGCTACTGAAAGAGGCAGCAACGTGAAACAGAAGCCGTTTTATTGCAGATGTCGTGTTCTTTTTTTTCGCATTAGTCCCGGTCTATGCTCGATGGAGCTGGGTGTGTTCCTCATTGCGTCATTGTTCGTATCAGATTGTGTGTGAGTTTGCATCACCTTCAGAAACTTCCATTTGTTTATTCCAATCGTGTATCTAGTCCGTGTCAGCTTCATGTGTCAACCCTATCGTCTCGTCATTGGAGCAGTCAGAATAGTTGCGTGTCAGCTCCTTTTGCTCGGATTCGGACATTCCGTCCGCTCCTTGATATGCAATCTGATAAATTGTTCACATGACTAATTGTCGTCGCCACCACTCGTCCGCATAATCGTTCATCAGAATGAGCAGCTATGCTCAACTTCTCCGAATGCTTCGTTAATTGCGTTTCTGTTTCTCCCGAATACCCTTACAGGCGTGCATGAGTGGCGTAGCACCGCTGGCAGCAGCATCAGCACCAGCATCAGTCTCAGTATCAGTATCAACATCAGCATCAGCAAACTTGACATCCTCCCTCTGCGTCCGCCCGAAACCTCCTTCGCACACGCTCACCACCACCGCATTCCGCTCCCTCTCCGCCACCTCCGCCACCGCGACCACAGCAGCAACGGCAGCCAAATCCAGCCGTCTGCTGTACGCTCTCCGCCCATCCTCGCCCCCTAGGCAGCGCTCCCCTCCCCGCCTTCCCACGGCTGCTGCTGCTGCTCTGTACAGCGCAGGGCATGCCCTGGACGGCTCCCCTCGTCTCCGATCCGCAGCTGCTGCCTCTGCTGCCGGCCGCAGCCTGTTCCTGGGACAGAGGTGAGACGCGGGTCGTGGTTGCGTACAGAGGCTGCAATTTCACTTCATGCTTTCAGGAAACCCGCTTTGCGCAGTTGACGGTTTAGCTGGTCATTTCCCGCGTTGTACGTGCTCCTTGCAGCTTCGTGCGGTGTGAATTCGCCAGTGTCTTTTAGCATACGTGAAAACTGGTGACGGGGAGTGTGCGTACTGGCTGTTGATGCCAAATCTGTTCCTTCCTTCCTTCCTTCCTTTCGTATTCTGTGCATGGGACACATCCCTCTTTCCGCAATATGGATGTGCGTGGATCACACATCGACAGGAGCTTGATCCTGGGTCAGCCTGGGAAAAGGTCTCCACCCACTTTGGACTTCAAAAGGCTTCGAATTGCAAACGAGGTAACGTCTCCGTCATCAAATTGCTCTAGCTGAATTTATCCCGTCTTGGGACGACTTTAGGGTCCCGTACAATCTAAGTCATATCCATTCATTGCTCTTGCGGAACCTGATGACACCAAGGTAATCCACCATGCGCCCGATCAAGGGCGTCGCGTTAGGGCCGTCGCCTCCCTTTTCCCCCTCTCAGATGGACGAATTCGCTCCGGTGACCCGCGTCGCTGCCTCCCCCACCCTCTCCCCCACTCCCCTCCCGTCCCGTCCCGTCCCCTCCCCTCCGCTCGCCTCCCCTCCCAGCAGGCGGGCCCAGCAGAGAGCGCTACATCGGACGCCAATGGCACTGCGCTGAGCCCCACTGCGTCCTCCGAGGACACCATTCAGGCGCTCAAGGCGTCCCTCGCCGCCGCAGAGGAGGCAGCAGCCAGCGCGCTGCAAGCCAAGGAGCTCGCTTTAGAAGCAGTAACCGTGGCGGAGGCAAAGGTCGAAGCCATGTCCGCTCAGATGGTCCTGACTACGGAAGAGGCGGTTAACGAAGTAGAGGCGGCAAAGGAGAAGTTTAAAGAGGAGGTAGCGAGGCTGCAGCGGGAGAAGGAGGAGGTGGAGCAGCAGCTGGCGCAGGCGAAGCAGGAGGGGATTGATCTCGCGATGAAGGTGGAGCAGATGGCGGCGCTGGCAGTGCAGGAGCAGACCCAGGCTGTGGCGGAAGACGCGCGGCTTAAGATCGCCGCGGCCAAGGCGGAGGCGGCGGATCTGGCGGCGCAGATGGAGGAGAGGATTAGGCTTGCTGCGGATGAGGCTGCTGCTGCCGGTAGGTCATGCCGTGCTTGCTGTCTGTCTCTGTGTGACGCATGGCATGATTAGGTTAAAATATCTGCAGCTTTGTCTTTTTCCACCCCCTCCTGGTTTCTGTGGCTCATGTCAGCTGATCCTTCCCTATTCCGCTGTGTCCTCTCCCTCGGCTGTCCTGCTCCTATTCCGCCTCTGTCCCTGCCTCTGCCCCTGCTCCTCCCCGTGCCCCTCCCCCTGTCCCTCCCCGTGCCCTTCCCCCTGTCCCTCCCCCTGCCCCTCCCCCTGTCCCTCCCCCTGCCCCTCCCCCTGTCCCTCCCCCTGCCCCTCCCCCTGTCCCTCCCCCTGCCCCTCCCCCTGTCCCTGCCCCTGCCTGCCCCTACCTCCCCCACGTGGCTTGCCAGTGATCGAGGAGGCGAAGGCGACGATAGAGGACGCGATAGCAGCGGCAGACATCGCCAAGGAGCAGGCGCGGTCGGCGGAGGCGGCGCTGCAGGAGCGGCTGGACGTTTTGGACCGCCTGGGGCACGCGGAGGTGGCGCTCATGCGCTCCGAGGAGCAGCGCACGGCGCTGCAGCTGAAGCTGGAGCAGGCAGAGAGCGAAAAAGAGACCCTGCGGATGGAGATCAAGGTGGGCAATGGGAAAGGTTCGAGGTTCTGGGGTTTGGGGATGGGCGAGGGTGCTGGTTTGAGTTTCAAGATGAGAGTTTGAGCGTTGATGAGGCAGCTGCCGAGTGATATCGAGTCATCTTGATTGTGCGTTATTTGAGGCGACCTCCCACTCCCGCACACCTGTACCCACCCATGTTCAGGCGGCCATTGCGCGTGCGGAAGCAGCAGAGTCGCGCATAGTGTCAACGCAGGCAGCAGTGGCGGAGATCCAGGCGCTGGCGGAGAGGACGGCCAAGGAGAGAGAGGAGGGCACTGAGAGGGCACTGGAGGCCATGCGGGTGAGTTGTCATGCTGGTGGGTTGACAGGGGGGATGGATTGCCACGCGGGCGGGTGGGTGCGGCACGGGTGGGGTGCGTGTGTGTGTGTGTGTGTGTGGCATGCTGGTGAGTTGGGGTGGCACTCAAGGGTGTATGCTCGAGTGTGTTAGAAGTTTTCTACCACCCCCCTCTGTCCCCTGTAACAATCTCGCCCTTTTTGTCCTCCTCCACCTTACCCCCTCACGCTGTTTCCCCTCCTCCCGTACTCCATTTACCCCCTGTCCCCCACTCCCCCCGGCTCCCAACTCTGCCTCCTCAGCTGGCCTCGGAGGGCAGGGAGAAGGCGGCAGCGCTGGCGTACAAGGCGGAGACGGAGAGTCTGAGGGCGGCAGCCATGGCGGCTCAGAAGGCGGACAAGGTCAAGGACCAGGCTGTGGCCCGCCGCTTCGCCGCGCTGCAGAGGAGCCTGGCGGCTGCGGAGGAGAGCACACGGAAGTGGAGGGAGCGGTGCCTGGCTGTGGAGGAGCTGTTCGCTCTGGTGAGTTACGTGTTTGGCTGCTTGTGCTGTCGTATAGGTACCTTGCCACACTGTAGAATAACCTGAGTGGCTTATCTCAACACTTTCTCATTTTCCTCCCCGCACCCCCTTCCTGTCACAACCTCGCAGGCCAAATCGCGTGGGCTGGATGCGGTCAAGGAATCCTCCTCCGCGCCTGCCCCTGCCCCTGCTGTTCCTGCTGTTCCCGCTGCCCCTGTGGAAGCAGAAGTTGGCGAATCCGTGGCGCGTGGGCGCATGGACGTCATGCTGGGGACGCAGTCGGAGAAGTGGCGCATTCTGGCTGACGGGCCCCGGAGGGAGCGACCTGAATGGCTGCAGCGCAAGACACTCACCACCACGCCGCTGCCGTCGCTGCCGGTGTCTGTGGAACTGGAGAATGTGCAGGCTGCCGTGCCGTTGAAATTGCCCTCGCCTGATGACGTGTGGTCCATCGCCCTGCACAAGGTGAGGTGATGCGTTGTCACCGAGTGTTGAGGTCAGGATCAAAGGCACTATGGCTGTGCCGCTGCAGCTGCCCACGCATGACCACGTGTGGTCCATCGCCCTGCACAAGGTGAGATGTGATGGTAGTCTCTGTCTCTTCAGGAGGTGATATGTGATGGAGTTGCTTTTAAAGGTTGCTTTGGAGACAACATACATATGTACGAAGACTGGTTGCCGAATCTAATCCAACTGAATGCCTGTCAACCGCACTCAACACCAGGTGGCGGACGACAAGTTCACCAAGGAGGCAGAGGCGCGCGAGGCGGAGGCCAAGGAGATTGAGGAGAAGCGCAAGGAGCTGGAGCGCGCCCTGCAGCGCAAGGCGCCCAAACGCATCCGCTCACCCGAGGAGCTGGAGGAGAGCAAAGGTGAGGGTTGTGGGGGAGGATGGGGAGGGGAGGGCATAAGGGCAGGGGTAGGAGGGAACGGGTTGGAGGATGGAAGATGGGGAGGAAATCGAGTCATATGTGGTTCTTGGGGGGCCAAGTGTGTGGGCGCTGTGGGGAGGATGGTTCGCCTTTGTTTCGATTACCTCCTTCCCTCTCCTCCTCCTTCCATCTTTCCGTCCCATCCCTCGTCCCCCGTCTTTCCCTCCTCTCCCGTCCACTCTCCTCCATCCTTCCCTCCCTCCCTCCCTCCCTCCCTCCCTCCCTCCCTCCCTCCCTCCCTCCCTCCCTCCCTCCCTCCCTCCCTCCCTCCCTCCCTCCCTCCCTCCTTCTCTCCCTCCCTACCTCCCTCCCTACCTCCCTCCCTGCCTCGCTCTGTCATACATTTTGCTTTCCTCCATTCGTCTCCAGCAGTCCCTCATACCCATATCGCACGTCCCACTTCTGTCAGTGTCTGTGCCTTCTGTTTGCTCACATCCGCAGACCCGTTACCCCTCCCGCTACAACTCTAATACTCTTTACCAGCCACTCTCATAACCACCCACACTCACACTCTTGTGGCTTTCCACTTTCTACAAGTAGCTAATCTTGCCTTGCTCACTGTCACCACACCTTTCATCCACCACCTTTCGCATCTAAGCCTCAGGGCCTTCTCTTTCTGATATGCCCCAACTTGTTTCCTGACCTTGCGTGCAGAGTCCGGCACGGGAAGTGGTCGCGAGGTCGTGGTAAGTGATATTCTTTCGTTATCTGCTCTAAAGTGGGGGGTGAGGATGGGTCTGGACAAGTGAGGGGGAAATGTAGAAGGGGAAGGAGAGGATGAGTGGAGTGGGGATTGCAGGAATCCTAAGCAATCATATGCGAAGTCATCCCCACTCCACTCACCCCTTCACCCTCCCCCATATCCCTCCGCACCCATCTTCGCCCCTCCTCACCCCTCCACACCGCCCTGCAGATCCAGGCGTTCAACTGGGAGAGCAACAAGCGCGACTGGTACCTGGAGCTCGCCCCCAGAGCTGCTGACATGGCAGCCTGTGGCATCACGGCTGTGTGGCTGCCTCCCCCTACAGAGTCGGTGTCGCCCCAAGGTGTGAAGCGGTGGTTATGGGCGGTCAGTGGTGGTCAGGGTTGGTCCGTGCTGGTCAGGGATGATGAGTGGTGGTCAGGGGTGCTTAGTGGTGGGAGGTGCACTGCAAGTGCTGGGTGGTCTCTTCTGGGTGGAGCTCGCCCCCAAGGCTGCTGACATCGCGGCCTTCGGCATCACTGCTGTGTGGCTGCCTTCCCCCACAGAGTCAGTGTTGCCCCAAGGTGCGTAGCGGTGGTTTTGGGTGGTCAGTGTCAATGGGTGGGTGGTTCATACCCAATGGTGAGTGGGTGGGTGCAGTCACAAGGCAGTGAAGTGGTGTGTTCAGGTCTATACAACCTCAACTCCGGTTAACCCCTGTCATCCCTTCCTTTCATCACTTCTTTGACCGCTGTACTGCAATTGCTCCTTTCATCTCACTGCGTTTCATCTCTGCCCCCCTGTGCGGTGGTGTAGGGTACATGCCGGTGGACCTGTACAACCTCAACTCGTGCTACGGCACCAAGGAGCAGCTGCAGTACTGCATTGACGAGCTGCACAGCCACGACCTGCTTGTAAGTTCCGCCCTCTCTCCCTGCCCTCCCAGCTAGTGCCTTCTCACTACTCTGATGTGACTTTTGAGTCGACTCAAAAGTCGCTAGTGTCTTGTCACTACTCTCCCCACCTTTCATTGCTTTCAATACTCGTGCTACGGCACCAAGGATTAGCTGCAGTTCTGCATTGATGAGCTGCACAGCCACGACCTCCTTGTACGTGCTCTCCCTGCCTGCCTTACTTGAAACATGGCCCCCTCGTCTCGGACATCCTCCTTGGGCCTTTTCGCGTGGACATGCCTCCGCTCCTCTGCGCTTTGTGCCATCCACCCCTCCAATATCCCACCGTGTTGCCCCATGATGACTTGGCCCTTCCCCCAAATCACCCCTCCACGCCACTCACAGACGTTGCTGTTGAACCACCGTTGTGCGTTCAAGCAGAACCTCTTCCTCACTTCCCCCGATCCTATCCCTTCCCGCGGCCCACCCCGCATCCTTCGCTGCTCACACACCAGGTGCTGGGAGGCGTGGTGCTGAACCATCGCTGTGCGTCCAAGCAGAGCCCCTTCCTCACTCATCTCTCTCTTCCTTCCCACCCCCCACCTACCACCCCCCACCCTCCACTCTTTGCTTCCATGCCCTCCAGGTGCTGGGAGACGTGGTGCTGAACCACCGCTGTGCGTCCAAGCAGAGCCCCGAGGGTATTTGGAACATTTTTGGCGGCAAGCTGGCTTGGGGCCCCGATGCCATTGTCAGGGACGACCCTAACTTCCATGGCCGCGGCAACCCCAGCAGTGGTGAGCTCAGAGCGTAGCAATGGCTGGTCTAGTGGCGAAAGAGTGAGAGCTTTGCGTCCAAGTAGAGCCCAGAGAACATTTGGAACATCTTTGGTGGCAAGCTGGCGTGGGGACCAGAAGCCACTGTCAGGGACGACCCTAACTTCCATGGCCGGGAAAACCCCAGCAGTGGTGAGCAGAGAGTGAGACTGCAGTGGTGAGAGTGAGAAGCGTGTCGAGGGGCTAGCATGGCAAGCTGGCGTGAGGGCATTTGGAAGATTGATTACTTGCAGGACTTGGTGTGGAGGGAGGGACATCTGCGAGTGGCTGCTCTCTTCGCCTCCGATGGCTGGCTATGACAGCTAGCGCCTGGAATTCAAGTCCACTCTCAACTTAGTTCCTTCCTGTCCCCTTCTCCCGTTCCCCTTCCCCTTTCCCTCCCTCTCCCCTTCCCCTCCCTCTCCCCTTCCCCTCCTCCCGCTCCCCCCAACTCTTCCTGTCAAACCCCAGGCGACATATTCCACGCGGCGCCCAACATTGATCACTCGCAGGACTTTGTGCGGAAGGACATCTGCGAGTGGCTGCGCTGGCTGCGCGCCGATGTGGGCTACGATGGCTGGCGCCTGGACTTCGCCCGGTGAGAGCACAAGGGGGTTCCTGAGTCGGTTGTGACACGCTCTCAAAAAGGTGTTATCCGGATCCGGATTCGTGCATCCCGCGAAAACATGAGCTCATAATCTTCTCTCTTCATGTATTCTGGACACGAATCTCTCTGATCCCTTGTCATTCTCTCGCAGTGGGTTCTGGAGCGGGTATGTGAAGGAGTACATTGAGGCGTCGAGCCCCGCGTTGCCGCGTGTGTGAAGGAGTACATCGAGAAATTCAAACCCGAATCTCTGTGATCCCTCCCCATCCTTATTGCAGTGGGTTCTGGGGCGGGTATGTGAAGGAGTACATTGAGGCATCGAGCCCCGCGTTCTGCATTGGGGAGTACTGGGACAGCCTCAGCTACGAGGGCGGCACCGTCTCCTACAACCAGAGTGAGCGCCCTGACCGCCAAACTGTCAACAGTGCATTGTCAGGTAACCCATAAGTTCTCAAGACGCACTTACTTGCCTTCAATAAACAGGCGCCTTCTGTGCACGATCTAATGTTGTAAACCTGCCCCTCCCCTCCCAACCCCACTTTGATCTAGGACACTCACAGGCAGCGCATCATCAACTGAATCAACGCCACTGCAGGCAACGCCTTTGCACGTATCACCATCATCTGCCCATCATCTGTCCTATTTTTCCCCCACCACTCCGTTCCGCTCCCCCCTGTCCTCCCTTCTATCTCAGACGCGCACAGGCAGCGCATTATCAACTGGATCAACGCCACTGGAGGCACCTCCTCTGCTTTTGACGTCACCACCAAGGTGTGTTGATACCTGCTGTGTTTTCTGCTTGCATGACAGTGTGAGTTTTTCGCAAGACCGTAGTAAGTGTGGGATGGTGCCCTCTCCTCCTCCCTCCCTCCCCTGCCCACCTTCCTCCTTTCCTTCCCCGCCCCCCTGCTCCGGTCGTACCTCCCCCGCTTGCCATCCTGGTTGAACTCATGGAAGTCGCAAGTCAAAGTCGCGCCAAAGTCGCAAGTCAAAGTCGCGCCAAAGTCGCAAGTCAAAGTCGCGCCAAAGTCGCAAGTCAAAGTCGCGCCAAAGTCGCAAGTCAAAGTCGCGCCAAAGTCGCAAGTCAAAGTAGCAAGTCAAAGTCGCAAGTCAAAGTCGCGTCAAAGTCGCAAGTCAAACCCTGATCCGTACATCAATAATCCATCCAGACAACTCTGCTTTTCCCCAAGTAAACCCCCCTCTCCTGTCCCCTGGCGTACCTCTCCTCCCTCGCTCCTCTCCTCCTTGACAGGGCATCCTGCATGCAGCACTGCACAACGAGTATTGGCGGCTGATTGACCCACAGGGCAAGCCCCCGGGCGTCATGGGGTGGTGGCCGTCTCGAGCCGTCACGTTCCTTGAGAACCACGACACTGGCTCCACTCAGGTACCTGCGCCTCTTCCCTTGTGATAGGAAGGGTGTTTCCTCCATGGCAGAAGCATTTCCCTGGCACATGGTCTACGTTCTCTTATGCTCGTGCATGCTATCTTGTTGGAACCTGTTGTAATTCCCTGATGGCGACTCTGGGCGAAGGCCCTGACACATAATGTCGAAGAAATTCATATCTTTACCGAGTCTGTATCAATGTTTGTTCCTGTTTTACTCGGGTGAAACTTCTTACGAATACTGGGAAACACCTTTCACTTTTCCCCATTCTCCTCTCCCTACCTCGTATTCTGCCTGCAGGGCCACTGGCCCTTCCCACGTGAGAAGCTCCTGCAGGGATACGCCTACATCCTCTCCCATCCCGGCACGGTAAGCCACCTAAGAATAGCTTGAGACATTTCAAATGTGCACCTACGTCCTCTCCCATGTCGCCAGATTAGGCCAAGCCACCTGTTGATGCAAGTGCAAGCTCAGCCTCAGGTGTGCACGGCACCTATTTCGTCCGACATTAGTTTCATCAGACATAGACATTCTAGCTGATTTGCTATCAATGACTGTCCAATCCAAAGCCCAGCGCCACATTTGTCCCTGCATACACTCACATGTCATGGGGCACTTTCACCCATACCCACTTGTCTGGTTTCCCTGTTGCCTGTGCCCCCAATGCCCCTGCAGCCGGTTGTGTTTTACGATCACCTGTACGAGTTTGGCATCCATGATCAAATCGCCGAGCTGATCGCCGCCCGGAAGCACGCAGGTGTGCACTGCCGATCGCCAGTGAAGATTTTCCACGCAGTTGCGCAGGGGTATGTGGCGCAGGTCGGAGATAACCTGGTGGTCAAGCTCGGCCACTTTGACTGGAACCCGTCCCGCCAGAACGATCTGATGGGGCGGTGGGAGAAGCTTGTCGACAAGGGGAATGATTACATTCTCTGGGAGAAAACGGGTTCGTGAGCAGATGAATCAGGGCTTGGGTTCCGGAGGACAAGATGTGAAAGTATTGTAGCCTGAAGATGCTTGACGAAGCAACAAGTTTCTGTTCTTCAGTATGAATTAACAATCCATTGGGTATGACTATTTGTAGCTGTTAGGCCCTGCTGGGAATTTCTAATGTTGTGTATGACTAATGGGTTGAACATGCCACAACCATGTCATAATAGTCTGTCCTCTTGAATGTGGACTACCCTATCACGGGTCTGAAAGATGCACTTGATTGGATATCGTGTGGGACCAGCCGAGTCTCTTTCACCAATCCGTGTTTTCCAGCGCCATTTCGTGATTGTAATTGGCCCATGATTTCCACGTGGGGGCTGATGCAAGGAGAAGCTGTGGCGAGACACATGGCCAAACATGGGGCAACATCATAAACATGCAGATTACTCTGGTAACCCTATCCGATGGTATGCAAAACCGTCGATACCCTAGTTCTGCTGCGCAAGTTTGTCTGGTAGCGCCACTAAAAACACTGTGTAACCCCTGACGCAGCACAAAAAAGGAAGAAATCAGTTTGTTTTCAATTTCGTATCTTCGTAGTCCTTACCGCGCTCCCTTTGGCGCCTAACAAATATTCCTCCGGGCTACTATTTTCCGCTAAATGTGCACGATACATTTACGAAAAACCCATTGGAATAAATTTATACGGGGTCCATTTTGTAACAATTTATTGCACCCAATATATTGCTACCGGGAAGTGTTAGGGCAGGGCTGGAAAAAATAAAACCCGTAGAAATCTGGACGCATTTCCCGGAGGGATCAACCCTAAACACGGGAAAGGACATTGTTTTTAGGGTTGATGCCTCCCTGACGCATCCCGTCCCCGATTGGGGTTTATTTTTTTTCTTGGCTCGAAGAATTCACGTCTTAGTGCGAAGGCAAGCGTGGTAAGGATCAATGTTCGAATTAAAATTCTAACATATTACTAGGGCAGCATGTCAATAACTCTAAAACTGAGGTAAGACGGTTTTGCATACCATTGGATAGGGTTACCAGACTAATTTGCATGTCTATGATGTTGGCCCGCCAAACATCGCTGCCTGCTCTCTTCCACAAGCCCACACCAACCGACCATGTGCTTTCTTCATTTCTTCATTCCAGTGAAGTGGACACATCAACGAGCACGAAATTCATCGAGCAGTTAGCATGGCGTCTCCAGACATCACACTTCAGTTACCTCCCCTAATTCTAAAAGCTGGCTAGTGGGATTGGAGTTAATGCTTGCTGTCGACTGTAATTACTTGTCTGACTGATCGCGTCGCAGCAGATTTGAAGTTCCGACAACCAGCCTTGCTCATGGCGTAAGAATACACGATTGTCGAACTTAGTCGAACTTACCGTCTGTGTCTAAGGCAGGCTTCTTGTTTGCGAAACAGGTCACCTATTGGAAAGACAGAGAATGGTCGAGGTTCGTTACCAAACGAAAGCACCCCTTTGTTGCCAGCTAAGGCACAAGATATCCCAAGTCACGCCTCGCTTGACCAGAATGGAGAATTTGAAGGGATTTCTCATGGACATCCCGGAAGCACCCTGGGATCTGCCATATTCAACCTCTCCAACACCATTATTGGTGCCGGGATCATGGGACTTCCAGCGACCATAAAGGTTCTCACTGGCCTGTGACGAAATTCAGATCAGATTATAGTTTGGCCAGGCAATTTCAACAATTTAGCTGGTTGGCTGACTTTGTCAAACCCGTGAATGGCAGGTCCTGGGAATTCCTCTTGGTCTGACAGTGCTGGCCATAATGGGAGCGGTGAATGAATACTCACTCCAGCGGCTTCTCAGAAGCACAACTGCAGCTAAAGCGTGGTCCTTCGGCGATCTCATGGCTGCTACGTATGGAAGAGTTGGAAGATTTTTGCTCCGAACGAGCATCTTTGTCAATAACACAGGCATCCTCGTCATCTACCTTGTCATCATAGGTCCGCATCTTTTTCAAGTCAGAATTTCTTGTTAGTTGCTTATTCTCTCGTCATTATCCTTACAAATATATTGTCTCTTCGCCTTTCACTATCCCTTGGTCAGGGGATGTGCTGTCTGGTTCGGACGGCGCAGATGGAGAGCACTACTCAGGGTTACTCGAGGAGTGGGCTGGAGGTTCCACGTGGTGGAACAGCCGTCTCACTGTACTCCTCGCCTCAATTGTCGCTGTTATCGGGCCTCTTGTTGCCCTTCCTGACATAGGTTTGTCCAGTTTGACTCATCTCAGAGACACTCAGGAATCAGTAGGATCGTTGTTCTTGTTTGTGCAACTTACTATGCACCCCCCCAAATTGACCTGCAGACTCCCTCTGGTTCACATCAGGACTGTCAGTCCTGCTAGCAGTTGCTTTTGTCATCATCACCATCCTCATTACTTTGTACAAGCTAGTTGAAGGGACCATTGATTGGTCTGGAGTGCACTGGTTTCCTCAGCTGAACACATCGCAGGACTACTGGCACCTCCTCTCTGTCATCCCCACCATGGCTACGGCCTTCACATGCCACTACAACAGTGAGGGTCCCTCTTCAATGATTTTTTTTTTTTTTTCTTTTTTTTTTTTTTTTTTTTTTTCCGTTCTCATTCCAATTGGGTCTAACGTTTGTTGATCTCTCCTCTGCTCAGTGCATCCTATTCTGGTGGAGCTAAAGCCACCTCGAGAAGAGAAGATGCAGAATGCGATACAGAAAACATTTTTTGTTTGCACGAGTGTATACACCGTGACAGCTCTTTTTGGTTACCTCCTTTTCGGTGAAGCGACCTATGCTGACGTCCTTGCAAACTTCGACTCTGACCTTGGGATTCCTGGAAGCCGCTACTTGAATGACGTTGTCCGGCTATTTTATGCGCTTCACCTGATGCTGGTATTCCCTGTGATTCACTTCTCGCTCCGTTCCACAGTTGGATTTGTGCTGTTTCCACATTCAGTACCTCTCAAGCGTGATCTTTGTGGATATATCTTCACCACGGTTTTGCTGTTAGGGACCATTCTGGCAGCTTCTCTTTATGTCCCTGGCATTGAGTCAGCATTTGAGCTAGCAGGGTCAACAGGAGCAGCCACCATTGCTTTCTGTCTCCCTGGGATGGTGGCACTAAGGTATGTCTTGATGACTTCCACATTCCACACTGCTGCCATTCTGATTCTCTTTTGGCTGATGCAACATCTTCTGTTGTTGGTGCAGTGAGAGAACTGGGGGCTTGACAGCTCCAGCCACCCAAAGAGTTGCCGCATGGTTTTTGCTGCTCTTAGGACTCGGAGTGTGTTTTTCGGGCCTCGCCGACAGCATTCATACGTTCTTACAATAGCGTCTTCCATTCTCCGAACAAAGATAAAGATTATCTCATGCCTGACTCTTTTGACAGATGCAATACAGTGACTCCACATTTTGATGACTCTGAAAGCACATCCACACAAAATCTCCTTCCCAATCCATCTGCTATGGGTAAAGATGAAGAGGCTGAACTTGAGTGCCAGCTGATCTGCTGATGACCAATTGCAGTGAGCAGAACAGCTGATGGCTTGGCACTGGCTAGCAACCAGGCACCACATGGCTTCAACGATCTGTGCACTGACCTGGTGCACATGAGTCAAAGATATAACCAGCAGATATAAGAGATGGTTAATGGACTATGGTGCAGTGGAATGAAGAAAAAAAAATGTGTTGGCAGGAATGCCTGTCTATCCAGGTAGCTTACCTGGCAAGGGATGTCACGCCATCGCTTCTCTCAGCTTCTGTCCAAAGCACAAGTTGAAGTGGCATGACCATTTGTTTCTCTGAAGGTGCCGCCTCCATGGGCTCACACAAAAGTGGTTGTAACTTGCACTCCTGGAACAAGAACGGCCAGCAGAACGGCTATGTAAGCATTGTACTTGACTTCCTGTTTGCCTGTTGTGCAGGGAACGGATGTACCAGAGTAGGTATCTGCTCGACATAGCAAAGGTACAACACTGGAGTACCGTTTACTCCCCGACTACCTACCTTAGAAGGTGGCTGGCACAGCAGAGCATCCACGGTTCCCTTGTCCACCACTATATCCACCACCCCTGTCAGCAACAAAAAGAAAACATGAAGCCCAGTCAGCAAAACGTCATACAGACATTCAGAACGGAGAGCACTGAATCGGCAGAAAAAACCTCGTTCATAAGCATCATTCCATACCCCGGAATGGCAGGCATCGTGCATCAGCAACCATGCGGTCAACTGGATGGGCGGCGAACTGAGGATGGGAGGCATGGAGTCGAGACATGGAGGCCATCACGCCAGCGTCCACGTCCGTGCTGATCACATGTAGGCCCCTCGCTGCCATGCGCATGCTCCACTCTGAATTGCCGCTGCCTATCTCCACTACCACCAGCGGTGCCACTGCTGTTGCTACCCTTGCCTCCGTCTCAACCTCTGCAGATCTGGATGCTGCGTCTGCTGTTGATGATGCTGCTGACACTGCTGGCACCGAAGATGACGCATCTATAAATAGCGGGTTTCCCTTTTGGCAAGTGTTGTCCAGCTCCTGTAATTCCCTCCCTTTCCTGACTTCTTTTGAACAGAGAGGCACGATGTGCGACTGCCAGAAGGACTCGAAGTCAACATCGTACCTGAGTATTTTGAAAAAGGGTTTGACAGGTTGATGGTTTTTGATGGGATGCGGATGTGAGACTGGACTTCAGGAAACCGCATGTGCTGCATGTCAGGCAAGACTGAAGTACTTCAGAATGTGTTGTACAGATAACAAATGTGTCGTACAGAAGAATCGCGTGGTGGTCGTTAAGAGAGAGGAAAAGAGGAACGATGAGTCAAGAGGATGGTAAGATCGGCAAGGCGTACCAGTCATAGAGGATGGTTTCCTCTCCCGCGTATCGCGTTCGCCAGTAGTGCGGTTGGGAATATTCAGTGTTGCGGGACGGACTGAAACGGGAATCGGTGAGTAAAGACGGAGCGACTCAGCAGAAATGCAGAAAGTTTGAAACGAGACGTGACGAAATGGGCAGAATGCGTGAATACTGAGAGGAAGAAGGAAGGACAATGATGAGGAACGATGACCCGCCAGGTACACACATTCGTCGGGTTATGACGTCCGAGTCGGTGTCAAAAAGCCGTTCAAGAAACCCCCCCGTGTCGTCAAGTGCAGGATTTTTTCCCACGTCTGCCATTGTGAGCTACCGCGACCAATCTCAGACTAAACCATGCGAACATGTACCGAATGGTGAGGATGACGGAGTCACTGCATATTGTAGCTTGGGGGTGTTGAGGGTGAACGAGAAGTGGACTCGATATGGAAAACGCATCGAGCAATTCAAGCTGTTGCACCTTGATGTTATTAACTTTGGTTACATATAACCCGCTTTATTTTCAGTTCGAGTCTTCACTATGCTTTCCCGAGGTTGGCTTGCAACGTGGCAGTTTTGTGTGGCCCCAATCCCTCCATCCCACATCCGTCGTTCCCTCTCCCTATTCGCACGCGATTGTCCACGCTTCTTGGAACCTTTCGCCAACCGTCTCAATTGTCACAGCGACTGTCGTAAGACCTCGAGCTCTCCAGTAACCACTACCCACCATCTACGTGCTCGATAGCTCCAGTTCTCAGCTGCTACTCGTGCAAACGAAGAGTCTCACAGGTCGCAAATCTTCGTCGAGATGAACCCTCAGCAGCAAGCCAGTAGGTGTTCGTCGCACCTATCTTTCCTTCTCCCCCACCCTTCCCACCCCAACCCTGTTCAACATCTCTTCGGTCTTTTGTATCTCCTCCTACCACTCCCGTTTCCTCTCTTCACTGCTGCTGTTGCGGCTGACTGGAGCTTGGCCATGTCTGATCCATGGTCACTTCACAGATGAATGCTTACACTAAACTTCACTTATCTTAGTGGCTGAAGGAAGCTACGTTATAAGGCGGCTGCGGATCTCATTCCTTATTTGGATGTTTGGGTTTCTTCGCTTCCAGTTCTGTAGGGTAGCACATGCGTTACGGGTGCTGGTGTGGTTGCAGAGGTGGTTCGAAAGCCCGTTTGTCATACGAGGGACAAGTAGGTCTTATAGGTAACACGTCGCCGCTCTCCGCCTCATCTCGAAGCTATCGAATACGGAGCTTATGCAAGTTCTTCCCTAATTAGCCGACTTCTTTTTTATTCCTGAACTCGGCGATTTTGTGCGACATTCGCGAAGTCGATTGACACCATGGTTGACGACAATGAAGTTCCCTCGTACGGAACGGGAACGATGTCAAACGGAATCTCATCCGCAGAAGGATCTCCAAGCTCAGATCGCGGAGGTTCGTCAGATTCCGTCGTCAGATGGCCAATAGCAGAAGCCCGCGTGGCTGATCTGATCTCCCAGATTCAACCCACAACAAGAGCAGAGGAAAGACGGCTGGCCGTTTCCGAATACGTCACGAGGCTTATCTCACGTTGCTTCGAGTGCCAGGTAGCTCTTCAGTCATTGTGATATTCTTTACTGTCACCAAACGCTGCAGATCAGTGTTAGGGTTATCTAATTCGGCCTTTCTTCCTCCGCGTAGGTGTTTATGTTCGGGTCAGTGCCTCTGAAGACTTATCTTCCTGACGGCGATATTGACTTAACCGCATTTTCCCGGGGTCCAACCGTGAAGGACGCGTGGGTCCACGACGTTCAAGCGATCCTGGAACGCGAAGAGCGGAACGCAGATGCTCTTTTCCAAGTGAAAGAAGTTCAATACATCCACGCGGAGGTACTTATTCCCACGACCTCTAGATGATATTACTGTTTACCAGCACACTGTTGAAAGGTTTTAGATACGATGAATTCCTTTCGTGTCTACGAAATATGTATGATTCAATTTGGGTGATTTTTTTTCCCTCGTGCTATTTCGCAGGTCAAGCTGATCAAGTGTCTCGTGCAGAACATTGTGGTTGATATCTCCTTCAACCAGCTAGGGGGCCTATGCACGCTCGGGTTTCTAGAAGAGGTGTATACCTAAGCCGTTCCCCTCGCACGCACATGCGATTTTCACAACGATTCTTTGTTGACAGAATGGGCCGGTACTTAGCAGCATTCCTCGTTGCGTGATGTCGGTTCAGGTGGACGCTCTGATTGGCCGGAACCACATTTTCAAGCGGAGCATTATCCTGGTGAAGGCCTGGTGTTACTACGAGAGTCGAATTCTTGGGGCCCACCACGGGCTCATCTCCACATACGGCCTGGAGACCCTCGTTCTGTACATTTTCCACGTGTTCCATAAGGAGCTGCACAGTCCGTTGCACGTAAGTCTTTTGAGTTTGAAGTGTTTTCCTGCTCTTTTTCCGTCACTTCCTTTCGTGTTCATTTGACCCTTTCCTGCAAATGGTAGTTTTTCTTTGTTTCAGTGACATTTGAAAACATTTGTGTTTGATATTGTTGCAGGTGCTTGTCAAGTTTCTGGAGGTATTCAGCAAGTTTGACTGGGAGCAGTTTTGCCTCAGCCTCAAAGGCCCCGTTCCTCTCTCGTCTCTACCCACCATGCTCGGTACGTCCCTGTGCACTGCCCCGTCCTCTTCATCCTGCTCCGTTCTCTAAACAGGAAATCCTGCATACTTGTTATGGAAACCCTAATTCACTGAAATCTGCACACGTGCTGAAATTTCTCCAGTGGAGCCTTACACTGATTTCAATACTTCGATTCTTGCGTGCAGCTGAGAGGCCTGGTGGAGTAGAGGACCTGCTCCTCACAGACGAGTTTCTGGCAGAATGCTATGCCAAGTACTCACTGGCTCCCATGGTCCAGAAGCGGCCGTTCATGGTCAAGTTCCTGAACATCATTGACCCTCTCCTGGACAATAATAACCTCGGCCGCAGCGTCAGCAAAGGTATGCCTTGCTCATGCATACTTCTCCAGTTCGCCTCCCTTACGTTTGAGTTTGTCGCACACGCTACTCGCGTCCTTTTTCTATTCTTCTCTAGGATCAGTTTGCGTGCACAATGCTTGCAACACAATGCCGTGCGGGCATTCACAACCTCCTCAATCCGTCCATGTCTCCTCCTCGCGGCCCCCCTCGCCTCGTCCCTCCAGCCAACTTCTTCCGCATCAGGAGCGCACTGGCGTACGGCTCGCGCAAGCTGAACGCGGCGCTGAACGGCCCAGAGGAGCTGGTGGCTCTGGAGGTGGACAGGTTCTTCCGCAACACGTGGGTCCGCAACGCCTCTGGCTCGCGCCCAGACGGCTCCAACCACGAGTTCGTGCTCCAGCACATGCCCCGCCGCTTGCCGCTCTTCGCCCAGCCGATGCCGCCCCCGGTGCAACCCGGAGGCGTGGCACCCGCAGCTGCAGGCGCGGCATCAGGGGCAGGGGTAGGAGCAGGAGCAGTGGCAGGGGTGGGGACAGGTGTTTATGCTGTTAGGCCGGTCGTGAGTGTTGGTGGGGGGTACCGGGGGCAAGTGAACGCAGCAGCGGCTCATGAGAACAAGCCTCCGGGGGAGGGGGATGTTATGCGGGCGCCATACTCCCATGGGGGGCAGCATGGCGTGGTGATGAACGGAAACATGGCCGGGCATGTTCCTGGGAACGTGGCTGGAAACATGGGTGGGAATATGGGTGGGAACATGGGGAGGCGGCAGCAGGTGCAGGCGTCGGATGGGCCCCACCGGGTGCCATATGGGGGAGGTCATACCTGGATCCCTGCTCCTCTTTTCCCTGTGCCTGCTAATGTGGCGCATGTTCCCGGTGCAAGGGCTTCCCCTCCTATGGCTGGTGGTCCGAGACACGTGCAGCTGGCCCAGCAGCAGCAACAGCAGCAGCAACACCATCAGGCTCAGCAGCAACAGCAACAGCACCACCACCAACAGTCGCAGCAGCAACAGCAGCAGCGGCAATACCTACAGGCACACCATCAGCAGCAACAGCAGTCGCAACAGCAGCAACAGCAGGCGCAACAGCAGCAGCAGCAGTTGCAGCAGCAGGCGCAACAACAGCAGCCACAGCAACCACAGGGACATACAAAGAGAGCAGAGGCAGTCAACGGAGTGTATCCTGTCCCACCAGTGCGGCCCACTCCTGACCTAGCAGCAACCCTTCACAGAACAGTACAGGTGGATGATCATGCTGTGCAGGCAGGCACACACGAAGCCACTGTGAGACCGTCTGAGAATAGTGTCCGTCCCTTGGAGCAGGCCGTTCGTGCTGCTGAAAGTAAAGCTTCTGTGGAGCAAGACGCGTTGGTGAGTGAGCTTGTGGAGAGGAAGAAGGCGGGAAGTGTGGTTGCACGCCCAAGGGAGGAGCAACGAAGCGGGAGTGAACGGAGTGGAGGAAACGAGAGGAACGAAGCGAGTGAAAGGAATGAAAGAATTGAAGGGAGTGAAAGCCAGGGCGCACAGCAGGGCGCACAGGGAGGGTTGGACGGAGCAGGGAGTGCAGGACCTGCTGTTAGCTCAGGGAAAGGCGAGAGGGAGGCAACAGCAAGGCAATCAGAGGCACCGGCACGAGGTCAAAAAGAAGAAGTTGGTTCCGGCTCACGCTCTGCCAAGGGAGCATCAAGAGGTGCAAGGAACAGCAGCAGTAGCAGCAGCAGCAGCAGCAGCAACACATCATCCAACGTGCAATGGAGAAGGACGCAGTCGGGCTCACGAGTGGCAGTTGCTGGCAACAGCTCTAGTATTGGCACTGTTGTTGCTAGCACCCCTGTCACTAGCAACAGCAGCGCTGTTAGCAACAGTGGTTTGAATGCAGCCGCAGAAGCAGAGCCGGCACAGCAGGTGTCAGGCGGGATTGATGCTTCCTTGGTTGCTGGTGCCCTACAGAGACAGGGCTCGGATCAAAGCAGTGGGGGGAATCAAAGTGTGGGGAATCAGAGTGGGGGGTACCACAGCCGCAGCAACAGCATTCACAGCACTGGGTCGTCTAGCTCAGTGGAACCACCCCTGAACCAGGATGCAAGCACTTTGGACAGCAGAGGCACTACGAGTCCCCACGCTTCTATCAGCCAATCACCTGTAACAGCTCTAGGAGGAGCCGCAGCGGTAGGGGCAGGGGCAGCGGTTGCTGCAGGGCATACAGGTGTCCCTTCACGGAGTTTTTCTGATAGGGTTCCGGACAGGAACAAGAGCTGGCATGACACTCGACATGAAACCAGACAGGAACCCCGACATGTAACCCAGCGTGAAACGCGGGCTGACAGCCCCTCTGTTCCCCCTGCTGTCAGACCAGAGATCATTGCTGTGCCCCACGTTCCGGTTCCTCTTCCTATCCCTGTTCCTGTTCTCGTCCCTCGCACTGCCTCCTCCTCCCCAGTCATGTCCAGCACCAGTTCCCCCACACCCGACACCATTCTCACCACCATAGACGCCCGTTCCCAACCCGTACAACCCAGTGCGCCCCCTGCTCCGCTCGGTCCTCCTCTAGGCCCCCCAGCCAGCTCCTCCGCAGGTCCCTCACCACTCCCCCATGTCAGCCCGTTTCCGTTCCCGCCTGGGCTCCTCATAATGGCCTCTACCCCCAACGGCCCCTGCCTTGTCCCTCTCTCCGCCTTCCCAGGGGCGCTTCACCCGCGACTGCTACAGATGCCCATGCAGCAGCTGCAGGCGTTTGGCTCCCAGCCGTCTGATGAGAGCTTCTCCCAGCAGCTACAGCAGCAGCTGCAGCAGCAGATGCAGATGCAGCTGCAGACACAGCAGCAGCTACAGCCGAGACGAGATGGGGAAGCCAAGGCACCTGGTCCAGGTTCAGGCAACAACCCGCCGCACATCATGCCAGGATCCCAAACCAGGCTCCCTGTTTCAAACTCGGATGGTTCCGCGTCACTGCCTCCAGCCCCTCAGCTCTTTCCCTATATGGCTCTTCCCATGCCCCTGCCATCAGCAGCAGGCTTTCCACAGGTCCCTGGTCTTGTGCCCGTGCGACCGGGAGGGCTGGAAGGGGAGGGACCGTACAGGGGGTTGTTTGGTGTGAGTGACAGTGCGTCTTTCACAGATGGCTCCGGGGTTTCAGACGCAGCAGCAGGTGCTGCCGCTGTTGCTGCTGCTGCTGCTGCTGGTGCTGCTGCTGGTAGCGGTGGTGATGGTGGTAGGGGAGACTCAGGTGCTGCACCTGCTGCTGTGCCACCTCCTATGTTGTGGCAAAGGATGGACCAGCTGCAACAGGTGTCAGGCTCGAAGCTGCAGGAGCCAAGGCAAGCACCGGGAGAGATGATCGGATCAGCAGCAGGAGCAGCAGAGGGAGTGCAGGCCCCATTACCCGAGGGCGTCAAGTCAGTCACACCCCCTCCAGGGCACGTCCCGTTCATTCCCCTCATCCGACCTGCCTCCGGCGCCCCTCCCTTCGCCCAAATTCCCGGCATGGCCCCGTTCCTCCCGCAAATCCCCATCAGAGCGCTGCATCTCGCGCCCCCTTGGATGTTCCCCCCGCATGCCCATGCGCCCATGCAAGCCCAGGGCGCTGGCGTGGCAGCAGGTGATTGGTCGGATGGGCTGGCCAGGGCGGGTTCGCCTATGGGTGGTAACGCTCTGGGTCTGTCTGGGTCTGCAGCGGTGGGGGCGAGTGCTGATGGTGATGGGAGGGAGGTGGAGAAAACAGGAGCAGGGCTCGTGGCAGGACTGGGGGCAGGACTGGGGGCAGGAGCCAGGGCAGGTCCCAGGGCAGCAGCAGGGGCGCCCGTGGTGTTTGTAGGAGAGGGAAAGGCAGGTGTTGCCACTAGCAGCAGCAGTGGTGGCGATGCCAGTGGGTGGAGTGGTGGTGGGATTGCCGGGCCACAGCTGACCCCGTTGACCCCGTTGACCTCCACTGGTTCGCCTTTGGTGGGTTCGTCAGCCATGCCATTGGGCAGGGAATCTCCAGGGCAGTCACCTGCCCTGAATAGACCCTCCCCAGGCGTACCCGCCCCAAGTAGACCCTCCCCAGGTGCGCCCACCCCTCTGCTCCACCCGACGTCTGCCATTCCGTCATCCACGTTTGGCCCATCCAAACCAAGCACCGATCCCACAAAGCAGCAGCCATATGTCCCATCCACTTTCCCCACTGGGGTTCCAGGGTCCTCAGGGGTTCCAGGTGTTCAAGGGGGAGGTCCTGGTGCTAACCCAGGGGGCGTATTCCCCCTCCACCCCTTCTCCCGCCCGTTAGGCCCCCAAGCTGTTCTGCTGTCTCATCTAGGCGGTCCGCCTGGTGTCTTTCCCTCGTACGTCCTTGCTAATACTCCCGTCACGCAAGCAGGTGCACCTGGCGCACAGGGCGTAGGTGTCCCTGGTGCAACCCCAAGCGTTCCAACCACAGCAAGTGGCGCTGCTGCTGCTCCTGCCACTGGGATGCCTAGTGCTGCTGCGGCTGCTGCTGCTGCTCCTGCTGTCACTGCTCCCTCGCTCTCCGTGCTGGCTAATCCTGTGCCAGGGCAGGCTGCAGGAGGCAGTGAGGGAAGCAAGGCGGTGCAGGTGCTGCCCAACCCGCAGCTGCTGCAGCCAAACACGTTCCCTCCTGGGGCGATACCAGGTGGAATCTCAGGTGGGCTCTCAGGTGGGCCATACTCCTTCATGCTCATGTATGCCCCCCAAGCTGGCATGCTCCCGGGCGGCAGTGTGCCAGGTGTAGGGGCGGCAGGGGCAGGCAGTGGAGGAGGAGGGTTGGGAGTAGCGGGGGTGGGAGGAGGGGCTGAAGGAGGAGAGGGAGGGACGGGAAGAGTAGCTGGTGGTGAGGGAGGAGGGCTAGGAGGGAAGGAGGAGGGGATGCTGAGCACGGGTGAAGTGAGTGTGGAGAGCAGAGAGGGGTGCGAGGCAGGTGGTCCTGCCGTTGCCGTTGCTGCTGCTGCTGCTGCTGCTGCTGCTGCTGCTGCTACTGTCCCTGCTGCTGTTACCCCCGCCACTGCAACAGCTGCTGCCGCTGTGGCTGCAGCTGGTGGTGGTGGTGGTGTGAAGGCAGGTGGGTTGGACAAGAGCAAGATCTTGCAGGCTCTGGCGGATGGCAGCGGTGGTGGGGAGTTCCGCATGCTCCGGGTGGCCAGTGCTGGCAGCATCGATACCTCCAAGCGAGCACCAGGCATCAGCACCAGCACCACTGGCACCAGCACCACTGGCAGTGGTACCACTGGTACCGGCAGCATTGCTACCAGCAGCACCGGCACCAGCGCCATCGCCACCAGCAGCAGTTTTGGGACAGCCGCGGCGGGCTTTGCGGGGCTTCCTAGGAGCAAACTGGCAGGCTCGCAGGGCGCCTCCGTTGGCCCCAACCTGACTTTTCCTCCCGAACCCACAGGTATCGTGCGGTCAGAATCCGCCCAAGAAACAGTGAGGCTTGCACCTCCTGTGCCCCCATCTTCCAGTGTATCGGCCTCTGCTGTTTCTCCTTCTGTCGTTGAAACATCAGCATCAGCATCAGCAGCTGGTGCCTGTGATACAGCTGCTCCCTATCCTCTCTCCTCATCCCCTTCCTCCTCCTCCTCCTCGATGCCCTCCTCATCCTCCCTCTCGGTGCGTGCACGGTCCAATCCCGTGGCCACAAGAGACCCCTCAGCCTCCACCGCCAGTGCTCCACGTGTGGTGCGAGGCAGGGGCGGCAGCGGCGGGGGGAGTGAGGGCGTATTAGCAGAGCCACGCAGGGGGGGCAGTGGAGTGGGGGGCGAAGGTGGGTTAGCAGAGGCACGGGCTGATGCTGCTGGGGAGGCTGGGTCTTGGGGCAGTGGGGAGGGGGCGCATAGGAGCACAGCGGACGGGGCACAACGAGGCCATGGGTCCACTGGAGGTGTAGTGAGAGGGGAGGTGCGGCAGTCAGGTGGAGGGAAGCAGCAACGAGGGGGCACAAGAGGAGAGGATGGACGAGGAGAAGGGAGTGGAAGGGGCGAGGGGAGCGGAAGAGGAGAAGGGAGTGGGAGAGGCGAGGGGAGTGGGAGAGAAGGGGGTGGAAGGGAAGGGAGTGGAAGAGGAGGAGAGAGAGGCGGGCAGCGAAGGGGAGAGGCCCAGGATATGGGGGAGCAGGCGGAGCAGCCGTCCTCAAAACTCCAACAACAACAGCAGCAGCAGCAGCAGCCAGTGGGTCTCAAGGGAGCACTAGGGACGTCCCAACCACAGCAGGGTCAGGTTGTGGCAAAGCCAAAGCAGAGCCTTGGGGTGAAGCCCTCTGCTCCTAGAAAGGCTGGTGCAGCCACAGCAGCCTGTGCGGCTCCTGCTGTTGTTGCTGCTGCTCCTTCTCCTGCAACTCCTGCTGCCGCTGCTGGTTCTGATGGTGGTGCTCCTAGTTCAGTCACTTCCAACCTCAACACGATCTCTCCTGTGACTCCATTCGATGCACCTTTCATGGCACAGCAGGGTGCTGAGCCTGCCGAGCTGGACCGGCGAGTGCCCGAACCAGATGACGAGCCACTAGCCTCGGCAGAAACAGTGACCATCAGTTGGAGGTCGTCCTTACGGCCCGGGGAGGAAAGGCAGGCGGCAGGGAAAAGGGCACAGAGAACTTCCCAGCAACAGATACAGCCCACGGGGTGGGGAGAACCGGAGGCGGCTGGTGAGGGTGGGGGTAGTGCGTTTGTGAGCAGTGCAGCACAGAGGGAGGAAGGAGGGTTCCCTGAGGCAGGACGCAGCAACAGCCCGTACTCCTTACAGCAGCAGCAACCTCAGCAGCCTATGCTGTCGCAGCAGCAACAACCCAGAACTCCTCGCAGCAACAGCCCCGCAGCTGCAGCTACAACTACAGCTGCTGCAGCATCAGCTACCACAGCATCAGCTTCAGGAGTGTCAGCAGCAGCAGGAGGGGAGGTGGCATCTAGGGAAGGCACAGCTCGAGAGGGTCCACAGCGAGTGCGCAGCCTGGGAGGGGCGTCCCGGTCAGAAGACAGGTTCTACAGCGCTCACCGAGGAGGACTTGGTAACCGCAAGGGCCTGGGCTTGACAGGAACTGCAGCTGCTGGTGCTGCTGGTGGTACTGCTGCTGGTTCTGCTGCTGCTGGTTCTGCTTCTGGTGGTTCTAGTGGTGGCAGTGATGGGGGCTCAGATGGGCTGGGGAGTTCTGGAGGGTCCATGGCACCTGGCGCACCAACAGCAGGGCCAGGAGTTTCTTCAGGTAGCTCAGGTGCCTCTGGTGTCTCAGGGCCTAAGAGTAGTTCCAGTGGAGGCAGCTCAGTGGTGAGTGCCAGGGAGAGAGGAGGGCTCAGCAGTACTGGGGGGAAGGCAGAGAGCAGGAGCAGCGCTGGCAAGGGTGCTGCAGGCTCAGCTTTGTCGCCTGCAGCGTCGGCGGTGCCACCGTCTCTGCGGTCGATGTCGCCTCGGGCGGGTGGGAAGGGGAGTGCGGGCGTAGGGGCGGGTCGGAGTGGGCAGAGTGGGAGCGGAAGTGGCTCCCCGGTGTTGAACTCTCCCAAAGCAGGGAAAAGAATAAGGTGATCCCTTCAGCATTCCACTCCACTCCTTGCCTCTCCACTCCAACGCTCCCGATTCTCTCCACTCCTCTCCACTCCATTCCACTTCACTCCACCCCACTCCACTCCACTCCACTCCACCCCTCTCCACTCCTCTCCATACTTTACTCAAGTCCACAGCATGTCATTTCAAAGCTATGGTCTGCAATACATACCTTGTCCATGCGTCCCAAGTATTGTGCAAATTCTCTCCAAGCCCACACCAACACCGATCTTGAGCACCATTTTTTGTCTGCATCATTCTGCTGCGCGTTCACGTCTTGCATGCTGCAGAGGGGAAGACGCTCTATATGAACTCAAGGACGAGGATTTCCCCCCGTTACACACTCCCAAGTGATTGCAAGGAACTTCCTCCCTAACATTATATTATTTTGGGTGAATCAGGAGTTACAGGCGCTTGGCTTCTCTAGACTGGTGCATAATTACCACGTTGCGTAGGAAAGGGAGTCTCTGATTTCCTCTTTTCATTGTTGTCTGGTAGGTTTTTTTTCTCTCTTAGCTAGTGATAGGTACATGTTGCGTATTAACATGCTAGATTGACAATCAAGTTGTCTCATCCTTGGCCATAATACTTGTAGCCCGCCTGTCTCCTATGTCGGGTACAAATTTACATCACGGCTTGAGGAAGACACCGCGAGATTCAAGCGAAGTTGTTTTCCAGGTGCTGCCTCTAGATTCATTCACACTGCACTCTCGCGGGTGTGAAAAGCTCGTCGGCGAGCTTGAAACCTACTGCTCTCCTCGGTATTGCCGAGCTGGTCTACTTCGCGGTGCTCGTTTCCGTGTCGCTAGCATTTCCTCGCGGACGCATGTTACCGTTCGCCTCTCCAATCGCCAATGCGCGCTTTTCCGAGCCCGTCGTAGTGTTACCTTCTAGTACCAAATGCGGAACGAGAATACGCGTTACTAGCGATTCCGCCATGGAATGCGTTTCTTTAAGACGCGTCTCAGGACGCGCTATAACAGGTTGCGTTTGTAGCAGACCCGGCGGAACCAGGACCGTTAGTCCCTGGCCTCGCTCGCAGAGCCTCTCCGTTTCGCGGCCACGTGTCAGATCCGCCGCTTTTGGCGGCTGTTATTTATCCAACCAGGCTTTTCCGCGGTCAGGTTTTGCTACTGTCACGAGAGGTGCTGCTGCCGGTTGTGATAGTATCGATAGGAGGAGGAGCAGAGGATTTGGAGCTCCCGCTATAAGATTGGCTGGAAGAATCTCTACAGGAAGAAACGGATTCGGTGGCAGTAGCTCGTGTAGGAGTATTTGCACTAACAGCATCAGCATCCACAGCCGTAATTACGTCGGGAGCAGCATTAACAGCAGCAACAGCAGCAACAGCAGTGGCAGCAGCAACAGTAGCATCAGCAGCAACGGGATTTTGAGCAGAAACGGAAACGGACATGAAAACAGTAGCGAGTATAGTAGCAGCAGGAGTGGTTTTGGAAACAGAAGAAGCGGCTATAACAGGAGCGGCGGGAGCAGCAGTAGTAGCAGGAGCAGCAGGAGCAGCGGGAGGGGCGGAAGGGGCGGGACGCAATGGGAGGATAATTTCTGGGAGGAAATAGAGGCAGTGGGGCGGGAGAGGGATTCCGGGGAGGTGTGGGCGGAGATTGTGGCGCAGCTAGGGGGAAACGGGGAACGGGAGGCGGAGGCGGAGGCGGTGGTGGAGGGGGAAAGGGAGGGGACAGGCGAGGCGGAGTGGGAGAGGCGGGGGAAAGATTCGAGGGGAAAGAGGGAGGATGGGGTGAAATGGTGGGAGGGGAAGGTGGGGGGGAGAGTGCAGCCGGAGGCAGTGTTGGAGGAGCTACATATTAGGTGTGTGGTGTGGTAGTGAGTGGCTGAGTAGAGTGTGAGTGAGTTGGGTGTGATTGGGTGTGAGTGAGTGGCAGGGTGAGTGTTGGTCTTATTCGCTACTTTGAGTTGGCGTTAAATCAACATTTGCTAGTTAGCCACCTGATAGCCGGTTAGGATGGTGGTTGGGATGGTGGTTGGGATGGTGGTTGGGATGGTGGTTGGGATGGTCGTGGGATGGTCATGGCTTTCCCTTCCTTCCTTGCACTCTCTTCTCCCTGTCGCCACTCACTCACTCACTCAATCACTCTCTCCTTGCCCCAGGGACTTCGCGCTGGTGGAGCACCAGGTGCTGCATTTCTCGCCTGCTTTCAACGTGTCGCATCCCCTGCCTTCCCTCTTTCCCTCACCCATGCTTGCCTCTCGCCCCCCTCTCTCTTTCCCAGGGACTTGGCGCTGGTGGAGCACCAGGCGCTGCATTTCTCGCCTGCTTTCAACGTGTCACATCCCCTGCCTTCCCTCTTTCCCTCACCCATGCTTGCCTCTCGCCCCCCTCTCTCTTTCCCAGGGACTTCGCTCTGGTGGAGCGCCAGGTGCTGCATTTCTCGCCTGCTTTCAACGTCATCACAGGCGACAGCGGGTCCGGCAAGTCAATCATCGTGCAGGCAATAGGGCAGGTGAGTGGGTGGGGGTATAGGGCAGGTGGGACTATACTATAGCAGCAGTAGCATCAGAGGGCGCTGTGTCATCACAGGCGACAGCGGGTCGGGCAAGTCAATCATCGTGCAGACAATAGGGCAGGTGGGGCTATAGCGAGGGTTTGACCTTGTTAGGACTTGGCTTTAGCAGCAGTAGCATCAGAGGGCGCCGTGTCATCACGGGTGACAGCGGGTCGGGCAAGTCAATCATCGTGCAGGCAATAGGGCAGGTGAGGCTATAGGGAGAATCTAGCCTTGTTAGAGAATTTTTAAAGGGCTTTTCCATAGGGTCAGCAGCATCAGAAGGCTCTGTGCTACCCCCAGCCCTCTCCTCCCCCCCTCATCCTTTCCACTCAAACTTTCCCTTTCCATTCTTTTCCCCTCTTTTCCTGCCCTCCTTTCTCAAATCAAGGTACTGGGAGCAGCAGCATCTGAGGACTCTGTACGATCTCCAGCCCTCTCCTCCTCTCTCTCCGCGCATCTCTCCCTCTCCCCCTCCGCCTCTCACTCCCTCCTGCAATTCCTCAGGCAGGAAGGTAGGCTAGATGTGGTGAAGGCCGTTACTGGGGGAGGTGGTTTAGCTGATGGTGCAGGTGATAAAAACGGAAAGCAGGAGGAGCGTGGTTCAGGGATGAGCAGTGCTGGTCGTGTGAGAATGAAGGTGATTCTAGAAAGGGAGATTTTCCGCTCTGTTGCTGCTGATGGTGATGCTTATAGCGAGTCTGAGGCTGATGGCAGCAGCAACAGAGGAGGAAGCAGCAGCAAGAGCGGAGGCAAGAGCGGGAGCAAGGGCAGGAGCACGAGTGGAAGCACGGGCAAGAAGAGCAGCAAGGCGCGGAGTGTGTGCCGGGTGAATGGGGTGGTGGTGCCTCTGAAGGTTCTGCGTGCTGTGGGTGCGACCCTGGTGGATTTGAACGGGCAGAATGCGCAGGGGGCACTTAGAAGCGAAGGCGCTCAGCTGATGCTGCTGGATAGATTCGCAAAGCGGTGGGGGGATGGGGAAGGGATGGGTAAGGGTGGAGGGAAGGGTATGGGGAAGGAGAGAGAGGGAGAGGGAAGGTTGAGGGAGGAGGAAGAGGAGGAAAGGAGGGAGGGAGAGGAGGCGGTGAAGGTATGGAGGGAGGGAGGGGAGGGGGGTGGGGAGGAGAGAGTGGAGGTGGGAGTGCTGCTGGCGAAGGCTCAGCAGGTGTGGGAGGAGCAGAAGAGGCTGCAGGAGGCAGGGGGGGAGCAAGCGTTAATGGTGCTGCAGGAACTGGTTGAGGATGTGGAGAGACTGGGACTTAAGGAAGGTGAGGTGGAGGCGATACGGGAGGAGATCAGGGAGCATGAGCGGGCAGGCAGGGCAGCTGAGAGTTGCAGCCGTGCGCATGGGATGCTGGAGGGCTCTGGAGCGTTAGGCGTGCTGCATGGGTTGAGTAAGGCTGTGGAGGAGTTGAGAGAGGTGGAGGAGGAGGAGCAGGAGCAGGAAGAGCAGGAGGGGGAGGAGGATGAGGGGATTGGGAGGAAAGGGAGGAGGGGAGGGAGGGGGGGTGCAGGGGGGTATGTGCAGAGGGGGAGGTTGGAGGATGTTTCAGCTGCTTTGGAGCTGCTGGGGGAGGCTAAGATGCTGGTGAACAGAGCGGTGAGTGGTGGTAACAGAGCGGTGAGTGGTGGTAACAGAGAGGTGAGTGGTGTGAACAGAGTGGTGAGAGCTGAAGACAGAGCGGTAGTCTGTCCGTTCTTACCAGTTTCTTCCCTTCAATCTTCTTGCCGCAGACTTCTTACCACTGTTTCTTTCAATCCACTTGGACGGCTTTTGTTTATCTGTGCTGTGACGTGCAACCCCTTGCACTCCACTGCATTGCACCCCACCCCATGGCACCGCATCACACGACACCACACCACACCTTTCCACACCGCACTGCACCACACCAGAAGGATCACGTGGAGTGCTACTTGGACGACTTGCGGTTCTCACGGGAGCGCATGGACCGGCTCAAAAAGCGGTTGAGAGAGGTGATGAGCGGTGCAGAGTGATATGGTAGTACAGATTCTGGGAATGGGAAAGACCAGAGAGTATGAGCACATTGGGATGAGACTTGGATCCAATATGGTCTTGGTAGAGGAGGGTGTGTCGCACTAGCAGTATTCTTGGTGCGGGCCGGGGCTTGACAGGAACTGCTACTGCTGGTAGAGGAGGGTGTGTCGCACTAACAGGTGTCTCGTGTCGCACTAGGGTGTGTCGCACTAGGGTGTGTCGCACTAACAGGTGTCTCGTGCAATCTGCGCTTCTTCTTGACATGTAACAATCTTCTAATCGTCTCTTGCTGGCACTGCCCTTTGTTCTCGCTGGCACTGCCCTTTGTTCTTGCTGGCACTGCCCTTTGTTCTGACACACTTGTCTTGTCCGACTCCTCTCTCCTCTCTGCTCTCTGCCCTCTGGTATGCCCGTTGCTCTCTTCTCCCTACTCTGTGCTGCTTCCACCAAAACTGCACCGCACCGCACTGCACCGCACCAATGCCGCATGGTGGCTGGCAGATAGAAATTGTTCGCAAGCGCCACGCCATTCGATTGGCAGCAGAGCTCTGGTCGGCGGCCCAGACGGCGGCAGATCAGATCGCCAGCTCAGGTGCGACGATGACGATGACGATGGTGTTGGTGATGCTGATGCTGATGCTCATGCTGATGCTGATGCTTATGCTGATACTGATGCTTATGCTGATGCTTATGCTGATGCTGATGCTGATGGTGATGCTGATGCTTATGCTGATGCTTATGCTGATGCTTATGCTGATGCTGATGCTGATGCTGATGCTGATGCTTATGCTGATACTGATGCTTGTGCTGATGCTTATGCTGATGCTGATGCTTATGCTGATGCTGCTGCTGATGCTGATGCTGATGCTCATGCTGATGCTTATGCTGATGCTTATGCTGATGCTGATGCTGATGCTTATGCTTATGCTGATGCTTATGCTGATGCTGATGCTGATGCTTATGCTTATGCTTATGCTGATGCTTATGCTGATGCTTATGCTGTCACAGAACATAAAGGTAAAAGCATCATGCTCTGTTACATGCTTGTGAGGTGTAGAGGGGTGTAGCTTGTAGTATTCAGTTTCAGCGAGGGCTGGTTGGGTTCTGGAGGGTGACGTGAAGTTGGTAGAATAGGGCACTGCTGGGTACAAAGGGGTTGGATTCAGAAAGCCTCGAGAGACAGGAAATCAGGATCGGCCAATCCAAGGCCCAGGCGACTCGAGCCCAATTCACTCGCCAAGAAATTGGCAACACGGGTGAGGGTGAATAAAGTAGCCTAGGGTAGCAATCGCATCCCTGTTCTCTCGTTTGTTTGCCTAAAATAGTGGATTTACGTTGCCGTTCTAACGCTACAGCAGCTAGGTGACTAGGCCACTAAGGGCAGCCATCGTGTGGGAGCCAGAATCTCTCACAAACGAGAGAACAGCTTTGGCGGTATGGACTGCCACGAGCTGCGTTGGCAGCAGATGGACTCGCGTCGGGAGTTTTCACCGTCGCGGAGGATGCGCTCATTGGAGCGCGGGAGATCGCGGACGCATTCGCCACGGAGGACAGCGTACCGCGCGGATGGGGGCTCACCCATACGAGGGCGACGAGGAGGAAGCCAGGGCGATCCGCATGCGAAGGCGGAGCCCAGGCCTCGTCCGTCCGGAAGTGATCCTTGGAATCTGGCAGGTGGCCAGCAAGGAGCGGGAGAAGGGCGTCATGACGACGCGGATATGACGGACTCGCCGGAATCAGCAAGGAAGGCTGACGACGAGGGAGATTGCGAAGGTGTCACCACTGCGCGGGGCGGCGGGGAACAACGCCTAGGCAGGGAGGAGGCAGATCTGCAGAATCGAGGTGCAGAAGAGCGTAATAGCGACGCGGAAAAAGATCCTGCATTAGAGGGGATGTGTGAAGAAGGCAGAGTGAGGTGTCGAGGGAACACGGCAGCGGATTGCTCGCCGGACGACAGGCGCAAGGGAAGCGCGAGGCGCCGCGAGAGCGCGGATGCAGCTGGTGCGACGGACGAAACAGATGGGAGTGGCGAAAGGCTTCATGGCAGCGGGGATGCAGCTGGTGCGACGGACAAAAACGAAATGGGTGGGAATGGTGCGAGGCGCCGCGGAGAAGAACAGGCGGATGCGAAAGAGGACGATCTGCAAAGCGATGGCAGAGATGGACGCGAAACACGCGGATGTGTAATGGAAGAAGATCGTTCGGCGAACGAGAAGCGCGGGGGTGGCGCGCGGCGCCACGAGGACATGGCAGCAGATCGCGCGCGAGAAGAGATGCGCGAGGGAAGTGCGAGGCGCCGCGGGAGCATGAATGCAGATCGTTCTGCTGGCGAAATGCGCGGGGGTGCGAGGCGCCGCGGGGGTGCGGATGCAGCCGGTTCGACTGATGGAATGCGCGGGAATGACACGAGACGCTGCGGGAGCACGGATGCAGACAGTTCGGCGGGCGAAATGCCTGAGAATGGCGCAAGGCGCCGCGGGAGCACGGATGCAGACAGTTCGGCGGGCGAAATGCCTGAGAATGGCGCAAGGCGCCGCGGGAGCGCGGATGCGGATCGCTCGCCAGGCAGGCTGCGCGGAAGTAACGCGAGGCGCGGTGAAGGCAAGGAGACTGAGCGCGCGCCAGGAGCCAGCCGTGAGGAAGAAAGGAGGCGGGACGTGCAGGCGGGAGTGTATAGCTCGCCTGAGCCAAGACGCGGACATGAGCGCAGGAGGCGCATGGCGCTGGGCGGATGGCGATCACCAGAGCAAGGGGGAGAAGGAAGTGAGCACGCCCACGAGAGGAGGCGCGCGCGGCGCTCGCGTGCACGGCAGCGGACGGAGGAGAGGGAAGCACGTGTTAACGGCAGTGTGTGTTGGTGGCAGTACATCACGGGTGCAGATGCGAGAACACACCGGAAAGGAGTAGACGAGTACCCATGCGCGGGAGCGGGGTTGGTGCAGGATCCTGTCGGAGAGGCAAGGGGGAGGCAGGAGAGAGAGATAAACAGGAGAAGGGGTGAGGAAGAGCGCTGCTGGCGAGAGGTGTCCCCAGGGAAGGACCCGGGAAGTGACAAAGGAAGAGGAAGAGAGGATCATGAGCGCCGAGGAGCAGGCGGACGAGGGAGACGTTGTGAAGGAGAGTCCCTTGAGAGGAAGGAGTGGAGGGAGAAGATGAGAAGGAGTGATGAGGAGCTGCGTGAAGAGAAGGAACATGAGTACAGTGAAGAAGAGGACTATGGGTATGATCTCGAACGGCGCCGACGCGGGAAGCCGGAGTGGCGGGAGAAGAAGTCATGGCCTGAAGAAAGAGAGGGGTACAGGGGAAGGCGAGAAGGGCGAATGGAACCTGGAGCGGGGGTGAGGGAGAAGCAGGACCTGAGCGGACAGAGGAAGAGAGGTGACAAGCAGCACATGCGACGGGAGGGGATGCACAAGTATGAAACAGAGAGCGGGGAAGAGGAAGAGAGTGACAGGCGGGCACGCCATGGATCAAGACAAAGGAAGGAAAGCTGGGAAGAATATATCTTTGGAAGGAGAGAAGGGCTTAGGAGCAGGCAAGAAGAACGGAGAGAGTTTCGTGAGAGAGAGGACCAGCAGCAGCGGGAAAGGAGGAAGCGAGAAGGGCGATTCCAGGATTATTCGCCTGAGAGGAGAGAAAGGCGATGGGGGGAAGCAGGCGGGCGAAGAGAGGCTCACGAGGAGGAGCAGAGAAGGAGTCCGAGTCCGAGGGGCCCCAGGAGGCCACGGCAGACAGGAGAAGGATCTAGCGAAGCCAGAGGTGCTAGAGAAGGGATAGACAGGGTGCTGTGTGGGACAAGCACAGGCAGCAGGGGAATGAGGGAGCACAGAGGAGAAGTTAGCCGCGCGGAGCGAGGAGCAACGGGAACCTGGGACTCAGGGAGATGGGGCATGCAGGCGCCACCACAAGTAGAGGTGCCAGTGCGTTTCACGGGGAATGGAGGGACAAGCACTAATCTAAAGAATTATCTGATGCAGATTGGGAATGTCAAGTACAGGTGCGATCGGAGTGGGATGGACCCCCTCGACTTCTTTTTGAGTTTGCCGAACACTTTGGGTGGGGAAGCAGAAACATTGTATCGCATGAAGATGCATGAGTGGCTGAGGAGGGCAGAGGAGGATGGGGACGACCCTACGTCACTGTTCCTGGAGCGGCTGCGCAAGCAATTCCCAGGACACACGGCAGCGCGAATCAGGGAGTTTCAGGACTTCAAACGCAGGAAGGATGAGTCGTTGCTGACGTATTATGGGCGGCTCATGAACCTGGCCGAGGATGTGGTGTGTACCGACAGCAGCATGCTGATTAGTAAGTTCCTGGCAGGATTGGACGACGGGCTGGCCGGAGGACTGAAAATGAGAGTATACGAGCTGGGGGCAGAAGCAAGCCTGGAGGAAGTGTTTGAGCTAACAGAAAAGGTGGAGCTGGCACAGAGGCGTTATGAGGCATACCTGCCAACAGTGGCTGAGAAGATGCGACCCACCTGGGCGGCAGCAATGATACCGGGGGTGGGAGGCGGAGAGGAGCAGCAATATGAGAGAAGGACAGACACGAAGACCTGCTACAGGTGTGGACAGCCAGGACATGTAAGATTGAATTGCAAGAACTGCGACGTGTGTGGGAAACCAGGGCACCGCCGTCAGAACTGCCCTGACGTGCCAACCTGTGAAGTGTGTGGGAAGAGGGGGCATCAGCAGAAGGACTGCTATCAGAGGACTGGGGGAGCAAGGAGGTCACAAGAGGAGATAGAAACACAGATAGGAAGGCTGCGGGCTCAGCTGCAGGCTTTGGGAGGCAAGAAGGAGAAAGAACCAGGAGTGTACGCGAGGGAAGAGGAAGAGGAGGAAGAGGAGCATGAGCCAGAGCACTCCTGTGCGGTGCTGCGTCGCCATGAAAACCTGGGGTGGAGCAGTGGGGGCAGGGACAGACGAAGGAAGCAAGTGAGTAAGGTGGGGGCATGGGTGTGTGTGCAAGTAACACCAGAAACGGAAGAAAAGGACAAGAAGGTGGGGGCATGGGCGGATGAACCGGTAGCGGTAGGCGCGGAAGGGAAGGACGAGAAGGTGGGGGCATGGGCAGCAGCAGAAGGGGAGGAGAAGGACGAGAAGGAGGGGGCAGGGGCGTGTGAACTGGTAGCAGCCGGTGCGGAAGAAAAGGACGAGCAGGTGGGGGCATGGGAGTGTGCACCAGCAGCAGCAGAAGCAGAGGAGAAGGACGAGCAAGTGGGGGCATGGGTGTGTGCACCAGCAGCAGCAGAAGCAGAGGAGAAGGACGAGCAAGTGGGGGCAGGAGCGTGTGTAACAGCAGCAGCGGAAGCAGAAGAAAAGGACGAGAAGGTGGGGGCGGGTGTGTGTGTAACAGCAGCAGCGAAGGCAGAGGAAAAGGAAGAGCAGGTGGGGGCGGGAGCGTGTGTACCTGCAGTAGCAGAGGCAGAACGGAAGGACGAGAAGGTGGGGGCACGACCGTGTGTACTAAAGGCAGAGAAGCAAGTGCAGGGAAGTATGAGGGCGGAGCAGCATGTGAGGAAGCTGAGGGAAGAACGTCCGGAGCTGCTGGGGGAGAAAATGGTAAAAGAAGCCGTGAGAGGAGCTGAGACGGGTGTGAGGAGCATAAAAGTAGGGATGGCGTGCGACTGGGGGACAGGAGACCTACGGGTAGGAGGATGGGAAGGTCCAGTGTGGGACAAAGCCCAGGAGCAAGAGGAAGCAGAGAGGGAGAGCAAGGAAGTGGGGGCATGGGAGTGCCTGCCTGTGGGGGAAGAAAGGCAGCATACAATGGAAAATGCGACGAGTCAGGAAGCAGAAGAGGCCGTGAAGACGGTAAGGTGGATTAAGGGAGGAACATGGGCAGATGAGCCGATGCGGCTAGCATCCCAGGTGCTGTCAGAATCCAGGGGAATGGAAGAGGCTGAGAAGTGGGCGGCCTGGGAGGGAGGCAAGGCAGTAGGACACCTGAAGGAAGTGATACTGGCATTGGTGGAGGACCTACATGTGGTGCAGATGGGGGATGCGTGCAGCTATGAACAGCGGCAGCAGCTGGGTGGCAGGGGGACAGAAGAGGCTGTAGGGGCAGGGCGGACAGAGACGGACAAAGGAGGACAACAGAAGAGGGGGCGGGTGCAAGCGGGGCGAAGTGTGGGAGTACTGGAGCTGGAGAAGACGAAGAGAGAGCTGACCGTGGCAGGAACCAGACCCACAAGGCACGGATGAAGAGCAGCCGTCCTCAGCTGGGAAGTCCTGTGTCTCGGGCCCGAGCGGCTTGAGCACGAGCACAGGAGGGGGCAGGTAGTGGCTGAGTACGAAGAAGGGAACCAGGGGACAGGGACAAGATAGATGCAAGGGTGAGAAGGAGAAAGCAGCAGGAGTACAAGGACACAAGCAGGTAACGCAAGAGGGGTTTCTCCGACAATGCTGATGCTCATGCTGATGCTGATGCTCATGCTGATGCTGATGCTGATGCTTATGCTGATACTGATGCTTGTGCTGATGCTTATGCTGATGCTTATGCTGATGCTGATGCTGATGCTGATGCTTATGCTGATGCTTATGCTGATGCTGATGCTGATGCTGATGCTTATGCTTATGCTGATGCTGATGCTGATGCTTATGCTTATGCTGATGCTGATGCTGATGCGGATGTTGGAAATGGTTCAGTCAGGTGCGATGCTGCTGGTGGCCAACCGCCCAGACAGCGGAAGATCAGATCGCCAGCTCAGGCGCTGATGGTGGTGATGTTGATGGTGGTGATGGTGGTGATGCTGATGGTGGTGATGCTGATGGTGGTGATGGTGGTGATGGTGGTGATGCTGATGGTGGTGATGCTGATGGTGGTGATGCTGATGGTGGTGATGCTGATGGTGGTGATGCTGATGGTGTTGATGTTGGTTTTGCTGTTCTGCTGCTAGTGCTTTTGATGGCGATTGTTTCGTTTGTGCCTCATGCTCGATACCTCATACCCCATTCCCTGTCTGTAACATGCCCCATTCCCCATAACATGCCCCATTCCCATGTCCCATGCATCAATCCCCATTTCATGACTCATGACCCTCGTTCCATGCCCCATGGTCCATGCCCCATGGTCCATGCCCCATGTTCCATGACCCATGTTCCATGCCCCATGTTCCATGCCCCATGTTCCATGCCCCATGTTCCATGCCCCATGGTCCATGCCCCATGGTCCATGCCCCATGCCCCATTTCTCCTTGCTTCCTCATCGCTTTAAATCCCACCTTCGCCCTCTCACTCCAAACTAAACCGCCCCCTTCATCCCCTTTTCCTGAACCCCCTTCCCCGTGTGTCCTCTTCCTCATCCCCCCTGCCCTCGTCCTCATCCCCCCTGCCTCCCCCCCCCCCCCAATTTTCCTACCTCCCGCCCTTGCAAAATCACAACAGGGAGTGTGGAGAAGAGGCGAAGGGAGCTACAAGACGAAATGAACCACCTCGCTGCGGATATCGGGCGGCACTTTTTGGCAGCTAGCAGGAGGAGGCGGGTGGCAGCAGAGGACCTGGGGGAGAGAGTGGAGGGCGTGCTGAGAGGGCTGGAGATGGGTGCCGCGCGGTTCAGAGCGGTCGTGTCATGGGTAAGAAGGGGATGGGTTTGGTTTGGGGGGGATGATGGCAAGGGGTTGATGGCAGATGATTGGAAAAGGGTGAGCGAATGCTGGTATAGTGCCCAAGTTAATAATAGGTGGGTGCCTCATGGTTCAGAGCGGTGGTCATGTGGGTAAGCTGCACATGAGTCGATTCTGCATTGGGTATCTGACCTTCCTAAATCACCCCCTCCGTTCGTCTCCCCTTTCTGCCCCGCTCGCTTCTCCGCTGCTCTCCTTCTCTTCCCCCTCTGCTCTTTCATCCTTTCTCCCTGGCTGGCTCCCATCTCCTCCACCCCTTCATCCTTTCTCCCTGGCTGGCTCCCATCTCCTCCACCCCTTCATCCTTTCTCCCTGGCTGGCTCCCATCTCCTCCACCCCTTCATCCTTTCTCCCTGGCTCCCATCTCCTCCACCCCTTCATCCTTTCTCCCTGGCTGGCTCCCATCTCCTCCACCCCTTCATCCTTTCTCCCTGGCTGGCTCCCATCTCCTCCACCCCTTCATCCTTTCTCCCTGGCTGGCTCCCATCTCCTCCACCCCTTCATCCTTTCTCCCTGGCTGGCTCCCATCTCCTCCACCCCTTCATCCTTTCTCCCTGGCTGGCTCCCATCTCCTCCACCCCTTCGTTCTTTCAGACTCCTCTCTCCCCATTCCGTCTCGACTCCTCCTTCCCCTCTCCTCCCCTCCCTTCCCATCCCATCCCATCCGCGCCCCTCCGCTCCCCTCCCCTCCCTGTCCCCCGCTCCCCCCCCCTCGTTTGCAGGAGCCAGCAGCCCCCCACTTCTACAGTGCCACGTCAGCTCCTCTCAGCCAATCACAGCTCAGCATGCAAGAGAGAAGAAGGGGTGGTGGAGGAGAGGGAGTGAGGGCGAGGAGGGTAGCGGGGAGTGGCGGCTGGGGAAGGGAGGTAGAATCAGAGTGGGAAGAGGAAGGGGAAGGCGATGAGGAAGAGGAAAGGGAGGAAGAAGAGGAGGAAGACGATGAGGAGGAGGAGGGGGAAGAGGAGGAGGAAAGCGGGCAGCAGAGGCAGCATGGGACAGAGATTTTGGTGGAGGAGGGATTGATACGAGCGGAGGGGGCTGAGAGTGTGGGCGAGAGGAGCGACGTGTTCTATCGATACAGCAGCACTGGCATGGATAGGGTGGGTGGCATGAGCACGAGGGTGGGTGGCATGAGCGTGAGCCATTTGTTGGATACTTCACATGCTGGAACGTTTATAAATCAATGCCAGTGCTCACGCTCCAATGCAGGTGGTGTTTCAACTGTCAGCCAATCCGGGAGAGCCTCTGCTGCCGCTCTCCCAAGTGGCGTCGGGTGGCGAGTGCTCCCGAATCATGCTTGGTGGGGTAGTGTGGGGTGGGGTGGGGTGGGGTGGGGTGGGGTGGGGTGGGGTGGGGTGGGGAGGGTGGGGTGGGATGGGATGGGCTAGCTGAGGGATCGTGCTGGGTGGATTGGATTGGACTGGCCTGAAGTGAGGTTGGGCTGAGGTGCTGTGCCTGGTCATGTTGAGCTAATAGGGCTAAAGTCTGCATGAAAGTAGTCGAGTTTTGAGACGTCTCAAAACTGTGCCGCAGTAATGCTTGCAGTTGAGAGGACATAGGTGAATGCCCCTCCCGACTCTTCCATTCTTCCTTGTTCGCTTCCCTCCGTTTCTCCCTTCCCCATTTCTCCAGCACTCAAGATCATTGCAGCTACCACTAGCACCAGCACCACTGCAGATACCGCCTCCACCAGCAGCACCACCACAGATACCGCCTCCACCAGTCCCACCTCCCCATCATCTTTGGAAACAAGCACAAGCAGCAGCAATGAACTCCCAGCAGCCAATGGGAGCGTGCCAGGTGTCAGCGTGTCGGTGTTTGATGAGCTGGACAGTGGTGTGGGCGGCAGGATCGCTTCCCGATTCGCCCTCGCCCTGCGACACCTGTGCAGACAGGGTAACCAGGTTAGTACACCTGCGCATACAGGGTAACCAGGTTAGTACACACTAACTCATAGGTAGCTAGGTGAGGTTCCTTATAACCGTGGGTAACCAGGTAGTAAGCTTTTGAATTGTGCTTGACCGAGAGGGTGTTGAGACGTCTCAAAACCCTTCTTCAAACACGTTGACCGAGAGGTTGCATTTGAATACAGGTGAAACTACGTGGGTTTACCTAAGAGTTTACCTAAGAGTTTACCTAAGAGTTTACCTAAGAGTTTACCAGGTGTAGCCTTCCCTGCAAGACATTTCCTGCTAATACACTCCCTGCCCCCAGGTGATATGTATCACCCACCTGCTGCAGGTGGTCGTGCGTGCAGACGCACACATGAGTGTGTGAACGCTCTGGTGCTTCCAGCTGATCCCATGCCCCACTTGACACACCCCACACGCCACATCACGATGCATCCCCCTTTCCTCCAGGTCATATGTATCACCCACCTGCCCCAGGTGGCATGGCAGTACACGCAGACGCGCACATCAGTGTGAGCAAGCACGTGGACAGGGCCGATGGTCGCATGCGCACCACTGCTGTACCATTCACCCCCCTTCATTCTCCCTGCCCCCACACCCCCTTCCCTCCAGGTCATGTGCATCACCTATCTGCCCCACGCAGACACGCACATCAGTGTGAGCGCAGGGGGGAAGAGGGGAAAGGACAAGGTGCAAGCAGATTAATGGGTTTGATGGGCGCATGCACCTTGTCCTTTCCCTTCTTCCCTCCTGCCTCCCCACCCCCCTGCCACACCCCCCTGCCACACCCCCCTGCCCCCAGGTCATTTGCATCACCCACCTGCCGCAGGTGGCAGTGTATGCGGACGCACACTGTCGTGAATCTTCCTCTGTCCACCCTCATTCCCTTTCTCCCCTGTGTATCCTGCTGACTTCTCCTTCTCTCCTTCCTTCCCTGCCACCCGTACTGCTGATCAGGTTCATCCCTTCTTCCTCCTGGCGTATGTAATCACTCTGTCCTGCACTCCTCCTGGTACCTCAGGCTTCCCTGCCCCCTCCCGTGTCTCAGCGCCCATCTTTGCCGCTTGAGTCACGGGACCCACTGCCTGAGGCTTCCCTTGTCCCGCCCTGGCCACGTTGGTGATGTGTTCCTTGATGATTCCCCCTCGAATATCTTCCAGCACTAACACTCCCGAGCCTCGTATCTCATTCACCTTCCATCGCTCCGATCCCACCGCTAAGTCCAGCGTGTCGCGCTTAGCTTTGCGAAGGTATACCTCCTGCCCTGCCTCCACCTTATCACCCTTTCCCCCTATCCCTGATGCTTTACGCTGCTGGTATCGTCTTGCGTCACGCAGCTGCGCCACATGGAGGTTATCCAGAGCTGCCGGAGCCAGCTCCTTCAAATACTTTGCTCTCCTCTGGGCTAACTCCGCCCACATGTTTGGCTCATCTGCCTCTATAACCGCAGAAAGCAGCTTCGGAGCATCGACCGGCAGCACAGGATCCCGCCCGAACAGTAAGTGGTATGGGGATAGGTTTCTCAGAGCCGCCTGCTTTGTGAACCTGTACCCCGCCAGCACCCACCAGAGATCTCGGTCCCAACTCCTTTTGTGGGACTCACTGTAGGCCCGTAGTCCTTTCTTCAAGGTCTGTATGAGCCTCTCGGTCAGTCCGTGTGATTGAGGATGGTACCTAGAGGTGACCCTGTGCGTGATACCCATCTCTTCCAGCAGCTCGTCAAAGCTCCCTTGAAATTCCGTCCCTTGATCAGTGAGTACCTCCCCGCATGCCCCATACCTGGTGAGCACCAGCTCCTCAAAAGCGTCAGCTATCAGTGCGCTGTTCTTGCTTGGTAACGCTCGCGCCTCCACCCATTTACTCGTGTGCTCAACCATCACCAGAATGTACTGCTTTCCTCCTTTCGATAGTGGCAGCTCTCCCGCGAGGTCTAACGACCACCTGTAGCCCAACCCGCGAATTGGTAAAGAATGCAGCTCATATCTCTCTTTCTCTAGCCTTGCTTTATTCCTCTGACATGCCTCGCAGCTCGCCACTAATCCTGCCACATCCTTTCCCATGCTCACCCACCAGTACATGGTGCTCAGCAGCTGCCGTGTTCTGGTTATGCCGAAGTGCCCCAGCTTCGCGTGCACATTCCCCATAATCTTGGCTCTCTCCTGTGGTTGTGGCACCACCTTCCACCCTTCGTTGGTTCTCAGCTGCAGCTGTTCCTGAAACCACCTGAAATGCTGCCCTCGGGCCCTGGCTCTCTCGCTCACTCCTTCCTCTTCTAGTGGCTCCCCTTTGATCCAGCTCAGGGTCTCCTCATCCTCCCATATATCCCCTAACCGCTTCTTTCCTTTCTCCTGCCCCCAGGGTATCGCTGCTACTTGAGCCAGGGCTGCCAGCTGCGCTACCGGCTGCATTGGTGGCGGATTCCTTGATAACCCATCTGCGTGCTGCAGCGTTTTCCCAGGCCGGTGTCGGATCTCAAAGTCGAATCCCAGCAGCTTAATGGCCCAGCGAGCGTTTCTTCCCGTCAGCTCGTGATGAGTCATCAACCATAGCAACGGCTGGTGATCAGTCACAAGTGTAAAGCGCCGACCCTGCAGGTACACCTTGAAGTGAGTGATCCCCCATACAGCTGTCAGGCCCTCCCCCTCGTAAGAGCAGTAGTTAGCCTCGGATGGGCTACAGCTGCGGCTGGCGAAGGCTACCACTCTCTCCTCTCCTTCTATCTCTTGGCAGAGCTCTGCCCCCATTCCTGTGCTGCTCCAGTCGGTGTATAAGATGAAAGGGGCATCTGCCCTCGGTATCTGCAGCAGCGTTCCCGTTCGTACTGCTTCTAACAGGTCCTGCCTTGCCGTTTCCTCCAGCTCTCCCCACTGCCAGCTCCTCCCTTCCTTCAGCAGCTGATTCAGTATGTAGGCTCGGCGGCTAAAGTCCGGTACGAACTTCCTGTAATAATTCAGGAAGCCGAGTAACGCCCGCAGCCCGGTCTTATCCTTTGGTGCTGCCAGGTTCTCCAGCACTTTAACTTTTGCTTCCTGTATCGCCAGCCGGCCCCCTTTCACTTCAAAGCCCAGGTAAGCCACGGTCTGCCTTGCTATCTTGCACTTGTCTGGATGGCACGTCAGACCCGCAGCTGCTATAGCCTCTAGCGTCTGCTTCAGATCTTGAACGTGCTGCTCTTCACTGCTGTTGAAAATCAGTATATCATCTATGTAGCAGGTTGCTGCTGGAATCCCCTTCAGCACCTGATCCATGGCCGGCTGGAACACTGCAGGGGCGTTGCGTATCCCGAAGGGCATCACATTGTACTCATACAGCCCATCCACCCCGTGAAACGCCGTTTTCCGTTTGTCTTCCTCCCTGATGGCTATCTGGTTGAACCCCTGTCACAGGTCCAAGGTGGTGAAGATGATGGCGCCTTCTAAGCGATCAAAGATGTCTTCTGCTGTTGGCATGGGGTACCTGTCCGGGCTGGTAATCTTGTTCAGCTCCCGAAAATCTCCACACATCCTTTTCGCCAGCACTTTACCCGTGATATCCTTCCTGGCAGCTACCACTGCGGCTGCTGCGTAGCTTGACTCGGACGGGCGGATAATCCCTGCTGCTAGCAGCTCCTCACACTTCTCCTTGCAGATAGCCGCATCCTCTGCATTCATTCTCCTTCTTCGTTGGTAAGTGGGTATCTCTGTGGTAAGGTTTAGCTCCAGCTCTCTTCCCTTGTACCTCCCCAAATCCTGCAGGTTATAGGCGAAAGTGCTCCTGTGCTGGTGCAGCACCTCTCTGATTGCTTCTGCCGTCTGCTCCTTGATGTCCGTACCTAGCTTCCATTCCTTAATCTGCTCAGCTTCTTTGCCCCCTGCTAGTGCCGCAACATTCTCCTTTCCTCCCGTGCCCTGCTCAACAGCTGCATACGCCGCCTGCTTCTCTCCTTGTCCTTGCCTTTTTCCGGTCTCTCCTCCTTTATCAGCTGCCCCCTTCCTCATCTCTTTGATTAACCATCTCAGCGAGTGCTGGTCTATGGCTCTTCCTAAAGCTGCTCTGCACATCCCTTCCTCTACCCCTTCTGCGGTTGCTCCTGGCAGGTATCCCATGGCTAACTCCCGCTCCAAAGCCGTCGGTTCCTCCCACTTCTTCTTCCGGTGATCGTACACCATCCCTGGTCCTGTTATTCCGTCCACCTCGATGAAACCTTGTGCCCTGGTGTATGCCACTAATGTAGGCCATGCCCTGCGAGCTTCCCCCACCCGGTTGCACTGGTACTGCCGCGGATGATCTGGTTTTACCACTGGGGCCGCCACCCTCCCTGGTTCTAAAATATCCTCTACTATCCTGCTTTCGTCCCTCTCCACTCCTGCTAGTCTTGCCCTCAGTTCCCCGTCTGGTAAGACGTTTTGCCAGTACTGCCGCACCCTATGACAGCGTGCCCCCAACTGTGCCCCATCACACCGCACTCCTCTCCCCAGTTCTGCCTCCACTAGCTCCCTTACTGCCCTGACTGGCTCGCGTACGTCATTCCTCATATCCACATGCTCCAGGATGTAAGCATATTCTCCATTCACTTCACTCGTCCACTTCATTATGGTGAGTAGCTTGGTCACCATCCCCGTGCGCTCGTCCTGTAAGCCTTTCCCCTTTCCGGCCCTAGAAGTACCCTGACACTCCCATCCCGCCACTAACAAATCCACTTTACCCCAGCTGCTCACGTCTTCTTTCGTGAGCTGCCCCACGTCCCATTTCTTGTTCTGCATGGCCTCCCGTAGTACTTCTTTCGTCAGCTGCGCGGGGTACTGCTGCTGTAACATTTGAGCATGCTTCCATGCCATTCTCCTCACCTCTGGGTCCAATTCTACGTATACCCACTTCTTCACCCTCAGGCCTGCTTCCAAGGCTGCTGCCAAGCCCGCTCCTATTCCCCCGAACAGCTCCACTAGTGTAATGCTATACTGATCCAAGTGAGCGCTGCCGTTGCTCTTCCCCACACTCCCTCCCCTCCTACTGTTCTTCCTCAGTCCTTCTGCTCTCCACGCCTTCTTGGGTTCTGTCTTAACAAATCGTACTGGTAGTTCACTCAGCTCCTTCCCTTCCTCCCAAAAGTCCGAACGGTAGAGCACCTGCTCCTGCCAGGTACAGATAGTGGTGCCTATCTTGAACAGCAACTCCATTCCTAGTAGGATGTCATAGTCTTCTGATTCTGTCAACCCACACTGCACTCTGATAGTGGTCTCCCCCTTCTCTCCCGGCTGTAAGGTTATCTCTATCAGGTCCCGTGTGCATGGCATCCACTTGGGGGCCCCTCCTTCTGCTGTCATGATTAGTATGCCCTTGCTTACAGTCTCTAGGTTCCCTTGCGCTCGCAGTTGTGCCGTCAGCTTCTTCCCGATTAGGACGCTCTGTGCTCCTGTATCCACTACCGCGTTTTCTACCAAGATTCCTCTGACCGCCACGGCTTTCGGTTCCACCACTAAGGCTGTGAGCTGACAGACTAGCCTTTCCTCGGGGTGACGCCGTGCGGTGCTGACTTTCCCTTGATTCTCCTGCCGCCTGGAAATTCTTCGCTCTTGTAATTTCTGCTCCGCTCTGCCATCTGCCCCTCCGCTGCGCAGCCCTAGGTCTCCCCTCTCCCTTGGCGGCATAGCCATGGTCCCGTATTCTGGTTCCCCTTCCTCAGAATCTTCCCCTTCGTCATCCCCCCAAGCCAGCAGAGCTTTCTCGGGGTCTTCACTGATCCCTGATTTCTCCATCTGAGCTTTCAGTTTCGCCAACTCTCGTTCTAACTGCAGCTCCCTTGCAGTTTTCCCTTTCGCCCTGTCTCCCTTGCTGTAGCATCTAGCTTCGGTATGGCCTTTCTTCCCACACCCCGTGCAGGTCGGCGCCTTGGGGCAGTCACGCCTGAAATGTCCCTTTGCTCCACAGGTGTCGCAGATTATTCCCACCGTACAATCCCTCCGAAGATGTCCTTGCTCTCCACATTTATGGCAACGTCTCGGGTCTTCCGATGGCCTCTCTTTCCGCTCTTCCTCTCCCCTTCTTCCTTCCATAGCTGCCCAGGCCGGCCGTTTCCGCTCGTTCGGTCGGCTGGAACTCGACCCCTGCATGCCATCATAAAATCTCTTCCCTTCCTCCACTTCTTTCGCCACCTTGTAGACTTGCCGCAGCGTGGCGCGTACTCCCAGGACGTACAGCTGACTCCTCATGTCGCCTATCAGGTCCTTGTCCAGACCGTTGACAAATTTTGTCACCAAGAGGTGCTCCTCCATACACCCCATGTCCTCTGCCAGCTCCAGCAGCCTGTTGTAATAGGCTAGCAGCGACTCCGAAGTGGCACGCACGAAGTTCTGAAATTCCGCCATGTGCCCCGAGAATTGCTCCTGCAAACTCTCCAGAAATCGGTCTGTTATCATTGCTGGTGAGAAATCGCCTCTCTTGCACTGCATCAACAGCCCCTGCCTTTCCACGCGGTAGTGAGTCAGGGCCTCGCCTTTCAGAGTCCGTCCCAAACCTCTAAAGAACTCGATAGGGTCTAAGCCCTCCCTCTCCCAAAGGTAACGCAGGTCGTCTATCATCATCAAGTAGTTCTTGAGCGTGGGCTCCTCCCCTGGTGTCCCCGAGAAACGGTCCGGCACTTCAATTTTCGGTAGAGCTGCGTTCATCGTGCGGCCAGTACCCCAGCTCGTGTTCCCTCTATCCCCGCTGTCCACCGGCCGACCACCTTGCCTAGCTTCAGTAGCCTCGTATCCACCCGCCGCAAAGCTGTGGTACGCTTCTCCTCCTCTCTGACGGCGTCTTTCTTCGTGATGTTCATCTTCCCCGCGCTGACTGTGCCGTTCTTCCCGAAACTCTTCTCTTCCTTGAGCAGGATTATCCCCTCGAGATCCACTCCTCACATGGCCGATTCCACTCCCGCCAGCGACTGATCCACCAGTAGCGCTAGGCGGCGGCTCCCCTTGTCGGTCGCCCTCCCTCTCTCGATCTGATCACTGACCCCCGCGCGCGTTAGCATCGCCCTCTTCAGCACAGAATCCAGGTGTCTTGATGGGTAGTCCTTGTCCCTCCATCATCCTTGCAGGGAAACGGAGTCCCGAGCGCAGCTGATGAGTGTGCAGTTCCTGACCGTGCCTACTCATTCCTCACGGCGCATCACCGTGAGCGACTCGAGGCTACTAGCTTATCTCTTGTACTTAAGACAGTCAACAACCTTTTTGCTTGTATGTAGCAAGCGTAACACTCCCCCTCAGGGGCTCCGTCAAATTGCTTATACCTTCTCCTACTGCTAGTTCCCTCTGGATTAGGAAAACAAATTGCAGTAAATGAGAAACATACAAGCAAAAAGCAAGAAGCCCGAGTGCTACTCCTGCCTACATCTATTCCCACCCCCTGCCTAGGTTGCTTCCTCCACAAGCAAGCTCCTGTGCACCAAGCGAGTCAGCCGGGCTGCTCGCGAGGTCTCCAAGGTGCTAGCTGTGTTCCCACTGGGCCCACTAGGCATGCACTGCCTTCCAGCCTGGTGACTTCGAATTCAATTCCCAGGCTGGCATTGAATTCGCCTTCCAGCCTTGTGACTTCGAAATTGAATTCACAGGCTGGAATTGAATTCGTCTCCACCAACCTCCTTGAATTCGCCTCCCACTAACCACCTCAAATTCCCCAGCTACTCGGCTCTGCAGTACAGTACAATACACTCCAAGCACACAAATGAAATTAGAGTACAAAAGCGGTAAACTATAGTACACCCACACCTTGGCTGCTGTGATATTCACACTTAGTTGCCAGCTAAGTGTTAATAACGCGACAACACATCGTTGTGAGAAAGAACATGGATGGGGTTGATGGGCGCTTGCGCACCACTGCTGCACCACTCCTCCCCCTCCATTCTCCCTGCCCCACACCCCCTTTCCCGCAGGTGATCTGCATCACCCACCTGCCGCAGGTGGCAGTGCATGCCAACGCGCACATCAGCGTGAGCAAGCAGATTGGCGGGGCCGATGGCCGCATGCGCATGTGCACCACTGCTGTCCCATTCCCCCCCTTCATTTTCTCCCTACCACACCACACCCTCCTGCCACCAGGTGATTTGCATCACCCACCTGCCGCAGGTGGCAGTGTATGCCGACGCGCACATCAGCGTGAGCAAGCACATGGACGGGGCAGATGGTCGCATGCGCACCACTGCTGCCCGCCTCACGACCCTGGAGGAACGGGTGAGGCTGGGGAGAGGCACGGGTGAGGCTCGGAGGGAGGAACGGGTGAGGCTGGGGGGAGGCACGGGTGAGGGTGTAGAAGACAGGGCATGGGGAGTCTGGTGCTTCGTGGCAGAGGCAAGGTTTGGCTAGGTGAGAGTGGAGGGTACGGGGGCGAGGCGATGGTCGAATCGTATGCGCACATTTTTTAGTCCTATATAGGCCTATATACGAGTAGAGAGGCCAATCGGCAAGGTTAGACTAGGTGAGAGTGGAGAGGACGCGGGCGACGGTGCAATCACATGCGCACCACAGCTGTCCGCCTCACAACCCTGGAGGAGCAGGTGAGGCTGGGAGGGGTGTGTGGAAGACAGGGAAGGGGACCTTTGTTGTCCAGTGCATAGGGAGAAATATGGGAGTGCGCACTCTTTCCCCCTCTTTATCCCTCTTTCTCTCCTTCCCTCCCCCCCCCACCCCTTTTCAGGCCTCGGAGGTGGCTCAGATGCTAGGGCTGGGCCTGCCCTCAGCCCTGGAGCTGTTTAAAGCAAAGGGAGGCATGGAGAGAGCAGTGAACACAGTGAACACAGAGCGGCACTTGAAGGCTGTCCAGAGGGATGCTTGATTGGTTCGCAGTGCTCCCCTCTGCGGGGCCTGGGTGGGCCTGGGTGGGTCTGGGTGGGCCTGGGTGGGTCTGGGTGGGTCTGGGTGGGCTTGGGTGGGCTTGGGTGGGCTTGGGTGGGCTTGGGTGGGCTTGGGTGGGCCTGGGTGGGCCTGCCATCAGCTCTGGAGCTGTTCAGTGCAGAGGGATGCATGGAGGAACCGATGAATAAGGAAGGAGCAGTGAGAACGGATGGAGCAGTGAGAACGGATGGAGCAGTGAGAACGGATGGAGCAGTGAGAACGGATGGAGCAGTGAGAACGGATGGAGCAGTGAGAACGGATGGAGCAGTGAGAACGGATGGAGCAGTGAGAACGGATGGAGCAGTGAGAACGGATGGAGCAGTGAGAACGGATGGAGCAGTGAGAACGGATGGAGCAGTGAGAACGGATGGAGCAGTGAGAACGGATGGAGCAGTGAGAACGGATGGAGCAGTGAGAACGGATGGAGCAGTGAGAACGGATGGAGCAGTGAGAACGGATGGAGCAGTGAGAACGGATGGAGCAGTGAGAACGGATGGAGCAGTGAACGAGGAGCAGCACTTGAAGGCTGCCCAAAGGGATACTAAATCTCCATGTTGTTGCCATTTCAGTAATATTCAAGAGTAATACCCGTCCCTAACTGAGGATTTGGAACCATCATACATGAGTGATTCTATCAATCTTGTGGGCTGATTATCGGGCTCGATGGAGCATGAGCTCAATCCATTTAGGGTCACCTATTGCTAGCTTGTGGCAGACATGTTTCAGAAATAAAAACGAGTTATCTGCCAAAAGCTTCTGTACAGAGCAACAACATCACCAAACGTGTAACAATCAGGAGCAACCCGGGTTTGAACCGGGGACCTATCGATCTGCAGTCGATTGCTCTACCACTGAGCTATTGCTCCGTGTCGAGAAATAGAAAGTTTAATAATATATAATTTTTTATTTTCATCGGTCATGTTCCCCATGTTCGGTCCACGTGAGCAAATCTAATCGTTCAGTTCGCAAGCATTTCGGTTTCTGCCCGTACACTTCTTGTAAGTTTAGTGTTGGACCATTCCACCCGCTCTCACATAAATGCTACTTGAGCTTCTGAAATGGTGCTGGAAACCCACAAGGAATTGGTTTCTCTGCCCAGACATCGTTGAATATCTGGAATTGATTTCGTCCCGACTTGAGCCTTCCCGCACCGAATCCTCCGTCCTCAGGCGTGCTGGATTTCGTCGCCGTTGGCCTTACCTTATTGACAATGGTTGCACCCCACCATGTCCACCCCGTTGAAACGTACTAAACCTAGGCAGACCGCATAGGTTACTTGGACCCCTTCTTTGAGATCCTAGATTTTCCGGTGAGGCGAGGGACCATCCGCTCCCTCCCTCTCTTACATTCACTCATCTGCCAAGAAATGCAAGCTCGAGAGAACCAATCTTTTGCTCTGCGGATATGTCCCGGACTATAGAGCAGCCAAATCTTGGATGGCCTATCCGATACGATTTGAACGGTGGCAGCCACAACAGCAAACCGTTTGTCTCGTCTTCCTTCAATCAGAGCAAAGTGACCGAACCAAAGCCAACGAACAGTTTTCTCTTCTTCCAATCACCTCACTCAGCTCACCACCACCCACAAATGCATTTTCAGCATGACTCGCAGGCTGTTTTGCCTGTGCCAGCCCCAGTGTGCCCCATTGTTCGCCAGTGTGTCTGTTCATTTTGATGAGATTTGCGTCCGCCGCAGCAGATACATAACGTCTGCGATGCCTTACAGCTGATGCTCACCCCATGCATGTGAATTTGCCTTGCGAAGGATGGGTACGCTGCACCCGAGGTTGTTTCCCCAGCCTCATGCACCTACATTACAAGCGCGTCGCGAGGTTATCAGCCAACAGTAACGAACAGACCGAAGTCAAGCAGAGACTGAAGTCAAATATGGTAACAGATCTTGTATATAAATAAGCACATGCGAATCCTTTTTAGCTAGCTGCGAATTGAAGATATATAGCGAAAAGCCAGGTCACAGCTTTTAAGCTTTCTTTACAAGGCAGCCGGGAGGAGCCCAAACAGGCATCAGGTGTATCTGTGTTTTTCCACCGGACCTGGGTTACATACAGACTAACCCGTATCCACTCTTCTTAGCATATCTGCCCAAATCTACTCGATGCACACACCAAGCAGCCTGATTTCATCTTCCTCCTCAACAATCCTTGGTTGAATACAGAATCGTACTGTCATCACAATCGTCCTCGTTTCACGATCCGTTACAAGATCGGATACAGAATCGTACTGTCATCACAACACCGTGTTGACACTAAGTGACGGAAAGGTTACGGATGCAGTTACGGACGCTACCACTGTCGCTGAGTCAAACTTTTTTTTTGCGTGGCGAATGCAACTGCAAAGTTACGATCGAGCCATGTTAAAGTTTTTTTTGGCACTTGCCTTTTCCGCGATGGCATTGATCCGTCCGATCGTCCAGCTTGGCTGGGAAGGGAAAGGTCGTCCAGCCTGGCTGGGAGGAAGGGAACGGTCGGCTAAGTGCATGAAATCGCCGTCTAAGAACTGTATCAACTGACATAGAATCGCCGGATTGAAAATCTGTTGTGTCAATTCAGTTTGCCCTCATAAAGACGATCACAATCTGGCCATCCCGAAATTACTCCTCCCGGTTGGACGAGCAAGTCCTTCCTTCACCTGTGGTTCGCCCCGCCAGGCCTTGCCAGCTGGCGTGGGCCCGAACCAAACCCAAACTTTCACTCAACCTAGAGTTCTGGAGGGCACAAATCTCCTTCCTCAAGGGCGATGTTTATCATTATGTGTTTCAGGAATAGGTTCATTCAGCTTCTGAATCCAATTGGGGAGCTGGACGAAGATTGCGTGAAGCTACTTCTACTATTCGCACTACCAGCCTCGGTGCCCTGATGCGGGAGACCCACAGTTGCTCCGAGAGCGCAGCGCACCTTAGGCTAAGTAACAATACACCATTGTCAACAGCGATACCAGAAGTGTGATCCGAGTGTCAACAGACGCCTGGAGGTCTCATAGTCAGAGAAACCTGTCTCAAACCGCCTGCTTGTAGCAAGGGATGGCAACACCAGCAGCCATGGATCCACCTCCATTCCCGTACCCTTCTTCATCGCCTCGCAGTGCTCCCCCGAGTGAGGAATCCCCTTACAGCGACTCTCTTCTGCCGCTCTTTCCGTCACCAGCTCATCCCGGCCACTCGCCAGCAACCCAGGCCCCTCTGAACCGCGACAATTCAGGATTTCGTCTTTCTGAACCGATTGCTCCAAAGCCGGTCTTCTCAGGAAAGTGGGTAGGATCAGAACCGGACTCCACCGCTTCTGGCTCCAGGAAACGCTCTCAGAGCCAGCCTTTTCCTCGCAGCAGCAGCACAAGCCGTGGCAGCACGTGGCAATCAGAGCAATGGAGAGCCACATCAGCAGCTCTGGCAAGCCCCACGAATCGCCCGTCTGATGCGGCATCAGCACCCGCACACAGGCTGAGAAGGGTCGGAGGAGCAGCAGCGGCGGCAAGCACGGCGAGCCTGCCTGCTAAGCTGCCTACAGCAGAGGGGATTGCGCGTGAGATTCAGGAAACGGCTCGATCCATGAGCTTGGATCTGCCTCCGCCTTGCTGCTCGTCTATGTGTTCCTACTTCTCGGTGCCCTGCAGGATGAAAAGCGGGTGGTATGGTGGCGTTTTGGCGGGAACTTCTAGGAGTGGGGGAGCTGGGGTGCATGAGAATAGCGGCATGGCTGTGCAGCAGGTAAAGCAGCGGGAACCGCAACATTCAGAACAGCAGGCACAGCCGCAGCCACCGCAGCAGCAGCAGGCTCAGCAGCAGGTGCAACAGCAGCAGCAGGTGCAACAGCAGTCCCAACAACAGCAACAGGCGCAGCCGCAGCAGCAGCAGACACAGCCGCAGGCACAACAGCAGCCGCAGGCACAACAGCAGCAGCAGGCACAGCCACAAAGGTGGTGGCTCGGACAGGAACAAGGCCAGGCGATGCCAAAGCGGCTTGCACAGCAGCAGCAGCCGCAACAGCAGCAGCAGCAGCAGCCGCAACAGCAGCAGTGGCAGCAGCAGCAACAACAGCAGCCGCAACAGCAGCAACAACAGCAACAGCAACAGCTGCAGCAGCAGCAGCAGCAGTTTGTGGCTTTGCCACTGCCGCCATATCTTGAGCTGGGACCACAAGAACATCAAGCACTCTCACATCGCCTCCAGCTAATCCCCCCTCATGATGTCTCAGAACCAGAGTGTACTCGCCCGAACAGTTCACGTGCCGTGCCTATGACCGAGTCAGCTTATATCGAGGATCGTGATGCGGCTGTTGGAGAGACAGGTCAGCACCCTATCCAGATCCAGAGCCCTAGTTCAATGGACACGAGAGGCAGTGTGTGCAAGGATAGGGAAACCCCAAGAAATGCTTTTGAGGTGGGGCAAGATATTCCTTTTCGCACAGAGTCACGGCAAAGCCAGTCGTTTGCAACCGAACCAGCTCAGCAACAGCCTTTGTTGTTTGGCCGGGTTCTTTCGTCTGTCAGTCGTGATGTGGAAAGCCGGGAAGATTGGGCTGTGAAGCGAGCTGCGTGTTTTGATGATGTTGGGTGCAGTGGGAGGGAGACTGAAGCATCTGCTGGAAATAAGGGTCTTGAAGGTGGTAATGTGTTGGGTGCGGGTAACAGATTGTTCGGTTGCGTGCTTTCTCAGACTAGCGATCAGCACGAGCCAAGTAGGGCAAGTCAACATATAGATCTTAACCTAGACCTGTGAATAGATATACCTTAGGTGGGATGTGGGTTGCTGCACAAGATGTGAAATGTTATGATACAATACAAAGTGCCCCAGAAAAGGTGAAGCTACACTAACGTGGGCTGTAAGAGGTGAAGCTACACTAACGTGCAAATTTCGCTACACGTTATAACACGTTATCACAAATTTCGCTCCCGCCTTTCCTTCAGCTCCAAGGCACCCTTTGTACCAGATATCGGATTATATATTTCTTCTGGCCTCGGGGTCTCTGAACAAGCGCAATGGCGGTTCCTCTTCCACAAAGCCGCTTTCCGTCAACCGCGCAGGGATCCTTCTACCCCGCCCCTCATTAGCTCGATTTTTGGGGTCCTCTTTCGCCAAGCGCCCCTTAGTTTTCGAATATCCTGACGGCTAGATGAGTAGCAGACTCATGGACTAGTAGGGTCTGTGACGCGTCCCTCATTTCGTCGCGATGCGTCCTGGTTCTCGCAGCTCCACTCGAGTAGGTGGCGCGTCGCGTACGTCGATACGATTCTGAGGCTTGAAGTGCTGGCAGGCTCTGTTGGACGGTCGCGTCGGCAATTTCTAGGTTCAGCAAGTTCGTTCGTCGAGCTTCCAGTTCTGTAGTTTTACCTCCGCTTACTGCCGACGACGAGTATTTTTCAAATTCGTGCAAATTTAAGCCTTCGAGTTGCCTTAGGGATTTCTGCTTACGTTTCCGGTAGGTAGTTTCTAGAAAATTGCTCTCAAACCGTTATATTTCGAGAAATCTACCGGCTTTAGCCCGTCTTCTGCTGTTTAGGGCGTAGTTTCGGGTCGTGTTCAGGTTATCTGTGCTCCTGCGTGTTTTCCCGAATTCGTGGATTTCACTTCCATCCATCAGAAGCAATCAGAAATCTTGTTCAGCGTCTTAACCGGAATAATATTTTAAGCCTTAGTAATTGAGAGCAAGATTCGGTCAGCATCACAGATTGGAACATTATCTGAGACGAGATCAAGACTCGGTCAGCATCAGAAACTCGAATCCCGAGCGACCTCGAATTCACCGGTTTCCAGCATGCTTCCTAGCAGTGCCGTGGTAAGCATTAGCCGACCCATTTGACGGATTCTTCCCATGATGGTTCTTGTCGAGGCGTCTTGAAAGCCCTGCATGCTTCTCGCACTGTTGTGAGTGTTGTTTTCTTAGAATTCTCCTCCTTCCTCCTCTCCCCCCGTTCCGCAGCGCGAGCTCCGCAAGACTCGTCTAGTACAGCCGGTGGACATATAGCAGAGGGACCCGCCTGTATCCCCCGCTAATCCAACGATTTCCCCGTTTCCTCCCCTCTCCTCCCCCCCTCTCTCTCCCCCCGCTTCCCCAGCGCGAGCTTCTCAAGACTCGTCGGCTACAGCCGGCGGACGTAGCAGGGGGGCCCGCATGTCTCCTCCCACTCCTCCGCGCGCAGCCCCACCTCGCCCCGCGCATCATCTCCGCCCTCCTCACTTTCTGCGCTCCCCCCCAGGAGGGGAGATGGGGGGAAGGGCGGGAGGTCAGGCGGGATCGGGGACGAGGCTCTTGGGGGGAGGGCGCGGGGGAAGGAGGAGCAGGAGGGGTAGACGAGGGTGGTGGCGACGCTGCTTTCTTAGACGAGGCAGTAGAAGCGGTTATGGCTTTAAGCGGTGGTCGCGTGGGCTTTAATCTCGATCTGGATTCTCTAGCCATGGTGAAAGAAGCCTATTCTGGTGCTGCGGATTGGATTCTCTGGGCGGCATGCGGATCCGATCCAGAATCCACACTGGCGGCTCTCGGCCAATCAGGAACGTCGGGGGTATGCGGGGCGGTATGGGGGGCGAGCGACATAGCATATAGATGCCGATCGTGTGAGCATGACCCTACCTGTGCCATATGTGTTCCCTGCTTTCTAGACGGGGACCACGAGGGGCATGACTATGCAATGATCAAAACGGGCGGTGGATGCTGCGACTGCGGCGATCCAACGGCCTGGAAGCGTCAGGGGTTTTGCAAGAAGCATCCTGGCCCTGGGCACGCCCCGCCCCTCCCGGAAAGTTTCGTTGCCCAGGCAGAGCCCGTGCTGGCCGCGGTTGCTGCGGAATGGCAGCAGAAAATAGTTTTCGCTGCCCGGCTGGAGGAGGAACGGAGTGGAGGCGCAGCAGGGTGGGGGGGTTCTGGGTTTGGGTTTGGAAGCGGGAGAAGCGGGGGCGGAGGGGGAGGGGGAGGCGGAGGGGGAGGAGGGAGAGGCGGGACAGCGGGAAGCAGTATGAGCTCGCTGCTAGGTTCCCTCACAGGGGGTGTGGGGGGGTCGGGAGGGTGGATGAGCGGTAACGATGGGTTCAGAGGATCTTCCTCCTTCTCGTCCTCCCCCTCCTCTTCCTCCTCCGCAGCGTTATCAGCAGCAGCGCGGTTGCGAGCAGCGAAGAACGAGGCAGCAGCAGCAACTGAGAGGTTCTCGGAGATGTTTCTGAGACTGGCCAGCACCAGTGAAGGGCTGCTGCACCTTGTCTCGTCCGTGCTCACCAGGAAAAGCCCTATCCCCGTTACTGCCCGCCCTGATACAGTGCCATCGGGGTTCCATCCGACCAACATTACCATTACTCCTACTGCTTCTTCTGCCCTTACAGCCGCTGCCCCTACTGGTCCCGTCTCTGCTCCTGGATCTTCCCATGCACTCTCTTCTTCGGCTCCTGTGGGATTAGGATCACTGCTCAACCCAGCAGCAGGGTCGTCTCTCCCAGCATTGTCACATCCCGCAGCATCACCTCCCTTAGTGTCACCTCCCCCAGCCTCACCTCCCTCTACCACCGCTGCTGCTGCATCCGCCAGTCTGTTGGAAGCTCTGGTGGCAAACGAGGAGGGTATTAAAGAGGACTCCATGCTCGTAGCCCACCGCCTTCTCTACAAGCTCCTAGGCGACCCGGGCTTTAAGTACCAATTCGCCCTTGCGTTCGTTGCTAACTACTCGGCCTTCGTGCTGGGGAGTGGGGGGAGAGGGGACGGGGAGGAGGGCGGGGGAAGGTGGGGGGGAGGGGGTGCGCGGGGGAGCGGAGGGCGGAGGGGAAGAGGAGCGGCGGGGAGTGGGAGTGCAGGGAATAGGGTATCGGTTCTGGAGAGCTTTTCGGTGCAGATTCTTACGGTGCCGGTGCTGACGCCCAGGCTCGTGGTGGAGGCTCGGCTGCTGGATATCCTGCTGGGTACCCTGCAGAGCATGCTGCAGGGGGCGCTGGGACGAGACGGGCGCATCAATGTGAGTTGCGGGTCTGTCCTGAGAAAATTCAAAATTTGAGACACACTTTGGCTGAGAATGCTTAGAAGAGGCTCGGCTGCTGGATATCCTGCTGCAGAGCATGCTGCAGAGCATGGTGCAGAGCATGGTGCAGAGCATGATGCAGAGCATGCTGCAGAGCATGCTGCAGAGCATGATGCAGAGCATGCTGCAGAGCATGGTGCAGAGCATGATGCAGAGCATGCTGCAGAGCATGGTGCAGAGCATGGTGCAGAGCATGGTGCAGAGCATGGTGCAGAGCATGATGCAGAGCATGCTGCAGAGCATGATGCAGAGCATGGTGCAGAGCATGATGCAGAGCATGGTGCAGAGCATGATGCAGAGCATGATGCAGAGCATGCTGCAGAGCATGGTGCAGAGCATGCTGCAGAGCATGGTGCAGAGCATGGTGCAGAGCATGGTGCAGAGCATGGTGCAGAGCATGATGCAGAGCATGCTGCAGAGCATGCTGCAGAGCATGATGCAGAGCATGCTGCAGAGCATGATGCAGAGCATGCTGCAGAGCATGCTGCAGAGCATGATGCAGGTGTCGCGTGATTGACGGCGTTCGCTGCGTCTATCTCCCACTTTTGTTCCGACATTCGCCGTTCTCTCGCCTCCCAATCCCCCGCTCCCCCCGTTTCTCCCATCTCCCCCAGCTGTCCCGAGAGGAGGTCCACAATGGGCGAGTGACCGACGACATTCGCTACATTCCTTCCCACTCCGCCTCCTCCTGTGCTTTCCTCTCTTCTCTTACCTATCCCCTCTCCCCCACCCCCCCCCCCCTCAGTTATCCCGAGAGGAGGTGCACAACGGGCGAGTGACCGACGATATTCGCTACGTCCTCTCCCACTCCGCCTCCTCCCGCCACGTCACCGCCCGCCGCCCGGACCTGCTGCGCGCGTGGCTGCGCCAGTTGGCGGCCGCCCAAGGCATGTGTCCACACGTGCGGCGCACAACCACCCACGTGGCAATAGAGCCGGACGATTGGAGCTTCGCGTACCTGTTAGAAGCACAGCTGGCGACGGTCAACCCGCTGCTCGCCGAAGCTAGCGCCGTGCCTGAGCTGGAGGCTCGGAAGGAGGGTCGGCAGGTGGAGGGAGGGTCGGCAGGGGAGAAAGGGGGAGGAGAGAAGGTAGGGGAGAAGGCGGCTGAAGGGGGAGGGTTTCCGGGGTTGGGGTTCGGGAGGAGGAAAACCCTGAGATGGTTTGTGGATGAAGGTGCAGGGCAGCATGCAGGGCAGCAGGCAGTGGGGCAGCAGCAAGGGGAACAGGCAGGGGGCAGTGGCAGTGGCAGAAGCGATGGCACAACAGCAGAAGCAGCAGCAGGAGAGACCATCCCTGGGGATGGAGGTTGGGGGGGTGGTGCTGCTGAACTTGATGCTACTACCAGCTGGAAGGCAGAGGGTTTTGATCCAGAGGCATATGCGGATGACTGGAGAGAGACCGAGACAGGCACGCACACATACCTGCCGCCCCGAGCCTGCGAGGTTCGGCAGGTGGCGGCGAGGTTCGGCGTGCCTCCGGCGCTGGTGCGGCTGCTGCACGAGTGTGCGTGGGTGCTGGCACGGTGGGTGGCAGTGGAGGGATTGAGATCTCTGGGGTCAGCGTTTGGGAGCGGGGCGAGCAGTGTGGAGGCACTGAGACTGCTCGGCCTTACCAGGTCGCATTTTCCTGCGTTTCCATCTGCTGCTGCTGGGAATGCTGGTGCTGCTGCTGCTGGTGATGCTGGTACTGCTGACGGTGGTGGTGCTGCTGCTACTGGTGCTGCTGGTGGCGGTGCTGGTGGTGGTGCTAGTGCGACGGCGATAAGAGGGATGAGGCAGCTTGGGCAGCTGGGTCTGTTACCAGGTGCAGCCGCAGCAGCCATGGCTCGTATCACCTCCCCTTCCCACCCGCCCCGCCCCACTCCCTCCGCCTCCCCGCCCTCGCCTCTGCTAACCCCTCTGCCTGCCGCTGCCACCACAGGTAGACTCTCTGGTGGGGGCACGTCTGGGGAAGGCTCATCTGGGGGAGGGGTTGCTGGTGGGGGTAGGCCTAGGGGGGTGTCAGCGCCTTCGCTGACTGCTGCTGCTGCTTTGGAACAGCAGCAACAGGAGGGTCAGTCGCAGCAGCAGCAGCTAGAGGGTCAGCAGCAGCAACAGCAGGAGTATCAGCAGGTGCAGTTACTGTCTTCGGTTCTCGTCCACGCCCCAGGAGCTTCTCTCCTGTCGTTCAAATGGGCCCAGGACGAACTGAAGAGCCTTGCTTCCGAGGCAGCTGCTGCTGCTGCTGCAGAGAGGGCGGGTGGAGGAGGAGGGGCTGTGGGTGGTCGAAGCAGCATAGCAGGTGACGCTGGGGAAGCAGGAGCAGTAGGAGGAGGAGGAAGAGGAGCAGGAGGCGGAGGGGGAGGGGCAGCAGGAGGCAGCGGCGCCAGTCCAGTGGGGCGAGCAGGGAGGTTCCTATCAGGCATGGCCGCAGCAGCAGGGGCGGCAGCTGCTGCTGTGGGCGGCAGAACCACAAGAGCAGGCAGTCCGGGCGCTAGAGGGGGAAGTCCAGGGGGATTGGGGCAAGAGAGAGTGGCGACAGCAGGAGCAGAGGCAGTGCCTGCGCTTGGGCTTGACGCGTTGGGGAGAGGGGGAGGGGAAGGAGGTGTGGGAGGAGCAGAAGCGGGAGGGGGTGCTGGGTTAGGAGCGGGTGCAGGGCTGGGTAGAGTGGGTTTGAGAGAGGTGGAAGGGAGTGCTGCTGCTGCGATTGTTCCTGCTCCTGCTGCTGCTCCTGCTGCTGCTGCTGCTGCTGCTGCTGGTGGCACAGGAAGGGGAGGGGAGGAGCACGCAAGACAGGAGGGGGAGGACATGACCCACACGCAGAGGGGCCACATGGGGATCTTAAGCAACTGGCTCAGAAGGGCGTCTAGGTTCAGGGCGACAGGGGGAGAAGGGGCACAGGGAACCCAGGGCAGGCATGCAGGGGCAGGTGAAGCAGCAGGCGCAGAGGCAGCATGGGCAGACGTAGGGGTAGGTGCAGAGGCAGGAGGGGCAGAAGGAGGGGAAGCAGCGGCAACAGCCATGCAGACAGATTCGTTGGCAGCAACAGAGGCAGCGACTCTCTCTACTGCGCACCCCCCCTCCGCCGCCCCCCCTCTCTCCGCTGCTGCTGCTGGTGCCCTCAGTGCACTGAGCAGCCCCTGCTGGTGGGTGGGGCGGCAGCAGCTGTCGCTTCTTGAGGGGCTGCTGCCGTTCCCTCCCCCCCGGGTTGAACCAGGGGACTTGGCAGGGGGGAACTCGCCACAGGAGGGGGCTTGGGCAGAGGAATTTGCTGCAAAAGGGGCAAGAGAAGGGCCAGGGGCAGTTTTGGGGGCAGGGGCAGTTTTAGGGGCGGGGGCAGTAGCAGGGGCGGGGGAACGCTGTATTACCATGGCTACGGAGGGGTGGGAGGCGAGTTCTATGTCCAAGGGGGCTGTGCGTGGGGCTGTGCGTGGGGCTGTGCGTGGGGCTGTGCGTGGGGCTGAGAGTGTGCTGGAGTGGCCAGTGGTGGAGTACGATGTGGCGCGGCAGGAGGTGTCGTTTCACCTGCCTCTGCACCGCATGCTCGCACTGCTCCTGCACTCCCTGCTGCGCCTCTCCTGCCCCGTGCCCGACCCACCAGGCGACGCACATGGGGACTCAGAGCAGAGGGTTGGGAACGAAGGGATGGTGGAGGGCTCACGGGATGCAAGGGAGGAGAGATGGAGGGAGAGAGAGGCGGCAGAGCTGTGCTTGCTGCGCCTGCTGCCCAGTAAGCTCCAGAGAGGAAGCTTCCTCGCAGCTGTGGCTGAGCACGGGCTGCGAGTGCAAGTGCTGTGCGCGCAGATATCAGCGGGCATGTGGAGGAGGAACGGGCAATCCATGGTGGCTCTCTGCGACCTCTACCACTCCGTGCACTGGTCAGTCGTTTCTGCCGCCTCTCTCTGTGCTCCTCCTCTCTCTCTCTGTGCTCCTCCTCTCTCTGTGCTCCTCCTCTCTCTCTGTGCTCCTCCTCTCTCTGTGCTCCTCCTCTCTCTGTGCTCCTCCTCTCTCTGTGCTCCTCCTCTCTCTGTGCTCCTCCTCTCTCTCTGTGCTCCTCCTCGCTCTCTCTGCTCCCCTCACCCCTCGCTATGTGCTTTTGCCACCTCTCTCTCTGCGACCTCTACCACTCTGTGCACTGGTCAGTCTAGTCATTGGTTGGTCGTTCTGGTCGTAAAACCCATGTCAGTCTCTTCATAGCCCCCGTCTCCACGTCACATGGCATCGCATCGCATCGCATTGCATCGCATCACATCACATGCCATGGCATCATCATGTGTATCCCACAGGTGCGAGGACAGTCTGGAGTTGGGTCTCTTTCTCCTGCACTGCACTGCCATCTCGGCTCCTCCTGACCCCTCCCTCTCTCCTCTCAAGCTTCATATGACCATCATACCCGCCCCCTGACCTGACCCCTCTTCCCATGCCATGCCAGGTGTGAGGACAGCCTCGAGTTGGACCTCTTCCTGTTGCAGTGCACTGCTGTCTCTGCTCCTCCTGACGCCTTTGTGCGCCAGGTTGTAGCGCGCTACAGCCTCACCAGCTACTTCTCTCTCACAGTTGGGACGGCCTCAGAGTGAGTAAACAGCAGGATTCCTGCAGTGCACCAGTGCCGCCTGTCTCTGCTCCTCCTGACACCTTTGTGCGCCAGGTTGTAGCGCGCTACAGCCTCACCTCCTACTTCTCCCTAACCGTGGGGACTGCATCAGAGTGAGTCAGCAGTAGGATTGCTGCAGTGCACCACTGTCGTGTTTTGCCTTCTCCAGACACATTCGTTCCAGCATCATCACCTCCTCTTCCACCCTCTCTTCCTCTCTCCCCTCTTTCCTTCCCGACACCGCCCAACAACAGGTACGAGCCTGCAATGAGGTGACTTTTGAGTCGACTCAAAAGTCACCGCCCAACTTCAGGCACGAGCCTGCAGTGGCGCAGGACTGCATGGCGTTCCTCATCCGCCTCATCTCAGAGCGATCCTTCTCCGGCCTCCCCCCCACTGTGGCGCTCCGGAGGGAGGTAGTCCAGCGCCTAGCCATCGGAAACGCCACCCTCCCTCTCCACCCCTTCCCATCCCCTCCTCCCTTTTTTTGTCCTGACACCCGCACACCTCCTGTTTCTCACCGCCTGCCTTCCACCCCCTGTCCCCCTTCCCGTCCCTCCTCTCCATTCCCCACCGTACAGGTACGAGCCTGCAGTGGCGCAGGACTGCATGGCCTTCCTCATCCGCCTCATCTCAGAACGATCCTTCTCCGGCCTCCCCCCCACTGCTGCTCTCCGAAGGGAGGTAGTGCAGCGCCTAGCCATCGGCAACGCCACCCGCAGCAGCGTTGTCAAATCTCTCCCCCCCCGCTTCGCCGAAAACCCCGCCATCCCCGTTGTTCTCGCCGCTGTCGCGGATTATTCCCGGCCCTCGGGTATGGAGCAGGGCCGGTACTTACTTAAAAGAGACTGTTACAGGGAGCTGGATTTGTACTGCCTAAGATGGGCGCCTAGGGAGTTGCAGCGAGCGGAAGAGAGGTATGCGGAGGCGGTTAAGAGATCGGCGGTTGTGGAGCAGACGCCGAGGTGGCGCGATCCTGTCCGTCCGTTGATGGGCCTGCGGGAGATCGCCACGTCAGCAGGCGTGCATGACGTGGTGTTGTCGGTGGTGCTGCACGCGTGGTGGGACGAGGAGGGGCGGGAGATGAGCTACAGAGAAGCCAGAGGTAGCAACGGTGCCGGCATTGGGAGTGGGAGTGGGAGTGGTGGTGGCGGTGGTGCTAGTGGGAGTGCAGGTAGTGGGAGTGGGAATGGGAGTGGGTTGTCTCGTGCGCCTGATATTGTGCTGCATGCCGCGCTGCATCTGCTGGCATTGGCTCTTGACACTTGCGTGGCGTGGCAGGAAGCCGAGGAGAAGAAGGGGCGGGAAGGACAGAGAGGGCAGGGAGGAGACGAGGAAGAGCAGGGAGAGAAGGTGGGGAGAGAGGGTGGTGAGGAGGAGGGGATGCGGATGGATGTGGATGGGCGTGTGGGAGGGGATGCGAGCGGCGGTTGGAGTGAAGGAAGAGAAGCAAGAGGGGGAGGAGAAGGAAGGGAAGGAGAAGGAAGGGAAGGAGAAGCGGGTTCAGGCTCAGGCATGGAAGTGGAAGGGGCGGACTGGATGGCTGGTGATGCACGTGGTCATGTTGACCATGCAGCTGTGCAGAAGAGACACTCCTGGCCACCGGCCCTCCTGTCCCGAGCATGCCAGCCATTCGAAGCCCGGTTACCAGACAACAGCAGCAGCAGCGGCAGCGGCAGTGGCAGCAGTAGCACGGCCGCGGGGCTGTTCGCCCTGCTGCCAGGAGCGACCCTCTCGACCCTCTCGTCCTCTCACTGGTTCCGCGCGTCCCATGCTGCCCCGGTGTCCCTGCTTGCGCTCCTCGTGCGCCTCCTGCGGTGCTGGCAGCGCCAGGCAGGGACGACGCACGGCACGGCTGCTGCTGCTGGTAGTGAAGGGATGGTGTTAGTGGCCGGGAATGAGAGTAGGGGGAGGGAAGGCGAGGAGGGTAGAAGCACAGCAGTTGGGGAGAGGTCGGGCGGGGCAGGAAGGGGAGGGGGAGGGGAGGGGCGGGCGGAGCTGCATGTTCTGGTGCTGCGGCTGCTTAAGCGTTTCTCTCAGCTAAGCGACGAATGCAGGAGGTCTCTGGAGGTGCTTTGCCCGGAGGAGTTTGATAAGGGGAAGGGGAAGGCGGCGGTTACAGGGGGCGGGGGAGGGACTGGGGAAGTGGGGGTGGAAGGGGGAGCAAGGGCAGGAGGAGCAGGTGTGGGAGGTGGGGACGGTGTGGGAATAGGGAGCAGTGAGATAAAGGTTGGAGAGAATGGGAGGGGAAGTGATGGTGGTGGTGCGGGTGGTGAGGAGAAGGGAGAGGGTGGGCCGTTGAGTGAAGCTGATGCGAAGAAGGCGTTTGCTCGAGCAAGGCAGCAAGCGCTGCTGGTACGTGGTTGAGTGAGTGAGTGGGGCGTGATCCTGGTTACTTGTTGAATTTACTTAAAATTGCTCAGGCAAAGCAGCACGCAATGCTGGTACGTGCTCTACACTAAAGCACCTTTTTTTATTTGTAATATTGCTGCGTACCCAAAACCCTAGACCCCCTTTCTTATTGTTTTCTCTCAACAAACAGGCGAAAATGCGGGCAGCGCAGCAAAGATTCGCAGCAAGCATGAATCAAGGCAAAGGAAAGGAGGGGGAGGAGGAAGAGGAGGAGGAGGAAGGGGAAGAGGAAGAAGAGGAGGAGAAGAAGGGGAGGGTGGAGACAGGGGGGTGGGAGTATGGACGAGATGTAGACATGGGAGTGGGTGAGGAGGGGGGGAGGAAGCGAGGGAAGAGGCGGAAGGGGAAGGCAGTGGTTGGGGAGGAGGAAGAGGAGGAGAGGGAGTGTGTGCTGTGTAGGGAGGGGGACAAGGGAGGGACGGCTTCTCCGCTCTGCCACATTGTTTTCTGTCAGGTGGGTGCTTTTCTCTCACCCTTCCCCACTGGTGGTTGGGGAGGAGGCAGAGGAGGAGAGGGAGTGTGTGCTGTGCGTGCAGGGAGGGAGACAAGGGGGGAACAGAACAGGGTGTTTTTGAGAATTCGCAAAAACACCCTGCAGCAAGGGGGGACAACCACATTGTTTTCTGTCAGGTGGGTGCTGGGCTCGCTGCATTATGTCAGGTGCTGCTCTGCTGCTTGTCAGGTGCTGTTCTGTTGCCTCCCAGGTGCTGCTCTCTGTTTCTCTTGAACAAAAACACCTGTTTTTGTTGCTTCATCTCTTACCCCTTTTTTTTTTTTCTCCAAATATCTCCCCTTCACTCTCACCCCCTCCTGTCTACTTGCCACTCCAACAGAAATCTCGTCTTGTGGGTCTCTCCAACCGTTTCTCCCCCACCTGGCAACACGGTTCTCATGCCCCTGCTGCCCCTGCTGCCCCGCCTACTGCCACCCACACTGCTGGTGTTGGTGTAACTGGTGCAGGGGGGACTGGGGCAGGTGCGACTGGGGCAGGGGCCACTGGAGGGCAGCAGCAGCAGGGTTTGGGGCAAGCGGTGATTGTGCTGGGGGGAGCACGTACCGCTGCTGCAGCTGCTGCCCCTGGTGGGGGGACGGCAGCGGGAGCGGGGATGGGGATAGGGGCAGGGGCAGGGGCAGGGGGGGTCGGCACAGGGATAGGCACAGCTGCTGCAGCAACAGCGGGAGCATTTGCAACCAGGGCAGCAGGAGGAGCAGGTACAACAACAACAACAACAACAGCAGGAGGAACAGCAGCAGCAGGAGCAGCAACAACCACGGGGACGTGGGTGCAAGCCACAGAGTTTCTGGACTGGATCAGAGCGACCCTGCGTGAGGGGGGCGGGGGCCCTGTGACTGTCCAGGGGCCCAGGGGCGAGTGGCAGGTGGATGGGGAGGATCTGATGGACATTCTGCAGCAGGAACTACCGGGGGAGGTGCGATTCACGACTACTATAGTCACAGGGGAGGGGTGGCCGGGTGTGGAAGGGGGTGGGGATGGGTTAGGAGTGGGGTTGGGGCCTGGTGGGGTGGGGGGAACGGGCAGGGGGGAGAGGGGAGTGGGAGAGAGGGGAGGAGGGGGTGTGGAAGGGGCGGTTGCAGGAGAGGGCGGGGGAGGGCAGGGGGACGAACGGGTGACTGAGGGGCGAGGAGGGGAAGGAGGGGAAATAGGGGTGGGAGCGAGCGAGGAGGAGACAAGAGAAGAGGATGAGGATGATGAGGAGGAAGAGGAGGAAGAGGGAGAGGAAGGGGGGGAGGAGGAGGGGGAGGATGAGATGATGGATGGGCAGGGGTTGCTGCTGCTGGGGGAGGAAGAGATGGGAGAGGCGGGGGCAGAAATGTTCTCAGATACCGATGATGACGACACTGGTGATGATGATGGTGATGGTAGGAATGGGGATGATGGGGATGATGCGCAGGAGGAGGGTGCTGGTGCTGGTGCTGGTGCTGGTGCTGGTGCTGGTGGGGATGGCGATGCGGATGAGGTGATGCAAGATGCTGCGAGTCAGGGGCTGGAAGAGGATGGGGATGAGGGGCAGCAACGGGGGGGACCACGGGAGCAGCAAGATGGGCAGACCCAAGGGGTGCCGGGGGCAGCACCAGCACCAGCACCAGCAGCAGCAGCAGCAGCAGCAGCAGCAGCAGCAGCAGCACCACATGTGGAGCACGCAGGTGCAGCAGCAGCAATGGCACCAGCGGCAGCATCGGCAGCAGCGGCAGCAGCGGCAGCAGGGGCAGCAGGGGCAGCAGCAGTGGAGCAGGCAGGTGCAGGTGGCATGGGCACTCATGGCATAACCACAGTGCCGCCTGTTGCTGCAGTGCCGCCCGTTGCTGCAGTAGTGGGAGCAGGCACTGCCATTCCTGAAACCACAGCAGGGGCCACCGAACCGACAGGGAGAGCCGGAGCCACTGTACCGACAGGGAGAGGGCAGGGGACTGGAGGGGAAGCACGGGCAGCGGCAGGGGGAGCGCGAGCAGGGGCAGGGGGAACGCGAGCAGGGGCAGGGAGAGCGCGAGCAGGGGAGGGGGGAGCTGGCGCAGCCAGGGGGAGGCTGGATGCGGTGCAGGCTGCAGCGGGGGAGGTGTTTCGTGGGTTCTGGATGAACATTCCCCCCATCAGGCGCACTGCCAGGCTGAGGCGCAGGGGGATCTCGGGGAGGGCGGATCTGTTTGGGCAGGCAGGGGGAAGGGGGAGAGGAGTGGAGGAGAGGGAGAGTGGGGCGGTGGTGGGCGGGGGGATGGCTATTGGGGTGTGTGTGAAGGGGTGTGGGCATGTGATTCATCATTCCTGCATGGACCAGTATTTCTCAAGTCTGTACCAGCGGTGAGTGTGTTGTTACTAGCTGGGAGTGTGTCTTATCCAGGAGCGAAGGGATGTGGGCATGTGATACACCACTCATGTATGGACCAGTACTTCTCAAGTCTCTACCAGAGGTGAGTGGGTCTGTACTAGCGGCAAGTGTGTGTCCCTTATCCACCACCCATGCCTAGACTCGTAGTTCATCAGTGAGCAGAACTATCGGCAAGTGAGTGGACCAGTAGTGTCTCGAGTCTGTATCAGCACTGAGCGGTTCAGTCCACAAGGCCTTTTCTGTGCCAGCCCTGTGCCGTGCTGGCACGGTCACTATCCGAGTCGTTCTTTCTACGAGGGCTCATCTGTAGTGGACCCTGAAGCGTTGGGTGGGACTATTGTTTAAGCGCCTAAAAAGCACCTCCCTTTTTTTTCTCCCGACCTGTCCCCACCTCGCCCCACCTCTCCCTGTGCCGTGCTGGCAGGTATCTGAGTGGTTCTTTCTACGAGGGCTCATCAGTGGTGGACCCGGAAGCGGTGAGTGTGGGAGTGCATTGAGGGAGGGCGGATATGCACCACGCCCGTGTTCAGGTTGTTTCTTAGATCTCTCAACAACGACCCACAACAAAGAGGTATCCGACTGGTTTCTTCCTTCTTCGAGGGCTCATCTGTGGTGGACCCGGAAGCGGTGAGTGTGAGAAGCTGAATATGCACCACGCCTATATTCGGGCAACTGGGTCAAAACACTCAACTATTGCATGATAGGAAGGAAACTTTGAGGGATTTTTCTCTAGGATATGTGTGCTATGGGAGCAACCTTTTTCACTTTTTGGCCGTTTTCGCCCTCTTATATTCACCTTCGATCCTCCATCCTCCATCCCCACTGCCCTGTGCGGGGGTAGTGGGGATGGGGGCGCTCCATCCTCCATCCCCACTGCCCTCCATTCTCACTCGAGTGCCTGCAACCTCCCTGTGCCTCGTTTCTCCTCCCTTCTCCGCCCCTCTATCCCATCCTGCTTACTTTCTCTTTTCTCCCCTCCTGTCTCTGTCCACCCCCCCCCTCCACCGCACCACACCACACCACACCACACCACACCACACCACACCGTAGGGCGAGTTCCTGTGTCCCGTGTGCCGCCGTCTCGCCAACGCCACGCTTCCTCTGCTCCCATCACGCTCCCCGCCTCTGCCCTCCCCACTGCTCCCCTCGCTTCCCCTCCCAATTTCTCTGCCCTCTCCTCCCCTCCCTGGAGCTCCCCTCTCCACCCCCCTTGCTGCGTCTGCTGAGACACAAGGACGGGCACATGAAGCAGTGCAGATTGGAGCAGCAACAGCAGGAGAAGCAGCAGTGCCGAGAGTAGCAGCAGGAGAGACTGGAATGCATGGTTCAGAAGACACGTCAAGTGGTGCGTCTGGTTTGGCTGGTGTAGTGTGGAGAATAAGGGAGGCGGAGAGCAGGGTGAGAGAACGTAATCTCCGAGCCTGCATCGTTGCCGAACCTGCTGTCAGGTCCGGGGAAGGCAGGCTCGGCACCAGAGCTGCGTCAAGGAGAGATTCAAGTGGTGGGACCATGATGAGCAGCACTGATGGCATAATTAGGGGTGGCTCCTCTTTCCCTAGAGAAACAGGTACCGTGGTAACGGGTAATGCGGTAACCGGTAGCGCGGTAATTACCCCTCAAGACATGGTAACCAGACAGCCTCCACGTATGCAGGAGGCTATAGAGGCCACAGCCATGCGCATCTGCCAGGTGGCACGCTCTGATTCGTCGAGATTCCGCCATGTGGCGCTTGGCCGCGAGCTACAAGGCCTGCTGATCTGGCAGAGTTTGGAGTACACCGTCGCCTGCGCTGAGCTGGCAGGGCGAGGGGCGCCACCTGGCTGTCCAGCTGGCAGAGTTGATACGTCAGCACAGTTCTGGGGGCTGGGGGAGACAGCAGCAGCAAGGATGAGGACAGGTGGCGCGATGTGGTTGGCTACTGCTGAGGCAAGAGTTGCGGCATTGGCTGCTTGTGCGGAGGAGGAAGGGGGGAAGGGGGAGTGGATGGAGGGGAGGGCAGAGGGAGGGGGGAGTGGAAGTGCAAGCATGGGTGAGCGTGAGCAAGAGAGAGGTGGGTCAGGCAGTGCGATGCAAGTAGGGAGTGCAGGAGGCATGGAGGCAGGAGGGGATACCAGCAGTAGTGGTCAATCGAGGGGTGAAGGAGGGAACAGCATAGGAAGAGAGGTGGGCGGTGGTGAGGAGAGGAGCAGGGATGGTGAAGGGAGGAGTGGCGGTGGGGAGGAGAGAGGTAGCAGTGAGACGATGGACGAGGAGAGGAGACATCAGGAGTGGAGGAGGCAGCTTATAGAGAGGATGCAAGGGGGTTCGCAAGCGGGGGGAAGGAAGAGGAAGGCGGAGGGCACAGTAGGAGCACTGGCTCGCCTGGCAGTGGCGCAGGCGTCTCACAGCACACATGCTGTCTTACTCAGGACACGTGGCATGCTGCTATTGGTGGACAGCTTGGCCCCTGGGACACCGTTGGAAGCAGCACAATCCGCTGCACCTCTTGTTGCAGCACAAGCCGTCCCTTCATCTTGTTCTCCCCACCCCTCCCATCCCTCCCACCCCTCCCACCCCTCCCACCCCTCCCACCCCTCCCGTCCCTCCTCCTCCTCTGCTTCCACATCCACCTCCCCACCTCCCTCCCTCCCCTCCTCCCTCACCACCGCCCCATCCCCATCCTCTCCCCCGGAGGAAAACGCCTTTCTCCGCCTCCTCGCCTCCCCCGCTCTCGCGCGTGACCCCTTCCTCTCCCTCTCCCGCCTCCTCTACTGCCTCCTGCCGCTGCCCCTTCCCCACTTCGCCTCGCCTTCCCACCCATCTCAACACACAGCTTCAGGTTCGATGCAGCACAGAGCATACAGTGAGGAGGGTACAGGGGGTGTGGTGAGGGACGCGGTGCAGCTGGCGTACACAGCAGCAGTGGCTCAGGCGCTGCTGCTCCTCGCCCCTGCTGCCATCCGCCTGGGCATGCTCCCCTCTCCTCTTCCTCTTGGCAGTGTCCTTAATCAGGCATCCTCAGGGCCTAATAGCATTCCTGAGCCCGCCCCTGCTCTGCCGCCGTTCCTCTCGTCTCTGATCGCTTCCATGCTGCACACGTTAGCTGCTGGTTCCCCGCCGTCTACCCCAGCGACAGATGCTGCTGGTGCTGCTGCTACACCTGCAACCGTCACACCATCAGCAGCAGCAGCAGAAATACCACCAATCCCCTTGCTCGCCACATCTCCCTCCCACTCTGCCTCTACCCCCTCCTCCCCCTCTGCACCTCTCCTGCCGGACCTCCTCCTCCAGCAGACCTCGTTCCTGGATGCCGTGCGTCGCCTCTCCCTGCCCTTCCTGCGCCGCTCCGCCCTCCTCCTGCACCTCCTCTCCCGCAACGTCCTCCCTCTGCTGCTCATGCCCTCCGCTCCCTCCTTGCTCTTCCCCTCCCAACCGTCAACCATCCCCTCCCACCCCTCAATGTTCCCGTCCCCAACTCCCTCTCCTTCTCTCTGCGCCCCCTCCACTTCAACACCCCCACCCTCCCACCTCCATCATCCCAACCAAACAGGACCCTCTACCTCATCCCCTGCCACACCCCCCCCACCACCACCATCAGTACCACCACCATCACCAGCAGCATCAACAGCACCACCATCACCACCAGAACCATCATCATCATCATCATCATCACCATCAGCATCCACAGCTACCGCTGTCCTTCCTCCGTGGGTGGGAGACACCCAGGCGGTGGCACAGCAGGAGGTGGCGGAGGCAGGTGTGTGGGAGAGGGAGTTACATCTGCCTCCGCTACCTGTGCTGCTCTCAGACCCTGCTGCTGTGCACCTCATGCTCTCCTGCTGCCGCCACGCTGCTGCTGCTGTGCACCTCATGCTCTCCTGCTGCCGCCACGCTGCTGCTGCTGTTTCTGCTGCTAATGCGGCGACTGCTGCTAGGCCAGGCTCGTCACCTGCTGCTCCTGCTGCAGCACCGGCCGAAGTAGCAGCAGCAACAACAGCAACAGCACCGGCAGCTGCAACGGCGGCAGCAGCAGCAGCAGTGGCTGCAGTCATCTCGCCTCTGTCGTTGCACCAGCCATCACTCGCCTTGCCCTTCCGCCTCGTCTCCCTCCCCCACCGCTACCTCGACTTCTTCCAACGGTCAGTTCCCACCCTCCCCAGCCCTCCCTGCCCCGGCCCTCCTCGATGCCACCTCATGTTGCTACATGCAATCAGTTCCTACCCTCCTCGGTCATCCCTCCCTTCCCCCCATAGTGCTACCACCAAAATAATATCTAAGCTCTCGTTTCTGAGCTGCCTCTCCACGTGTGTGGCATTGGAAGCCCCCCCCTCCTCCTCCCTTGCTGTGTGTCGTGTGCATTGTGCCACCTGCTGCCTTTTGTGGTGCCTCCAAACTTCCATTCACCTTCTCCACCCTCCTCTCCTCCCCCTTACAGCTATGTGAATGAACCGTGTGCATCGTGCCAGCTAGTGCCGGAGCAGCCAGCCTTCTGCCTTCTCTGCGCAGCACTCCTCTGTGGATCCACCAGGTGAGCCTAGTCCATTTCCACACCCCTTCCCTGTATTGTGTGATGGGATGAGCCTTTGAATTCTTCAAACAGAAAGCTACTTCCGGAGGAGCCTGCTTTCTGCCTGCTGTGTGCTGTGCTGCTCTGCGGTTCCACCAGGTGAAGCCGCCGCACTGCCGCAGTGCCCCACCCGACCGATCTCCTCCTTTTGGTCACATAAAAAATGCCTCAAATACTCCTTCATTCATCTTTCGCGTCTCCTACCGCCCCAAAACACTTCCCTTTCCGTGCTCTCATGCGTCTTGCTTTCGAGAATTCTCAGAAGTAACTTCAACAGTTTTTCGTGCTCTCATGCCTCTTTCGCAGTCGAGTGCACATTTTACCTTCCTCTACCCCTTGCTCCTTTGCTCCCATGGTCCCTCCCTGCAGTCGTGTGCATGAGTCGAGGAGTGGGAGCACCAAGAGGGGCTGCTGTGGGGGGAGCTATGCACATGCCAAGGAGTGCGGGGCTGGCCTGGGGGTGTTCCTCCTCGTGCGGGTATGTATGTGTGTGCAGTGCACGTAACCAAGTCTTTTGCGTCACCCCAGAAGTCACCTCAGGGTCTATTCCTGTGGGGGGAGCTACGCACATGCCAAGGAGTGCGGGGCTGGCCTGGGGGTGTTCCTCCTCGTGCGGGTATGTATGGGTGAGCATGCATATGGCCATGTGCATGCACATTGTGCACACTCTTCCCCTGGAGAAGTTACACACATGCCAAGGAGTGCAGGACTGGCCTGGGGGTTTTCCTCCTCGTGCGGGTATGTGTGGCAGTGCGAGCAAGGCCAAGGCCATGTACACGTGCAGTGAGCAATTTCTCTCTGTCATCATCATGGCATGTACACGTGCAGTGAGCAATTTCTCTCTGTCATCATCATGGCATGTACACGTGCAGTGAGCAATTTCTCTCTGTCATCATCATGGCATGTACACGTGCAGTGAGCAATTTCTCTCTGTCATCATCATGGCATGTACACGTGCAGTGAGCAATTTCTCTCTGTCATCATCATGGCATGTACACGTGCAGTGAGCAATTTCTCTCTGTCATCATGGCCATGCGTGCATGGCCATGGCCTTGCTCGCACGTGCAATTAGCATTAGGGTATGTGTGCATAGTAGTGTAGTGTGCCATGCGCTGTGTACAGATGTGCTTTTTCTTTGCCTTGGTGAAAGCATCTTTGGCGAATCCATGTGAATCTGTTTAAAGGCAGTGTATCTGACGTGGTCGTGATTTACTAAACCTTGACTTTGATGTTAATTTTTCGTTCGTTCCCTGTTGTTCCCTTTCCCTCCGTTTGCAGCGCACTTCTGTGATGCTGCTGCGCCGAATGCGCTATGCCGCATGGCCTTCACCCTATCTTGACGCATATGGTGAAGAGGTGAGTACGTAACTGCTTTCTACTTAGAGCTCTAACGGTCCTCGAAGCAGGAGTGATATGCTGCTGTCCATTTTTCACTTAATTCCTCCTATTTTTTAACTAAGTGCCTACTCTAACGTTACCTGGCGGTGTTGTGCATCACATCGCATTCACCAGGATGAGAACCTTCGGCGTGGGAAGCCACTGTATCTCAGCACCGACCGCTTCCACACCCTCCAATCCATGGTCAGTCTTGTTCTCTTGAGTCACTCGGCATCTTTTGAGTCGACTCAAAAGTCACCTTGAGTCGACTCAAAAGTCACCTTGAGTCGACTCAAAAGTCACCTTGAGTCGACTCAAAAGTCACCTTGAGTCGACTCATTAGTCACCTTGAGTCGACTCAAAAGTCACCTTGAGTCGACTCAAATGTATCTCAGCACCGATCGCTTCCACACCCTCCAATCCATAGTCAGTCTTGTTCTCTCAAGTCGCTCGGCATTTTTTTTGCTGCCCATGCGCTGGTTGAAGCATGCTGTGCTGACCCAATGGAATTCTGTGGTTTTTGCAGGTGGCATGTCATGGGGTGGATCATAATTCCCTCGTTCTCTCTCACTCCACGAGAGTACCCTTCTAGATTCAGAATCACTAGGTACCATCCCATCTCTAGGGTCTACGTCTGCAAGCTGCAAGTTAGCAAGCGTCTAGTTAGTTTTTGCTTCTCCGCCAAAGAGCAGGCAGAAACGGATGGATTAAGTTCTCTTCTATATTTTTGTAATTTGCTCGCGCACCTACGCGCAGCACCATAAAGCAAATCCCGATAACTAAATTACGCAAAGTGAGTATAGCAAACAGTGGTATTGCATGGGGCAAAAGGAAAAGTGTTTGGTGCTATCATGGCCTCGGTTGTAAGAACGAGCGGCTTCGGGTAGGGCCCATGCTTGAAATCAACCTCGATAAACATCGCTCGATATCCCACCTGTGCAGCAGAGCAGCAGAGCAGGAGGGAGAAAACAAAGCGAGACGAAGGAATATGGTTTTAACAAGGTTATGGATGGACATGGTGTGGTGTGGCAGTACAAGTATGTGTCATGTCAACACATGGAAAGGAGGCCGGATACAGAGACGAAGCGAGACAGCAAAGAAACTGGCACCTGAGTTGTTTGTGTGGAGAAATGGGACTGTCAAATGGGAGCATGTAGCATCAGCTGGGGCCAAAGTGCCAGGACCCATCAGGCTGCAGGGCAGGCGTCGAGTTTCGAGACATCTCATTTCTCACTTTGGAAATGTGTTCATTGGAGGAGCTGAAGTGACTTTTGAGACGTCTCAACACACGCGCACCTTGGGAATGTCTTTGACGGATGAGCTGAAGTGCCAGAGCCCATCAGGCTGCAGCGCCGGTGACGAGCCTGGCTTTGAGACACCTTGAGATTTTTTTAAATTTTTTTTTGGAAGGAACTGAAGGGACCTCGGAGAGTTTAAAAAAAGAAAAGAAAAGGAAAAGAAAAGACGCGCACCTTGGGAATGTCTTTGACGGCTGAGCTGAAGTGCCAGAGCCCATCAGGGTGCAGGGTAGGTGGCGAGACGGCATACTGGGAGAACGGGATGGGCTGCACACAGAGCGTGCCGAACTTGGCTATATAGGACTTAGGTAAACTCGTGAAGGGCACCGTGCTGGCAGGGAGGATGGGCGCAGGAGGATGGGTGCAGGAGGATGGGTGAAGGAGGGTGGAGGGAAAGGTGAGACGGCATACTGGGAGAACGGGATGGGCTGCACACGGAGCGTATTGAACTTGGCTATATAGGACTTTGGTAAACTCGTGAAGGGCACCGTGCTGGCAGGGAGGATGGGCGCAGGAGGGGCGTAGGGGAATAGAAGAGTCTTGAGATACCTCATAACTCTTCAAGGGAAAACATTATGAGTTGACAATAATATTAAAAAAACAAAAAGAAACACACACACACACACACACACCCACACACACACACACCCACACCCACACCCACACACACACACACACACACGCACACACACACACACACTTGTCAAACAAGGTTGCTAAACAAGGTGCAACATCACATCCACATGGTTCACACCACTCACCCAGCGAATCATACCACTCACTCACCACCAGTCAGCCCCTGCCACGCCACTCACCACCCATTCACACCACTCACCACCCATTCACACCACTTACCACCCTGCCACACACTCACCACCCGGTGAGCCCCTGCTTGACGATGAATCGGAAGTCTCGCCTCTTGCTGCCCTGACTGGTGCGCCCCGTCCTGCACTAGGGGGGGAGGGGGGCCAATGGGAGGGGGGGCAATGGGAGGGGGGCCAATGGGAGGGGGACCAATGGGAGGGCGCCAAAGTGGGGGCTTCTGAGCCGCCCTAGTAGCTGCTTGCTGCCCTGACTGGTGCGCCCCGTCCTGCACTAGGGGGAGAGGGGGTAGCGGGCATGGAGAGGAGGGGTGTGGGGGGTGTTGGAAGGAGGGAATGGAAGAATGGGAGGAAGGGAGAGAGATGCAGCCGTTCATTGCATTGCATCTCAGAGGCTTATGAGTCGACTCTAAAGCCACGATGACTTTTGAGACGTCTCATGAGCCTTCATTTGTAAAGCCACGATGATTCAGAGACTCTTAGAGTAACGATGATCCAGAGATTCTTAAAAACACAATGATTCTTAGAATAAGAGTCAGCTCAACAGCCTTCATTTCAGCCCGCTCTAACCCTTCCTTACTCCCACCAGCCCCCCACATCTCCCCCCCTCTCCCTCCTCGTTCTCTGCCCCATCCCCTTCCCCTCCCCATCCCCTTCTCCCCAGCACCTCCCCTACCGTTTTCCCTCCCCAAACCCTTCTCACCATGCTCTAACCGCCAGTGGCTTCCTGTCTGACGTGGCATGAATAGTGAACGTGGACCAATCAAACCGCCACGTCAGCCGCGGCCAGTCGACAGCTGGCAGCCTGGGAACGCAACTCCAGGGGCGGGTGTGTGCTGCTGCCGACGCCGCTAGCGCTGCCGCTGCTGCTGCTCCTGCCTCTACCTCTGAGAGACTAGAAGGAAGACGGTTTTGAGTGAGTGAGGATGAGGATGAGGAGGAGGAGGTGGTGGGGGTGGGAATGGGGTGCGTCCAGGTTAGGGAAGGGCGGGAGGAGGCGGGGAGAGAGGCACAGGAGGAGTTGATGTGGAGGAGAGAGGAGAAGACGGAGAGGGACGCATCATAGGCCTGCCATGTTGGGGGGGGAGGGAGGGGACAAGGGTTTCAGGTTTAAGGTCGGGTTAGGGTTTAGGGAAAGGGAGTTGGAGGGGAGTGAAAGAGAGGGGGTACTGGAATAGGGATGGGATGGGCAGAGGAAGAGGAAGCATTTAATACACCTTATAAGGGTGTCTTCAATTGTGTCTTTAAGATACGCCTGCCATAATAAGTAGGGGAATAGGGACGGGAAGAGGAATGAGATGGAGCATGGGGAAAATGGAGGTGAGTTTTGAGACGACTCAACGGGAGATGGCAACAAGGGCGTGGGAGTGGATGGGGAGGGGAGAGAGGCAAGGAGAGAGAGGAGAAAGACGGTCCGTTCGTACCCACTGCGACATCTGAATGACCATGTGGTCCAAATTCATGGAGGGAAGGGGTGGAGAGAAAGGTGCGAGAGTGAAAGGGGAGAGAGGCTGGGAGAGAGAAGAGGAGGGGCGGCAGACTGTAGACCATGAACGTACCCACTGCGACATCTGAATGACCATGTGGTCGAGGTTGGCCACAATCTTGAAGAGTGTGGGGGCTGGCAGGTCGTTGAAATAGAAGTACCTGCCACGCCCAGCGCATTTGCATCAAGATGCAGGGGTGAGTGAGTGAGATGAGAGGTGACCTTTAAGTTGAGACACACGTCACTTAACATAAGCAGAACTACTTCGGGGAAAGGTACTTCTAAGGCAAGTGCATTTGCATCCAGGGGTGAGTGAGGAGAGCATGACCTGAGGAGAGGTCAAGAGAGGACAGGAGGACAGGAGATGAAGAAAACCGGCATCCAGGGGTGAGTGAGAGCATGACCTGAGGAGAGCATGACCTGAGGAGAGCATGACCTGAGGAGAGCATGACCTGAGGAGAGCATGACCTGAGGAGAGCATGACCTGAGGAGAGCATGACCTGAGGAGAGCATGACCTGAGGAGAGCATGACCTGAGGAGAGCATGACCTGAGGAGAGCATGACCTGAGGAGAGCATGACCTGAGGAGAGCATGACCTGAGGAGAGCATGACCTGAGGAGAGCATGACCTGAGGAGAGCATGACCTGAGGAGAGCATGACCTGAGGAGAGCATGACCTGAGGAGAGCATGACCTGAGGAGAGCATGACCTGAGGAGAGCATGACCTGAGGAGAGCATGACCTGAGGAGAGCATGACCTGAGGAGAGCATGACCTGAGGAGAGCATGACCTGAGGAGAGCATGACCTGAGGAGAGCATGACCTGAGGAGAGCATGACCTGAGGAGAGCATGACCTGAGGAGAGCATGACCTGAGGAGAGCATGACCTGAGGAGAGCATGACCTGAGGAGAGCATGGCCTGAGGAGAGCATGGCCTGAGGAGAGCATGGCCTGAGGAGAGCATGGCCTGAGGAGAGTGGATGGGTGCAAATCAAGCCAGGAAACACTCCTCCTTTCTCCTGAAAGAATTGATATGCTGTAATTTCATAATAACGTTTATCACATATCTTATATGGGGCACTCACGAGTCATCCATGGAGAAGAATTCATCGTTGGAAGCGGCAATGAGCAGCTTCGGCATGGTCAGGCGCTCCCGGAAGAAGTATGGATCCGTGTAGCTCTGTGCAGAGGGGTTGGGAGGGGTTTGAGAGGATAGAAAGGTTGAACGGGTGGGAAAAGTTGGGAATAAACAGCTCTTTCAGGAGCTTGGGCATGGCGAGTGAGGCGGTAGTTTAAGAAGCACAGAGTACTATAGATCGATTCATACTCTTAGCAGGCTTGCCGCGCTTCGAAAGCAGCCTTTCTCGGGTAATTAAAGAAGTACAGATTCCTATAGGTGGGAGCAAGAGGCAGGAGGAAGGAAGGAAGGAGTGCGGGGCGAGTGCAGCTGCATGCCGGAGGTAGAAGCGGCACGAAGATGTGGGTTCGAACCGCAGCAAGCGGAGTGGTCTCCTCAAAGTTCTTAACTAACAACTAGGAGTACTAAGAGTGGGAAAAAGGTAGAATCGGGACTTGGTAAGTCCAACTTCGGTAAAGAACGTAGGCGAGTGCGGCTGCATGCAGGAGGTAGAAGCGGCACCCAGAGAGGAGAGGAGAACTTTTGAGTCGACTCAAAAGGTAGAAGCGGCACCCGGAGAGGAGAGGAGAACTTCTGAGTCAACTCAAAAGGCAGAAGCGGCACCCGGAGAGGAGAGGAGAACTTTTGAGTCGACTCAAAAGGTAGAAGCGGCACCCGGAGAGGAGAGGAGAACTTTTGAGTCGACTCAAAAGGTAGAAGCGGCACCCGGAGAGGAGAGGAGAACTTTTGAGTCGACTCAAAAGGTAGAAGCGGCACCCGGAGAGGAGAGGAGAACTTTTGAGTCGACTCAAAAGGTAGAAGCAGCACCCGGAGAGGAGAGGAGAACTTCTGAGTCGACTCAAAAGGTAGAAGCGGCACCCGGAGAGGAGAGGAGAACTTCTGAGTCGACTCAAAAGGTAGAAGCGGCACCCGGAGAGGAGAGGAGAACTTTTGAGTCGAAAAGGTTGAAGCGGCACCCGGAGAGGAGAGGAGAACTTTTGAGTCGACTCAAAAGGTAGAAGCGGCACCCGGAGAGGAGAGGAGAACTTTTGAGTCGACTCAAAAGGTAGAAGCGGCACCCGGAGAGGAGAGGAGAACTTTTGAGTCGACTCAAAAGGTAGAAGCGGCACCCGGAGAGGAGAGGAGAACTTCTGAGTCGACTCAAAAGGTAGAAGCGGCACCCGGAGAGGAGAGGAGAACTTCTGAGTCGACTCAAAAGGTAGAAGCGGCACCCGGAGAGGAGAGGAGAACTTTTGAGTCGGCTCAAAAGGTAGAAGCGGCACCCGGAGAGGAGAGGAGAACTTCTGAGTCGACTCAAAAGGTAGAAGCGGCACCCGGAGAGGAGAGGAGAACTTTTGAGTCGACTCAAAAGGTAGAAGCAGCACCCGGAGAGGAGAGGAGAACTTTTGAGTCGACTCAAAAGGTAGAGTAGAAGCGGCACCCGGAGAGGAGAGGAGAACTTTTGAGTCGACTCAAAAGGTAGAAGCGGCACCCGGAGAGGAGAGGAGAACTTTTGAGTCGAAAAGGTTGAAGCGGCACCCGGAGAGGAGAGGAGAACTTTTGAGTCGACTCAAAAGGTAGAAGCGGCACCCGGAGAGGAGAGGAGAACTTTTGAGTCGACTCAAAAGGTAGAAGCGGCACCCGGAGAGGAGAGGAGAACTTTTGAGTCGACTCAAAAGGTAGAAGCGGCACCCGGAGAGGAGAGGAGAACTTCTGAGTCGACTCAAAAGGTAGAAGCGGCACCCGGAGAGGAGAGGAGAACTTCTGAGTCGACTCAAAAGGTAGAAGCGGCACCCGGAGAGGAGAGGAGAACTTTTGAGTCGGCTCAAAAGGTAGAAGCGGCACCCGGAGAGGAGAGGAGAACTTCTGAGTCGACTCAAAAGGTAGAAGCGGCACCCGGAGAGGAGAGGAGAACTTTTGAGTCGACTCAAAAGGTAGAAGCAGCACCCGGAGAGGAGAGGAGAACTTTTGAGTCGACTCAAAAGGTAGAGTAGAAGCGGCACCCGGAGAGGAGAGGAGAACTTTTGAGTCGACTCAAAAGGTAGAAGCGGCACCCGGAGAGGAGAGGAGAACCACTGCCCACCACCTTCTCTGCTCGCTCACCATGATGTGGCGCATCTGTGGCGAGTGCAGCATGTGTGTGAGGTTGTAGTCCGCATAGAACCGGCCCAGGATGGGCACGGCCCCCAGGGAGTCAAGCAAGTGCTGCATGTTGGGCTGGAAGTTGATGAGATCGTATCCGTACGATATGAAGGCCACGACTCGCTGTAAGGGAGGGGAAGAGTAGGGGAGGGAGGGACGGAAGAGTAAGGGAGAGGGAGGAAAGGAAGTAGTGAGGTTTGGGTGAGTGCCAAGGGTTTGGGTGAGTGCCAAGGGTTTGGGTGAGTGCCAAGGGTTTGGGTGAGTGCCAAGGGTTTGGGTGAGTGCCAAGGGTTTGGGTGAGTGCCAAGGGTTTGGGTGAGTGCCAAGGGTTTGGGTGAGTGCCAAGGGTTTGGGTGAGTGCCAAGGGTTTGGGTGAGTGCCAAGGGTTTGGGTGAGTGCGGGCAACAGGTGCTGCATGTTGGGATGGAATGAAGTTGATGAGATCGTAGCCGTACGATATGAAGGCCACTCGCTGTAGGGAGAGGGGGAGGAAGAAGGTTTTGAGGAGGGGGAAAGAGAGAGAGAGTATTCTGTGGAGGGGCGGAGCAGCGATGCGGCGTGAAAGGAGACGCGAAGTGGATTCAGCTGAGCTTGAAAAAACAAGGTGGAAGAAAGCGGATTGATTGACAATTCATCAAAAAGCATGTGCAGGGTGGAAGAGAACGAGCAGCAGATAAGCACGTGCCTTGTCAAGAGCAGCAGAGAGCCAAGCCATGCACGCGCGCTTGCTCACTCCAACGGTCACAAAGCCCTCCACCTGCGGGGGGGAGAATGGAGGGACAGGGGGCGGGGGGTTGGGAGGGAGGGTTGGGTGGGGACGGGGCACGCAAGGCATGAGCAGCAGAGAGCCAAGCCATGCACGCGCGCTTGCTCACTCCAACGGTCACAAAGCCGTCCACCTGTGGGGCGGAGAGGGAGGGAAGAGGGGGGGTGGAGATGTGGAGAGAGCACGCAAGGCATGAGCAGTTTGGGAAGAGAGCGAATGAGACCATTCCAGTGACAAGGACCGCTCGAGAGGATGGCGTGGGGTGAGCTGGGTCAAGTAAGCATTCTTACTGGACTCACTCGCTCACTCACGCAGTCACTCAATGGCTCGTTCACTCACTCAATGGGGCACGTGGGGTCAGCAGCACTCTGGCAGCGAGCTGCCTTTTGAGTCGACTCAAAAGTCACCGCGTGGGGCAGCAGCACTCTGGCAGCGAGCTGCCTTTTGAGTCGACTCAAAAGTCACCGCGTGGGGCAGCAGCACTCTGGCAGCGAGCTGCCTTTTGAGTCGACTCAAAAGTCACCGCGTGGGGCAGCAGCACTCTGGCAGCGAGCTGCCTTTTGAGTCGACTCAAAAGTCACCGCGTGGGGCAGCAGCACTCTGGCAGCGAGCTGCCTTTTGAGTCGACTCAAAAGTCACCGCGTGGGGCAGCAGCACTCTGGCAGCGAGCTGCCTTTTGAGTCGACTCAAAAGTCACCGCGTGGGGCAGCAGCACTCTGGCAGCGAGCTGCCTTTTGAGTCGACTCAAAAGTCACCGCGTGGGGCAGCAGCACTCTGGCAGCGAGCTGCCTTTTGAGTCGACTCAAAAGTCACCGCGTGGGGCAGCAGCACTCTGGCAGCGAGCTGCCTTTTGAGTCGACTCAAAAGTCACCGCGTGGGGCAGCAGCACTCTGGCAGCGAGCTGCCTTTTGAGTCGACTCAAAAGTCACCGCGTGGGGCAGCAGCACTCTGGCAGCGAGCTGCCTTTTGAGTCGACTCAAAAGTCACCGCGTGGGGCAGCAGCACTCTGGCAGCGAGCTGCCTTTTGAGTCGACTCAAAAGTCACCGCGTGGGGCAGCAGCACTCTGGCAGCGAGCTGCCTTTTGAGTCGACTCAAAAGTCACCGCGTGGGGCAGCAGCACTCTGGCAGCGAGCTGCCTTTTGAGTCGACTCAAAAGTCACCGCGTGGGGCAGCAGCACTCTGGCAGCGAGCTGCCTTTTGAGTCGACTCAAAAGTCACCGCGTGGGGCAGCAGCACTCTGGCAGCGAGCTGCCTTTTGAGTCGACTCAAAAGTCACCGCGTGGGGCAGCAGCACTCTGGCAGCGAGCTGCCTTTTGAGTCGACTCAAAAGTCACCGCGTGGGGCAGCAGCACTCTGGCAGCGAGCTGCCTTTTGAGTCGACTCAAAAGTCACCGCGTGGGGCAGCAGCACTCTGGCAGCGAGCAGCCTTTTGAGTCGACTCAAAAGTCACCGCGTGGGGCAGCAGCACTCTGGCAGCGAGCTGCCTTTTGAGTCGACTCAAAAGTCACCGCGTGGGGCAGCAGCACTCTGGCAGCGAGCTGCCTTTTGAGTCGACTCAAAAGTAACGGATTTGGCCATGGGCATGTAGATGGGACGGGAGGGGCCTTACAGTACCCACCCATCACACAACTCTCACCCATGCGGGGTACTGGCACTCACAACAACTCTCACCGGCACGTGGGGAATGAGCTCTCTGGCGGCGAGTTGCGCTGCATCCATGGCTCGGATGACGGACTTGGCCATGGGCATGTAGATGGGCCACTCGGGGGTGGTGGGGTCTTGCAAGGCCATCGCGAGGGTGACTGGCGGACCGGGAAGAGGGTGAGGGGTGAGGGTATGGGAATGTTGGATGGGCCAGTCGGGTATGTGCACATGAGGATGAGAGCTTGCGGCCATTACATTGCACGCACTCACCCGCCACTCTACCACCCCTGAACTCTCTTCCTGCTGTTGCTGCTGACACCAGAGGCGAAACGGGCACCACTTGCCTCACACATGCTCACACCAGGGGGGTTAGGGTTATGGACGCGATACAGGGTGACTGGCTTACATGCGACGATCTCCTCCTCCTGAAGCTTCTGGCTCCTGCTGCTGCTGATGCCTGGTGGAGTGGCGTGGAAGGTGATGGGCATCATGGGCTCCTCGTGCAGCATCACGCCCATTATGCCCAGATCCACCACCAGGCTGCAGGGCAGATTTGAAGCAGAGGGGAAGGGTAGCGGCAGTGGGGAGTGAAGAAGGAGTGGAGTGGATTGAAAGCTGATGGGCACCATTGGCTCCTCGTGCAGCATCACGCCCATCATGCCCATGATGGGTATAATTGGTTGGTCCACCACCAGCCTGCACACCACTGTGGAAGGGCAGAGGGGAGGACACTGATGATGGGTACCACTGCATTTCCTTTCACGCCTCTTCCTCTCACGCACCATTCCTAGCCACGCCCCTCCCACTCACGCCCCTCCCACTCACGCCCCTCCCACTCACGCCCCTCCCACTCACGCCCCTTCCACTCACGCCCCTTCCACTCACGCCCCTTCCACTCACGCCCCTTCCACTCACGCCCCTCCAACGCGCGCCCGGCCCTCCGACTCACGGGGCAGCAACGCGGATGAAGACAGCGTTCGCCTTGGGCACGTGGTACCGGCTGTCGTCCTTACCGTCGTCACTGCCCGGGTAGATGCAATGGGCAACAAGGTTCTCACGACTCCCCCTCCCACTCACGCACCACACCACGCCCCACGCCCACTCACGGGGCAGCAACGCGGATGAAGACAGCGCTCGCCTTGGGCACGTGGTACCCGCTGTCGTCCTTGCCGTCGTCGCTCCACCCCGCCCCAATGAAGAAGAGCACGAGGCCCTTGCTGGCGTTGGGCATGTTGTCTGGCGCCTGATATGGTCAGAAAAGGAGGAAGCACAGCCAAGCGCCGAGCAGTTAAAGAGTGGACTTTTGGGTCGACTCGGAAGCCGCCCCAATGAAGGAGAGCACGAGGCCCTTGCTGGCATTTGGCATGTTGTCCGGCGCCTGGGAGGGCGAGAGGGGGGAAGGAGAAACATTAAGACAGACATGCACTGAGATGCACCAGACGGCAGTCAGTAGGCGAGTGTGGTACCCACGGTCGTCCTTGCCATCGTCGCTCCACCCCGCCCCAATGAAGAAGAGCACGAGGCCCTTGCTGGCATTTGGCATGTTGTCCGGCGCCTGGGAGGGCGAGGAAGCAAGCACAGCCAGGAGGGATGGAATGAAGGAGCTTATATTTGCAATTGCAACTCACAAACTGGGGCGGTTTCCCAAGGCAACTCAGACATCACATGAGAGTGAGTCACAAAGCGGTTGTTTTAAAACCAGATAGCTTTTCAGTATAAAAACCGCGTGTGATGAGCCTTTGAGTTGGCTCAAAAGCAAATCGTGTTTGAAGAAGTGTTTTGAGACGTCTCAAAACAATCAGTATAAAAACCGCGTGTGATGAGCCTTTGAGTTGGCTCAAAAGCAAATCACATGAGAGTCACAAAGTGGATGTTTCAAGACCGTCTGACGGAACAACTTGCACTGCAACAAAAACTAGCGACGTTTTTTTAATCGAAAAATGCCCAGTGTTCACAAAAAAAGCGTTAGGTGGTGACACCAAGAAAATCAGACTGGTACTTTAGTTGACAAAAAATCAGCTCACAATGAGAGTGAGGTGGTGCCACCAGAGGAATCGGTTGGTAACGGTCTGGTTGAGCCAGCGGTGAGCGTTCACCAGCAGCACATACCCCGTCCACCACCCTCCGGCTTCCTTGGCTCGCATGCGATTGCCCGTGTCCTTCCACCTGCCAACACCAGGGCAGAGAGAGTAATGAACACCAAGAAGGATGGGTTGGTGAGAGTGACAGCACTATTCAGCCACAGGTGGAATCTCATGGAGTTTAGAGCCGAATGCGTGATATTTTCTACCGCATGGGCCAGAAGATTTAGCTAAAACTGCATGGCCGGCTTCGCATCAGCCAAGGCGAATGGTTCCTGCTGCATGCAACCATTGAAAAACTCACCCGAATTCCGCATCTGCGCTATAGACATATCTGTCCAGCTGTGTACTGCGACAGTTCCTCGCCGTCTCGCAGCCGCTTTGCGGGAAAAGCGGCGAGCCGGACGACTGTGCGATATCGGCGGAGAGCAGGTTTGGTCGCACGAGTTCGAAGAATGTCAAATAAGCGACGGTCAGTGCGACGGCGAGCGGCAGAATGCGACGAGTCAGAGCCCCCTGAAGTCGCCTGATGAGGACCCCAGGGCTTGACGCGTGCGGACGCGTCATAATAAAGCGTTATAAAGTACTGATTAGTTGCCTCACATTAAGAACCAAAATACAGTACGTCGCTACTGGTAAGAGCCTAAATGCATAGGCATTTACGATCTCGGGCCGGCTCCATATAGCTGAATGCAACAACGAAAACCACGGGGTGATATTTCAGTCGAGTATCTACTAAAATGCGGGTGCTGAAAGTGGTTTCTATTTCGGAATTTTCAATGTGGGTCTTGAAATGGACACTTTTACAAGTTGCTTCGATTGCAGGATAAAGAGAAGCAGGGGGGTACAACGTCCAAGAGCAATCCTACGCTACTGTTGGGAACACCAGCCATTTTAGCTGCTTATGATTATCTTGAGGTAACCTCAAAAAACCTAATCAGGCATCTATATTTGCCACATATTATTCCTTCTTTTCTTAGAATCTGCTAATTCTTCAAAACTTCGTAAGAAGTTTGATTTGACACCCCGACAACCACGAGCCACGAATGATTTTATCCGCCAAATTATACTGAACATTGGTGAGTCGGTCTCAGGCGAGTACATAGGAAGCAACAGAAGTGCAGACTGAGGGAACTGTTCTGGGCGTTCAGGATCGCAGGAATCTACGAGCAGCGACATGCATCATCGCCCATTCACTACGCTATGCGGTTCGACGACTTTCCATTACCTTTGGTCCATAATCCTTAGAGAAGTTACTGAAGCGTGATTGACTCGGTGATTCTTGGTGATTCATTCACCGAGTGATTCACTCGGTAATTCTACTACAGGATAGCATAGGAATCAAGTTGGTAATGGACCCTGATGTAGATAAGGGTCAATTTCAGTAGACTCTTCCGAAGATTCGTCTGAGTAGATTCGTCGCTTCAAGCAGTTATATCAAATGGCGGCACGTTCTGAGAGCTCTCAAAATGCACCAGGAGCGTCGCACCATCTAGAAAAGGAGGTTCGGCTCGAGCCAGACGCCGAGGCTGTCGAGGAGATTCTAGAAGATGACGCGGAAGATGCGGAGAAGAATCGCGAAACTACGCGGAAAGAACGACGAGGGGAAGCGGAGGCGGCAAGGGAGACTGGTGGGAGGGAAGGTGGAGACGAGGTGGGGCAAGGGGAGGAAGGGGAGGAAGAGGAGGAAGAGGAGGATTGGGAAATGGAGGAGCATCTAACGATCGGTGATATAATGAATCGGGTGGGTGTGCTTGTCATGACTTGACCTGTCCCACCATTAAGCAGTACATTTCAAGACTCGCGACACTTTGCAGTCCTCCAGTGCCTGACTGACACTCTGCACTCTACTGCACTATCCTGTCCTATTCTTTTCCTGTCATGTCCGGCTGGTGCACGCTGGAGTTAAAGGTTTGGTTGTTTAGGCGCCGCAAAAAAATACCTCTACCCTGCCGGTCTTCCTCCCTCCCATACCGCGCATTCATGCAGGCAATTGCGGAGCAAGCGTTCCCGGGAGGAACAGTGGCGTTTGGCTCATTCGAGGGCCCTGTTTTCCACGCCTGTGAGTGCCATACAACCATCTCTCTTCTATGCAACAGCTTCTTGTCGAGACACCTTATAATCCGCCTGATAGCAGACCGTTTGTCAGATTGCTTGATGATGTACAGCATTTCTGTTATCAGATTACTCCACCCGCATGCCATGCAATGGTCTTCACAAATCCGCCACCCTTTTTCTCCGTGTTCTCTCATTGGCATGCGCTGTTCCATGGTACTTGGCGCATGGCTCATGGTCCATTGACATACGACACAAAACCTGACTGGGACTCTCAATCAACCCAGCCTTCGGCACTTATACTTAGTAGGCTATCTTATACTTTGCTGTCCTTCCAGTGCTGTCAAGTGTGTCGAATCGATTGTTTACGCTTCACTTCCGCCTTTCCATCATTTGGTCTCTTTCGTTCAAAAGCCTCATTTACTAATTAAGTTCATTTGGTTGAAGTTCATTTTGTTTAAGTGTCTCAAGTCAATGCCTTGTCGCCTCTCGCTGCTCATCCCTCTTTTTCCCTCCCAGTGATTGCAACAGACCCATCACCTCAGACTCGCTCTGGGACCTCGCCTCTCTAACCAAGGTGAATGGGAAGAGGGGGAAAGGCGGAAGGGATGAAGGGAGGTAGGGTTTGAAAGTTGTGAATGGGTGGCTCCCTGTGTTTGCAACAGACCCATCACCTCAGGCTTTGCTCTGGGACCTCGCCTCGCTCACCTAGGTTGTTGGGAGGGGTGGAGTGGGGTGGGGGGGAGGGAAAGAAGGAGGGCAAGACAGGGGGCGTGTTTCTGAAATGGGTGGCTGCCTTATCCCTGCCATGAACCTGCATAGCAGGTAACTTGGAATATGATTGCACGTTGGCCGGTGACTGCACTGACTCATGTATTGAGTCAACTCAGAACCTGTTTGAGTCGACTCAGAACCTACCGTGAACCTGCATAGCAGGTTCCTTGGAATATGAGTGCATGTTGGCCGTTGACTGCACTGACTCACGTTCCTCACCCACCCATCCCATCCCATGTGTCCTTGCATGGCTGCAGATCATGGCCACTGTCCCTGCTGCAATGATTCTCTACGAGAAAGGTCTATTGGGTAGGCTGCTGCTCCTCCTCCTCCCCCCCTTCCCCCCTTCCCCCCTTCCCCACGCTGCATCTCCGCCCCATACTGCCCGCTCTGGATCTGCTCCTATCGGTGCACCCGTGGGCTATCATCAATCTGTGAGACAGGAGACGACTGTTGAGGCGCCTCAAAAGACACCCGTGGGCTATCATCAATCTCTCGGCACTACCAAACACGTTGTCTTCCCTCAGCACCACCACTACCAGACTTAGATTCCCCACTGCATCGTTGCCTGCCTGCATACGGATACGGCACGAACGGGAAGCATGTGTTGACGGTGCACATGCTGCTTTTGAGTCGACTCAAAAGGTGAGTTTTGACTTCTGAGTCGACGCAGAAGTCACCTCGGTGCACATGCTGCTGACAAGCCTCTGAGGTGTTCTGAGCGACTTTGAGCGACTGAGCTGTTTCTAGGCGTGCTTGATGTTACACTACAGAACCCCCTCCCATCCCCCACCACCACCACTACTACCAGACTTACAAGCCCCAGTGCATCGCTACCTACCTGCGTTCGGAGCAAACGGCAAGCATGTGGTGACGGTGCAGATGCTGCTGACTCACACCGCTGGGCTGAGGGAGTTCCAACCCTTCTTCGCCCTCCAGCTCTCCACTCGTCAGCAGGTGCGCGCCTCTTGCCCTATAACATCCATCCAATCCTCTCAACACAGAAGGCAGCAGGTGTGGTCTCGAGGTCTGAGGGGAATGAAAGGGGTGTGTATCGTCGTGAGGAATGGAAGGGCAGTGACTGTGTGGAACGGCAAGCATGTAGTGACGGTGCACATGCTGCTGACACACACCGCTGGGCTGAGGGAGTTCCACCCCTTCTTCGCCCTCCAGCTCTCCACTCGCCACCAGGTGAGCTCTTATGCTCTGAGACTTTTAATCTCCTCAATACAGCAGACAGCAGGTATGGTTTGGGGCAATCTGAAAGCTCAAATTTAGCAGACAGCAGGTGCACTCTCTTGCTCTGAGACATAACATACCCCCTTCTAGTCACGTTACAACTGACTGACAGGTTTTTTTTTTTACCTGTTTCACGTGACTCGGTCACAGATGATTGATTTTATTTTGGCAGGCTGCCTCTGCTATCCCCCTTAAGTCACATCTTAATTTGCGATATTCTTTCCTCGCTTTTTCACGTGACTCAATCGCAGGTGATTGACTTTATAATGGCGGACCATCTCTGGTATCCCCCTATAGTCACAACCCGCTACAGCGACCTCTCCATGATCGTGCTGGCGCTCGTGATCGAGCGAATCACAGGCTGCCACCTCAGTACGTTCGTGCACCGGGAGATCTTCAGCCGGCTGGGCATGACAAGCACAGCGTTTCGACCAATCCCAGGGCATCACGGCAGCACGTTCCGACCAATCGGGGACTCAGGAGGAGTTGATCCGCGTGTGGTCCCTACAGAGGTGGATTCTCTGCATCGCAAGAAGCTGCTGTGGGGAGAAGGTGAGAGAGGGAAGGGAGGTGAGAGATAGGAGGGATGTTACAAGACTGCAGTAGGTGTTGATTCCCATGTGGTCCCTACAGAGGTGGAGTCGCTGCATTCCAAGAAGCTGCTGTGGGATGGCTTTTGAGAATTCTCGGTGCGACTTTTGAGAATTCTCGGTGTAACTTTTGAGAATTCTCGGTGCGACTTTTGAGAATTCTCGGTGCGACTTTTGAGAATTCTCGGTGCAACTTTTGAGAATTCTCGGTGCGACTTTTGAGAATTCTCGGTGCGACTTTTGAGAATCCTCAAAAGTTCCCGTATCATCCTTACATAGGTGGAGTCGCTGCATTCCAAGAAGCTGCTTTGGGATGGGGAGGGTTTGAGACGCTGCAAACTGCGTACGGAGCATCATTTGTGTAGGAATGTGGTGTCTAGGGGTCCCAGTGCAGGCCATGCAGCGCTCTTCCTGACTGACTGCCCCGCCTTCCCACTCACTTACTTCCCAGCCATACCATCTCATCTCTGCGCCATTCCCCCATCCCCCCCTTCCCTCGTTCACCCCTCTACTCCCTTCCCCCCTTGTTCCCCTCCCCCTCCCCGCCAGTGCACGATCCCACGGCATGGATCATGGGGGGTGTGGCGGGTCATGCAGGGCTGTTCTCGACCATTCTTGACGTCACCAAGGTGATTCACTCAAACCTGTGCGCGTGGAGTGGGGGTGGGGGTAAGGGGGGGACTACATGTGGTGATGGGTGAGGTGAGTGCATGCATGTGTCTACGCCGGGCCATGCAGGGCTGTTCTCGATCATCCTTGATGTCACGTCATCAAGGTGATGGCACTGGGGTGGGGGAGGAGAGGAGGGGAGGGCTTATGTGTGTGGTTATGGGTGAATGCATGCATCTCTTTTGAGGCGCCTCAAAAGTCGTCTTATGTGCGTGGTTATGGGTGAATGCATGCATGTGCGTGGTTATGGGTGAATGCATGCATGTGCGTGGTTATGGGTGAATGCATGCATGTGCGTGGTTATGGGTGAATGCATGCATGTGCGTGGTTATGGGTGAATGCATGCATGTGCGTGGTTATGGGTGAATGCATGCATGTGCGTGGTTATGGGTAAATGCATGCATGTGCGTGGTTATGGGTGAATGCATGCATGTGCGTGGTTATGGGTAAATGCATGCATGTGCGTGGTTATGGGTAAATGCATGCATGTGCGTGGTTATGGGTGAATGCATGCATGTGTGGGGGGAGGCACAACCCTATACTTTCAGACGATTCAACAACTCTCATTCCCTGTTTCCCCCTGCCATTAATCTTCCCCTGTGTCTCCAGTTTGCGCGCTGTATGCTTGCAGGGGGCACGGACCCTACCACAGGGCATCAGCTCGTGTCATCACGAACTCTCCGTCTCTTCACCACACCGCCTCCCCCATCCGACCACAACCCTCGCCCCTTTGCACTCGGGTAAATAACCCCTGCTGTAGGTAGGCATAACTCCGAAATTGTCTTCATGTACCTCTGACCACATCCTTCACTTCTTTGCCGTTTAGAGCCACAAACCTTGTTAATGACTCACCCAATACTTGTTTCTTGGGCCTTTTTGTTTTACTCTCTTCCTATTTCTGTCTCTCTTTGTTGCTCTTTTGAGACGTCTCAACATCCCTCTTTGTTGCTCTTCCCCTCTCCGACTCTCTCAGGTGGGATGTGGCCAGCAGAAGGGGCAAGGATGGGTACACATCAGCAGGCCGATTCATGGGCCCACGCACCTTTGGCCACACCGGCTTTACTGGTGAGACATTGTGGTATGAAGCAGATGCTCTTTATATTCTTGAAAAAACACCCACGTCGGTGGGTAGATTCATGGGCCCATGCACCTTTGGCCACACCGGCTTTACTGGTGAGACTCCGTGCATGCTATGTGAATTTTGAGTCGACTCAAAAGTGACACTGTGCCATGCTATGTTGTCTGAGGCTCTTGCCTCACTTGCATTGCGTCGTCGTCACCTGCCCTTGCCCATCGTGTGGAACTTCATTCATTGCAATTTTAACTGCCCAAACCCATCATGTGGAACTTCATTGCAAATTTACCTGCCCTCCCCTCGTGTGGAACTTCATTGCAAGTTTTCCTGCGCTCAGAATCAAATGTCAACTTTGTTCCTTGAAATGCCGCCCTTGAAACACCCTCCTATCAGGAACATCCCTATGGATAGACCCTGATCGCAACACCTTTGTGGCTCTGCTCTCTAACGCTGTGCACCCCTCCGTAGTGAGAGAGAAACAATTCTTTTTTTCTTTCTTTCTTTCTTCCTTTGTTTACTTTTCTCTTGTCAAGAATCCATAAACACAAAAACAGTGGGTTTAAAGTCCTTCATGCACCCCAACTTCCTTCTCCCGTTGCTGCATGCGTCCTCATTGCCAATACTGCAGTCGCCACTCTTGGCTCACTGGCCCTCTTGCTACTTAACCTCACTCCCACCCACACCTCCGCCACACAATCACCCTCTCCCATAATCACAATCACCCTCTCTGTTCAGGACACCCCAACGGCCCTCACCGTTCGTGACGTGAGACCCCTCATAGCCAATGCTGCTGTTTCTAGTCTCTGTCAACTGGCCCTCTTATCTCTGAAACTCATCACTCCCACTCCCACCTGCTCCCTCTCCCCATTTCCCACTCAGGACACCCCAACGGCCCTCACCGTTCGTGACGTGAGGCCTCTCATAGCCAACGCTGCAGTCACCACGCTCGGTCAACTGGGCCTCCCTCGGCGCACCCTCACCTGGCACCTCGGCTCGCAACCAGGCACACAGACAGACGCACAGATAGATTTCGAGGCTCGTGCAGAAACAGTCGCAGATACAGATGTGGAGAGCGGTGTCGAGGCTGGTGCGGAAGCAGGGGCACGGGCAGCGGACGGCACAACATGGGTTCGAGAAGCGAGGATAGCAGCAGCATGTGGGGGACCAGGAGAAGCGATAGCAGGAGGAGAAGGAAGAGCAGGCCAGGTATCCATGTTGATCGCAGCTCAAGGAAGAAGGATGGGAGCAGCACCACCAACGGGAGGCAGGCTGGCAGCCAAGCAATCTCTGTCTCAGCACAGAGAACCGCTTTCCCCTCAGAAGGTGCGGGCTACCCTGCAGCAGACCCAGCAGTGTGGGCATGCACTGCCGAAGCCATGCCGACCGGCCGTGGGCTGCGGAGCAGCAGAGGCGTGCGCGGCAGTGGATGGGTGCCGATCCAGCTGCATGCATGAAGCAGCAGAGGTGTGCCAATCAGGTGGGTTGTGTGAGGCAGGTAGATGTGAGGCAGGTGGGGCGTGTGCGGCAAGTAGATGTCAGGCAGGTGGGGGGTGTGAGGCAGCAAGAAACCCAGGCGAGCATTACCGGTATATTGATATAAACCAGAGGATGGCATGTGCCAGATCGGCATCGGGCTGTGTACCAAACGTGTTTGCCGAAGCACATACGGGGGTGACGAGCCTGTGCGTCCGTGCTGGTGCTAGTTGTGAGGTTGAAGGGCCCTTGGCAAGGCAAAGCAGTTGTGGTGAAGAGGTAGTGGTGAATATAGGGAAGGAAGGAAAGGATGGAAAAGACACACCGGTGGTGCTTCGATGGCTCACAAAGCTGAAGAGGGAACATATGGCTAGAGGCGGCCTTGTACTCCTTATCACTGCCTTCATTATTGTTCTTTGAGTGCTTCTGTTGGGCATGAAGCCTTTGAAGAATGTGTTATTGCAGCTCATTCCCTCAGCTAGACACCTTCCATCAGCACCACATTTACCAAACAAATCTGGGAATATGAGGCATCGGGTCGTATGGATAGGCAGGCACGCAGGCAGGCTTACACGCACATATTAGAAACGACACCACTTGTCACATCACAAGATCACACGTAAGGGCTGCTGGTACTACCAGCCTGGTAGGTAGGGTAGCGAGCCGCCGAGCCATACAGCAATCTTCCTTGCCCTGCTGACATCACCCCTGTTCTCCTGTCATCTCGCCTGCGATCCTTGTCGCTGCCTGCTGCTGGCACTGCGGCTCAGTTGACGCAGGGGCTGCAGGGGCGGTGGGTGGCGTAGTGAGCTGTGCAACAGAATAACTGCGAAGCAGGACGGAGAGAGGACATGGGGACAATCAGGCGAGTTGGGGTAAACGGGGCAACACATGGGGTATGGGGGGCTACATGGGTGGGGGGCAGGAAAGCAGGATGTGCAGCAGAATAGCTGCAAAGCAGGGAGGGGGGAGGACATGGGGGAAATCAGCCTCTGGGGAGTTAACAGGGGGTTGCAGGGGTGGTGGGTAAGAGCGGGCTATGCAGCAGGATAACTGCAGGGATGGAAGAGGAGGAAGGCTTTGGGCGTATTGAATGAGGCAAAGAAGAGAGCTTACCAAAGAGGGAAAGGCTGAGGGCGAGTGAGAGAGCCGGCACAACTCTGAAGCCGAATGCCACAACCCACAGGGCTGGCAAATCAGAAGGAGGACAGCAGGAACGGCAAAGAGCGAACACAAAGGGAGAGCGGAAGGATGGCATGGTGAGTGCTATGAAACAATCCAGCCATTGTTCCTAAGATGCTTCCAAAGATATTAACCCATGCCATAACCCACGCACCAAAAGCCAACCCACCCTCCCCAGCCCATGCTTCAAACCTTCCCCCACCCGCCCCAGAAAACGCACTTAAACGCAGCAGGAATTGGCCAGCGTGCAGGCGCCAGCTATCCTTGTGCACTAGCAGCGCCTTGTGAGTCTACCCCAACCCCACCCCTAACCCAACCCCACCCCTAACCCATCCCCACCCCTAACCCATCCCCAGCCCCAGGTCCCCTCAACAAAGCACCTAGCTGCAGCAGGAATCGGCCTGCATGCAGGCGTCAGCTGTCCTTGTGCGGTCGCCGCACCTTTTAAGACAAAACCTTCCTTCCCCCAAGCCCCACACCCCACCCTAAACGACGCACCTAGCTGCAGCAGGAAGCGGCCGGCGTGCAGTCGCCAGCTGTCCTTGTGGACTCGTAGCACCTTGTGAGTCGACCCCAAGCCCACCTCTTCCCCACCCCACTCCCCATCCCCTCCACCTGAAGACACATCTAGCTGCAGCAGAAAGCGGCCAGCGCGCAGGCGCCAGCTCTCCTTGTGCACTCGCCGCACCTTTTTTTAAGACAAAACCCTCCTTCCCCCCAGCCCCACACCCCACCCTAAAAGACGCACCTAGTTGCAGCAGGAATCGGCCAGTGTGTAGGCGCCAGCTGTCCTTGTGCACTCGCAGTGCCGCGTTGCACTTTTTCAGTTCCTGCCACAGCCGCACCAGCGCTGCCAGCCCCGCACACGCCACTGGCCGCTTGTACCTGCAGGGAAGCATGGAAAGAGGGGGGGAGCGAGTCAAGGAACCCACAGCTCGTGCCACAGCCGCACCAGCGCTGCCAGCCCCGCACACGCCACTGGCCGCTTGTACCTGCAGGAGGGAGAGCAAGCACAGACGGACGGACGGATGGACAGATAGAGCGGGGGAATGGAAACCTGGAAAGCTGCAGCTCGTGTGATGGGGGTGAAGGAGGGAATGGAGGGGGGACGGGGGATGGGATGGAGGGGAAAAGTGGTGCGGAGGAGCGACTGGGGAGGAACAAGGCCGGGTATGGGATAAATGGCAAAAAGGAGGAAACGAGGGTAAATTCTAGGGATATAGGTGAAACAGAGCAGGGGAAGATGGAAACGGGAAGCACGCGGAGAAAGCGGCGGATATGCGGCTAATACTGACTGTCGGGCGAATCAGGAAGACACGTACATGACGCAAACGAGGAAAAATAGAAGAACCCGGAGGTAGTTTCCCAAAAACTCCACAAAATTCGAGTCCACTCGCCTCCCCATTTCCGTCCAGCTGCCCGGAAAGGAATACGCCGACCGTAATTGACCCCAGCCGAAAAACAAATCCGTCCACGGTAGAGGCGGTTTTTTTAGATCCTCTATAGTTAGCATCGATATACGACTGGACGGCGCCGCTGCAACGGATCGCCGAGATCCGTTATAGGGAGGCGCGTTTCCAGCACCGGACGAGCCTTCGCGACCTCCTCTCCATCTGTTGACGTCGTCCGTTGGATCTAACGAATCTACACCGTCCCCCTGAGCTCGCCGGAGCGCCTGGTCCTGAAGTAACGCGTGAACTTGTTCTGGCGGGAACGCAAGCGACAGCGGGTTCTGTGCGAAAGCCATACTTCGCCTGTTACCCTAACCCCAAACTTATAAATGATGGTTTCCGAATCAGTTGCGAATGCGGGTCAGGCGCAGAGGCAGATAGGCATGACTACTGAGACGCAGTTAGCGAGAGGGTTGCGAACGTCTCGGGCACCTGTATGAAGTGCTGCCGAGCTGAGGTTGTAAGAACTTCACGACACGAGGGAACGGCAAACTCGTCACATGACAACTTCGAGACGAGTCACAAGAGGGAGAGTGGCTTCGTTTTGAAATTTGTTTTACTCTTCATATGTGAGAATCGGAAATCGAAGCAAAACCACTAGCATGGAGGAAACGCTTCTAACGGGTACGCCACGAACAAGCAACAAAACATTATCATCGTATCCTTGAACTTCACATTAAGTTTGCCTACGTCGTATCGGTGCGTACACCAAGAAGATACAGAAAGCTGACCTGTCGAATTTTTGTCATCCACCTCACCTCGAACCTGCCACGCTTGCATCCGCCAAATTGCAACACGGCGGACGAGGAAGACACGGAGGACTTCACAGTCCTCTCGGTCAACCCGGCCTATCCCCCTGCTGCTCGATGCTCCGCTGGACGCATTTTTCGAACCGCAGTTTCTCGATTGACAGTTCAACTGGCGTTCACTGGAACTCCTCGTCGTCGCAAGAAATCGGCCTTGCGCGTCGCGCAATTCCACATCGTCGCACAAGAGCGGAATTCGCCTTGCTGTCAGCACAGCAACAAGCAAATGTCGTTGTCTCTCTCATCTCATCCCTGTCAGCTACCCCTCCCCTCCTCATCCCCCCCTCTCCTTCAATCCTCACCCCCCTGCCCCTCTTCCCTTTCCCCCTCTCATTTTTCGTCCCCTGCCCCTCTTCCCCTTCCCCTGCACCGCTCCCTCTTCCCCTGCTCATATCTCCCGCTCCTCCCAAACTTTCATACCCACGTCATAATCCCAAGATCGTAATACATAACGCCTCGAGCGGAACTCAAAATCCATCATTTTTAGACTCTGTTTCCTTGACAAATGAGCGTCACCATTCCGAACATTCATATCCAGAAGCCGATTTCCGGCTCATTAATTATTGTTTACCTCCTGAAGCATCTTGTCGGGTCCTGTTCGACTTCTACCGCCAGTAGTAGAATCAGCGACCGAAACCTTATTTTATTACCAGTAGCACCCGTTACCACTGGTTGAACTTGACTCACACACCACCAAATCCTGATGAAGAACTTTGCGATTCCTTTCCTTCTCCTTGCCGTCGTTTGGACCGTCGCACCGACCACCCACGCGTCGCGCGTTTTAAAGGCCGCAACGCCAGAATCGTGGGATTCGCCGCCTGCGGCGGTGGTGGTGGGGGTCAACTATCTGCCTGCTCGTCCGCGAAGAGAGCTCGCGACAACTAACACAGCGATTGGAGGCACCTTCGGTGATGTTAGCGAAGTGCCTAGTAGTAACGCCCCGACGACAAGTCACACGCGACGAGTTCTAGCGAGCGACTACTTTTACGAGGAAGAAGATAGCGACGAAAGCGGCGGATCGAACGGCGACGACTACTCGAGCGGCGCGTGGGAGCCTCCCAGGCCACAATCAGGCTATGTCGGCTCCCCGTATACGGGCACGGAGCCCTTTATGGGCGACTGGGTTCCAACAGACGACTCGACTTCAACAGACTCCGATGGTAGCGGCGAGGAAAGCGGCGGGGAAAGCGGCGAAGAAAGCGTGGGCGACTCGAGCTGGGAAGAAGAGCCATTAACAAGCGATTTCAGTGACGGTGGCAGCGGCGAGGAAAGCGGCGGCGATGGCGGCGGGTTCTGGGACGAGCTATGGAGCAAGTGGGGGTGGGACTCGTCTGAAGAACCGGATACAATCAGCGGCGCGGATCCTGGGAATGGCTGGAGCGACGACGGAAGCAGCGGCGGAGACGATAGCTGGACTGACGACGGCAGTGGCGGGGGTGACGAGGGGTCGAACGACGGCTCTAGTAGCAACTGGTCAGACGGCGGGTCTAGTAGCGATTGGTCGAACGGGGGAACGAGCGGAGGCGGATGGGGGAATCCGTACCCTGGTTACGGGTGGATTGGCTCCACTGATACCAGCGGCAGCACGGACGAAGAAGGCGAGGGCGGCGAGGCGCAATACAGCACTTTGACAACAACGAGTGGCGACGACGGCAGCAGCAGCAGCAGCAGCAGCGCCAGTAGCAGCGCGAGCTCCAGCAGCAGTACCACTGTCAGCAGCAGTGTGACGTCAGCAGGAGCGGGCGATTCCGTTGTTCCTCTCTTCCCAGACGAGGGCTCAGCGTCCCCTCCCCCATTAATGGACGATCCCACGGATGCTCCAGTCAACCCCCCAGAAGCTCCCC